AAGTTGTAGGGCTGCGTTGTAGCGAGGGTTGCCATCTGTTATGTAGTAGGTTGAGATCGCCTGCAAGTATTGTTGTTTGAGGGAAATACGCCTCTGGCAGGGTTGTAAGAGCTTTTGCGGCTTCACCTGCTCTGATGCAGCCTGCTGGAGCATTATAGATATTAACTATTAGAGCGGACTTTCCTGTGGGCGAGAAAATCTGAAGGAAAAGGAGATCCGAGGCCTCTTCAGTGTCAGATGTGAAGGGGCGAAGCTGGGAAGTCCGAATGCCTTTCTTCTTTCGGACATAGGTGAGGACTCGTGGCCGACCACTTATTGCCCAACTGTCAGTTGGGGAGAAGCATTCATATGATGGGTGTTTTTTGGTAATCTGTCGGCTAAGATCTTTGAATGTATATGGTTCTTGGATTAGGATAATATCGATGTCGCTAGTGTATGCCAATGTGAGAGCTATTTCGTGTGCATCTGGCGCGTGTCCTACATTTAACTGTAGGATTTTGAGAGGCGCCTTTTGAGTTGGATAGTGATAGATCATAGCTCCTGTTCGAGAAGAGAGGCGAACCGGTTTTGTGGTTGAGGGGTTGTAAAGCGGACTGCACGAGCCGTAATTGGAGGATCTTCAGTTGGGGCGCGAGGTGGGGGGGTTACTGAGCGGAAAGGAGAGATAATCTCATGGGTTGGAGGCTGAGTTGGCACCTCGTCTATTGCCATAGGTGTTTCTTGTGTGCCTATGAAGAGCTGAGGGCTACATCCTCCTTCAGTTCGAGCTTTTGCGAGGTTTGTGGCGCAGGATTTGCGGATCTCTGCTTGTTGAGCTTTAGTATGTTTAGTATTGCCTCTAGGGCGCAGGAGGCATTCTGAGAAATCAGCTGGATGTGGTCCATGACAGTGTATGCATCTAGGAGAGCATTGATGAGGTTCCAGGGCTGTGCAGCGATTGGCATGGCTCTTTTCAGTATGCTCTGAGGAGCCACATAGCCGGCATCGAGAGGGGCGGGCACAGGATCTTGCATTATGCCATTTCCAGCATCGTGTGCATTGAATAACTGTTGTTTTCTTAGGGAGGTGACGAGCATTGGTGATAGTACCAAAAAGACGTAGTTGGATAGGTAGTGGTGTTTTCATGCCTTCTGGGAAGTTCACAAACCAGCTTGAGGAGGGAGTATCAGGGTTGACAGCGCTTGAAGTGGTCTCGCTAATAGATGTGGGCTTAAGCCCTGTAGTTTCGCTTATTTCTGAGGACAGAAGTGTAGGATTGACGGGGATTAGAGAGTATTGGCCATTCAAGATTTGGCCAATTTTCCTTGGCACATTGGTAACTCGATATGAGACCCATCGGGAGCTGCGTTCTATCTGGCAGTTAACAAAGAATGCAGAGATAATCTCTTTCTGGGCCTCAAGGGCTAGGAGGGCTTCCGGAGATGAGGGACATAGTGCAAAGCCAGTCTTTGTGGTTTGAACTTCTTTTAGTGCTGCACTGTTTGAGTTTAGTTGAGACCTTAGGCTAGAGTAGATAGCGTAGGCTTCCATTTTTCTAGCTGCATGATCAGCTGGGAGACGTACGAAGAGCCGATTGTCAGGAAGGGGTTGTTTAATCAGAGGCATAGGCTTTTTAGCAGGGGCTTTAGAGTGAGTGGTGGGAGTTGATTTGGCTGGGGCATGTTGGGTAATAGTCGCATAAGTTGACTGTTCAAGACCTGAGGGGGGGCGTGAGAGAGGGGGTGAGGGGAGAAAGGAATTTGGAGTGAGGGAAGGGGAAGAGGATAGGGCAGGGGGAATGGAGGTCGTCGAGATACCGCTAATGTAGGCGTTAAAATGTTGTTAGGCTATTGAGGCGAGGTCATCGCTTAGAGCGGTGAGGGCTCTCAGTAGGTGAGGGGCAAGGCCGGCGGTTTGGCTGCGGTGTTTGTCGAGGAATGCAGCTATAGGGCTGAAGATCTTCTGTCCTTCAGAAGCTCTTGTCGTGGCTGCAAACGTGGATTCCAGGAGGGCTGTCTGTAGAGGGCCATCTGTACCAGAGCCTTTACGCGCCATGGTGTTGCCAGGCGCGTTGAGACGCGTCAACGGTCGCGCTCTTGGGAGCTAAGTAGTAGAGAGGGGTGAGGAATTTGAGCCTCTGACTGTTTGATATGAATAATTAAAAAGGAAGTCGCCTATCAACTCGAAATCGAGGGCTCCTACAACTCAGGGGTTGAGACTATAATTAGCCTCGGAATCACTAGTCATCACGTGACCTTGTGATCATATTCTTTACACTTATTTCCTTCCACTAGGCTCTTGGCTGCATAGGGTTAGGGCTGTAGATGCCGTGCTAGTATTGCTATTAGCTAGATACGTTCTCAATATAACTAACTCTATGAATATTCTCTTTTATATTCCATTTTCGTTTTAGGGCCACCGCGTGCGCAGCGCGCGTCTAGTTACAAAACTCTAAGACAGGGGGTTCGGAATAACTTATGAATTCAGTTTAGCATATCTTGGCTGCAAAGGTTGAGAAAGCATTGGAGTGAAAGCATGCACTCACTGGTTTTGCAATTAACTGTAGCAGAATATAATTGAATAAGATTGGTTACAGTTGGATGTATGGATAAATAATTTCATTAACCCTGACTTCTCCCCTTGGGAGATGTTCAATACTAATGTGTGTAATGAATCTAATGATCTGGCTTTAGAACGTAGATTGATTGGCAAAATCTCGAAACTAGAAAAGTGCAAGAAAAACAAGCAAGGAAACAAGAAGACTCTGATCTCCAGGAAGAACTGGATGGCCAGGATGGGCTCCTTATAAGCTTCAATTCAGCATAGCAGATACTGTCGTACAAAGAACAGTGACGCTGTACTTGTACAATGTGAGAAAGAAACAACAGAAACAAGGCACTAAATGTAACAAACAACAAAGGACAACAAAGAACAGTAAGAAGCTATCCAGAGCGACAAGATCTGAGTTAGGGTTGGAGCGAGAGCAAACCCTAACAATGCGCCTCGTAGAAATTTGATGTACAGGTCGGCCTATAATCAAGATCTCACTGAACTCCCTACGCCAGATGCGAAGCTTCATGAATGTTTCAGTCAGGTGTTTAAACGATGAACTGCAGCAGCATGATTCTGCCAATGCATCTGTTCTAAGTATTCCTTCCCATCAGCGCAGAAGTTACACATTTGATCGTTCAGATGCTTGGGTCGAAAATGTCTGAGAAGACTCTGATGCTGAGAGAATTTCTTGCCACATTGAAAGCAAATCAAGGGTTTCCTAGCGGTCTTGACATGCTTCTGATCCTGCTCGTGCTTTTTCTTCGCAATAGCCAACTTGTCATTCTCCACATTATTGGACCTTTTTGCTGCTTTTTTGGACGTGTCGTCATCACTGACATTCTGCTTTCGCTTCGGTCGACCTCGAAGGGGCCCGCCTTCCTGGAAATCACAGTACATTGTAACGACTTCTACACCCACATTGCGCCGCTGCCATTCTCCTTCCAAAGTCCATACAGTCGGCACAGTGGTTAGGCCCTCTACGAGTCTGACCTGCTGAAGAGGCATGTCATCTTCCGGCAGGACTTCAACTGCACCGTCGTCCGGTAAGATTGTACCATCAAGCTGCCCATTAGCGTCGATGACGGCTTGTTTCGGCCCAAAGTCGCGCCGTACCTGAGCTAAACGCTTGTATCGGAGCCTCTGCCGAGTATTTAGAACCCGGCCTTGGGCCTGAGCGAGCTCTGAGGCAAGCTCAGGGATCGGATTCCGCTCATAGTCATCCTGCAAGGAATCTAACTCACGAATGGCCGCTTGCAGCTCTGGATCACTTTCCACCAAAGCTTTTTCTGTGTCGTCAAGAAAGCGTGGGCGGCGCTTATCTTTGTTTCGGTTCATGCTGTTCAAAGCCCGATCCCAAGGCTGATCCGCGTCTAGACCAAAGACCACTTGTTGCATTTGAGTATGATTTCGTGGGCGATAATGCTTGAGAAAGGTGGAAGTGTCCGCGTGGTTCATGATCAGGTTACGTTCGGAGTCGCTGACCCATCCTAAAAACTCCATGTCAGAAAGCCCCAGTAGCTCAGATTCTGAAGAGGAACGTCTTACCAGTTTTGTCCAGCAGTTTTCCGGTACCATATCGGAATTGATGGAAGAAGAAGACATTTAAAAGACCCATGATGAATGAGATAGATTTGATGGCCGCATAAAAAGCACCATCACTCATGGGTTCCTCGCGAATGATACGTGGCTCTCCTTCAATTTCTTCTACTTTGCAAAATAAGTAGTAGTCATCCATTTCTTTCTTCAGAGGTAACTCCAGTTGCTGGCAGCCGCGCATAACAAAGAGACGACGCAAATCATCCATCGATTTGATATTAGTTTGGAAAGCGTTGGCATGGAATAGCAGTCCCATGATAAAGACATGGGGACTGAAGACGAGCGAAACACCATAGATGATTTCCGGGAAGGAGAAGGTATTTCTGCACTCGATATTAGAAGAAACTAGGTAATAAGATACGTATAAGGATTGAGGTATAGCATACAGTGCTTTTGTGCCAAGAAGCTGCTTAATATACTCTGGCTCGATGTCGATTGATAGTACAGGTGGGCCTCCATGAGGGTTGCGCTGTAGGCTGAGACGAAGATGCTTGTACTGCAGTTTAAGAATAGCAGTTTTGCGACTGGCAGTGAAAAGCCCAAGCATCAAGGCTAAGCATAACATGATCCGCTGGATGCCTAGATAGAACCGTTTCTCCCGTGTCCGGAGAATTGTTTCATTGAAAGGAATCATGTCCTCAATATAGACCGGATCATTCTTACGAGGCTGTGTCCTTAAGTTGAACTCAACGATCAATTGCGCTATGCCCTACGTTACGTTAGCCACTAGTAGCATCAAGCTAGAACAGCTATACAGCATACCGTGCGTAGGCGCGTTGCCATGCTCTTCTTCATCCGCCGCTTTTTCACCCGTTGATAGTACCCTCGCAAGTACTTCCAGTCTGTCTTCAAAGAGTCGGCACTGCCATAGCCTTTACAAACTCGGTTATCTTTTCCATACTGCAGTCTGCAGCACCAGTGTAAGAACCGATATAGCCAATCCGCAGATGCCCTGCGGAGAGCAGCCTCTGGTTTGCTCCAGTTCAAGCGACGACACTTTTCTTTGACTTTTACTTTGCAGAATCTATTAAGAGTCAGGATATCAGTTGCAGAACAGGGATACTGAAACAGACACAGTACGAACCGATGCCAACGATCTACTATTCGTAATTGTAATTTCTTTGTGTTGTCAGACTTGATGAAATCTGGATCAATATCGGAGAGGTTTTGGGTAGGATTATCGCTTGGGTCTTCATAGCGCCGACTCTTATAAATAGCGACCTTCTCAAGGCTGATTCGGTGAGAGGGAGTCACAGACCCTTCAGCATTGGAAAATGTTTCATCCTTGAGTTTTATTAGAGCGGTATCTGAAGCGATCTCGTCTTCGGTTTCAGACAAATCAGCATTAGATGTATTAACCTCAGATTCTGTCAGATCCATATCTGAAGTAATTTCATCTTCTGGTTCAGTCAGATCAGTATCGGAGGAATCTGATTCCGTAGAGCTTCTGTCCTTGTCCGAGTTGTCTGAATCGTGATACCAATGACGAGCCATGGTCTGCTGTGGTTAAGGGAAGTTTTGCAAGACAGTCACACTCGTAGAGAAAGCTTAAGGAGGTAATGAAGCCTAACAACCCAAAAAGATAAAAGAAATGAAATTACTCATGATTTCACGAACGGGAATAGCATCGGGCTTATAAAGGAGAGAAAAGACCAGCGATGGGCTAAAGTAGTGTGAGTCTCCATGTCTGCTAATCTAGTAGCTACTTTCGCTGAATGAACCTAGTAGTGCTGCTATGAGTCGAAGTGGTGCTCCTCAAAGTGAAACTGCGACGAGATGGGAAACTGAACAAAAATCAGACTGCAGCAGCTTGAGACCACTTGATGTGGATACAGTGGGACCTAGGCGAAATACGCAAGGTGCGTGGTAATAACAGATTAACCCTAACCCTTAAATAATGTACGAAGCAAGCCGAATGTCGCTCCTAATAGAGTTTAGTTCCGCACCCCGGGTACAAATTGAAATTCTTATGAAGTAGAGAAGCTGTTTTCCCTTGGTTCAGGGCTTATTCTATGTCGTGTGTTAGATATGTAGTTAGATTGATTGCTAATCTTAGAGGGAGGGCTCTAAATTATTAGCTTGCTAGGACCTTATAGTGGATTGCTATCCAGGCCATGTTCCATATCACTAGACATTTGAGACCTTTTCCTAGGACAGAGAGGAGAGCGATAAGCCAGTAGGACCTAGGGTTGGTCTAGTCTTCTTTGCTAGGCTTTTGCAGAATAGTGAGAATTGCATGTCTGAAATATTTTAGATGATATCCTAATTGTAGGCAGCCTTAGAATAGGAATAAGATCTTGTTTTTGATTAGTGGCCAGGTAGTCTTTAGGATATTAGTTTGGAGTTCATCTTCTCCTGGAGCGGTATTTCTAGCCTTTAAAATAGACTTTTCCACTTGTGCTATAGTAATCTTAGGTAACGGAAGGGTAGCGGTAGGGATAGTTGGGCAGTCTAGTGGGATATCTCCTGCCTTTATTATATTTTGTAGGAGATTGTGAACTAGTAGGTCCTGCTTCTCCTGAACAGAGACTGCAGGTAGATTATCTGGCCATAATAGATCCTTAAGAGGAGGGCTGCGATATAACCCCCTCAATTTATACTATTTACTGATATTGAAGACCTCTTTCGTTTATGTGGCAGTTATTAGCTTATTGCGCCAGAACTCTCTTTGTGTTTTCCTAATTGTCCTGCGAAACTCATCTTTAGATAGTAATCCTAATCAGTACGCTTGTAAAGCTTCTTTGTATTCTGGATTCTACCATGGTTGTCCTTTTTTATGGGGGAGGGATCTCTTGGCAGAGCCTTCATACGCACTGTGTATTGCCGAGGTCAGCCCTTGGGCTAGTGACTCTAGGTCGTCCTTCGAGGAGTCCAGCGGTTAGATCTGTGAGAGGTTGATGGAGAGGAGAGATAGAAAGAGGGGTTGATTGAGTGTATCGAATCTTATTTTTTGGGTAGGTAGTATGTGTCTTTGGTCCCATAGAATAGTGGTTAGCAGTAGTGTATGATTGGAGATTAAGTCTAGGTAGGGGGCGGTACTGGTGTATAGTCCGCTTAGCGCTAGTAAGCTAGTAGCAAAGGTAAGGTCTAGAACATTGCCTCTTATATAGGTTGGATAGTCTATTTCTAATGTAAGGATAAAATCTAGGTGATCTAATTATTTAATAAAGGGGTCTGCTGATACGTTGCTATCTAATATATAGAAGATTAAAGTCTCCAGCGAGGAGGGTGGGTTATAGGAATAATATCTCTGGAAGGGATATAAGGGTCTCTATGGCTTTACCAGCTCTGGTGGAGCCAGCTGGAGCATTATAGGCATTGATGGTGAGGACTGATTGTCTAGTTAAGGAGGAAATTTATAGAAAGAGTAAATCAGATAGGATTGCTAGATCTGTAATGATAGGCCAGAGCTGGGATGCTTATAGGCCTGCATTTTTCTAGATATAGGTAAGGACATGGGGCTGTCCAGTTACTGTCCAGCTATCTATTAGAGAGAAACATTCATATATAGGATGTCTCTTGGTGATTTTTTGGCTTAGATTAGAAAATATATATAGTTCCTGTATGAGTAGGACATCGATGTTATTAGTATGTATGAGTGAGAGAGTGATAGTATAGGAATCAGCACTCCATCTAACATTTAGTTGAAGTATTGTAAGGGGTTCTTTTGGAGTGGACTGCCAATAGATCATAGGTGTTCTTTGAGAAGCGAGTTGAACCGGTTTTGTGGTTTAGGAGTTGCAAAGCGCACTGCGCTAACTGTGACTAGAGATTCCTGAGAGGGCGCTGGAGGTAGGGGAGTGGTTAGTCGGAAAGATGAGGCAATCTAGATTTATATATATAGTGTATCTATAACCATAGACTGCTCTTGTGTGGTTGCAGATAACTCTGAGGAGCAGCCTTGTTCTGTACACGCCTTTACTAGGTTGATAGTGCATGATTTGCGGATTTCTACTTGTTGGGCTTTAGTACAAGTGGTACCAGCTTTAGGGTGGAGTGGATAGTCAGGAGAGTCCGCTGGATGGGGTCTATAGTAGTGGAAGCATCTTAGAGAGTAGTGGTAAGGGTTTAGGATAGGATAGCTATTATTATGTCCTTCTTCTATATGTTCTGATGAGCTGTAGAGTTAACATCTTAGAGATTGCACATAGGACCATGTATTGTGCCATTTCTAGCAGCAGTTACATTAAATAATCATTATCTTCCTAGTGAGGAAGTGAGTATTGGTGATAGTACCGAAAAGGCAGAGCCAGGTTAAGAGAGAGGCCTTTGAGTCTTCAGAGAAGTTAATAAACTAGCTTAAAGACAGTGAGTTGGTATTAGTAGCACTCGTGGAAGTCTCACTAATAGAAATAGATCTATATCCTGTTTGCTCGGCGATTTCAGCAGATAGTATTGTTGGGTTGACTAGGATCATAGAATACTAGCTATTGATAATTTGGCCAATCTTTCTTAGCAGGTTTGTGACTCTATATGAGATCTAGTGAGAGCTCCATTCGATTTGGCAGTCGCCAAAGTAAGTAGATATGACTTCTTTCTGGGCCTTGAGGGTTGAAAGGGCCTCCATGGATGCAGGACAGAGGGCAAAGCCAGTCTTTATTATTTGTACTTCTTTTAGAGCATTGCTGTTTATGCCTAGTTGGGACTGGAGGCTAGAGAAGATAGCGTAAGCGTCCATCTTTCTAGCCGCGTGGTCAGGTGGGAGGCACATGAAGAGATGGTGGTCAGGGAGGGATTGTTTCGCATCAGATATAGACTTTTTCATAGGTGGCTTTGTTTGTTGTGTAGCAGTAGCTGGCTTGGCTGGGGTGGGTTTAGTGATTATTGTGTAGGAGGACTGTGCAAGGCTGGAGGGGGGACGAGAGGGGGGGGGGAGTAGGGGGAAGAGGACTGGGGGTAGGAGAAGGGGCTGGGGCAGGGGAAGAGGTAGAGGGAGTAGGAGTGATGCCACTTATATAGGCATTAAAATGGTGTTGAGCCATGGTAGCTAGATCATCGCTTAGAGCAGCAAGAGTTCTTTGTAGGTGGGGGCTGAGGCCGGCTGTCTGGTTGCGGTGTTTGTCGAGAAAAATAGCTATTGGGCTAAAGATTTTCTGACCCTTGGCTGCTCTGATAGTAGCAGCAGTGGTTGTCTCTTGTAGGGCGGTTTGTAGAGACCTCTTGTTAGGTTCAGAACGATTCCGTGCCATGGAGTCGCGGAACGCGTTTTAGCGCGTCTGTGCCGCGTCTCCTGGGACTGGAAGCAGAAGAAAGATAGAAAATATAGGTAGGGATATCGCGTCTAACAATGCAGTTGTACTCAACGGTCCGGTAGTGTCACTGGTTGTGTCCTGTGTGTGTCTGTGTGTGTGTGTGTTGTGTGTGTGTGTGTGTGTATCCAGGGACCCATCGGATTTAGATTGATCTACTTTTGGTGTGTGGAAGCTTTTCGCGCAGTGGCCAGGCGGCTGCAAGGGTGTAAAAAGATTCAAAGACTTCTTAAGAGGATCCTGTAGAGGGAGATAGGAGTCACGTGGCAACTTCCAGGTTGTCAAGACAGATCCATAAGTTGGTAGCAAATTAAGCTATTGGGTATGCTATTGCTGCTTGAGCACTAGCTAGAGTAGCTTCTGCTTTGGCATCGAAGACTTCTTTCCCATGTCCGTATGAGAGTGAGGCTCCTATTCGAGCTTGGGCATTCTCACGAGACTCGCGAGGGTGCCAGGGAGCGTATTGGAGAGGGTTTATCTGTTCAGAGTTGGGGAGGGCCAGTATACGGCGGGCAAAATGGCTGGTTTGTCGGCCATTACTAGCGATCTGTTCTGCGCGTCTTCGAAGTGGGTCGACTGTACCGTCGTGGCATAATAGATTTATTCGTCAAATATCAATGAATGCTCTTGCAAATAGTTATAGCCCTTCAGTGATGATGAAATAAATGGAAACCCAGAAGCCATCCTGACCCTTGTGACACCGCAGTGGGTGTCGGGCGCCACACGTATTTGCCTGGATGTTGAAGTCATAACATAGGGTCGATGCAGACTATAAGTTACTACTGCCCCTTGGCTTGGAGGATTTCACATAGGGCTCTGATAACCGCCTTCATTGCAAAAATCCTACTTTACATTTTCTTCCGAAATTCACAAAGATTACCTAAAGCAGAAGAACTATACTTTATTCTTTTGATTGGCTTTACCCAAGATCAATCTATACGTACGATTACGAGCGTAATACGTACAATGAGATTGGCTTAGAGCGTCAATGAGAGTGGCCAGAAAGACAGGAGACCGCCTAGGGTACTGTGAGGGCTCATTCAATAGTCATATTGGAAGCTAAGTACAAGAAAACCAAACATGGAGAAAGAAAGAAAAAAACCAGGAACATGAGGCTATCTGCAAACGAGATGTACTGTTTGTTGGATATTTGATACGCTAATCCCAATCCGGATGTACTTACTAATCTTTGAATCCTCGGAAAAGCAACATATCCGCGAGAACAAGAGCGCCAAAAAGTACCGCTCCGCACGAATTTTCGAACTGTTCGAAATTCGCGAATATCGACGAATCGAATCGAATTCGAACCTTGATTTTCGAACTTCGAATCCACGGGCAATTCGATTCGTCAAAATTCGCGAATTTCGAACAGGTTCGCGAACTATATCCCTGGCTTTCTTACAAAAACAGGCTTTTAGGGACCATTAATCCTAAAAAGAAAGCTTCAAATTCATAAATAACTCCAAATACGCCAATTACGCATATAATAAACTATTCAGACTTCCAGCGTGCAGCGTCTTTCAGCCTTAATAAAGTCCCAAGAGTCCTACCATTCATAGAGAAGCGTCGGATTCCTAATATATCTCTCCCGCCATTAAACAATCTCTCTACATCTACCTCTGCTGCTAGTATAGCAAGGTGATCTTGTGCTACCTTGGCCATACAAGGAAATTCAAGCTTGTTAGCCTTCCACCAGTTTCTTATAAACTCAGTCTGACTCTGGTTTGGATCAAAACCAGTACTAATCGTAGGAGTATCAAAATATTGGTCGATATCTGACTCAGAAATGTTATACTGGATAGGCTGGAATGCCTCTAGAAAACGATATTCCAAGCTCTTATAATTTGCACTAAGAGCAGTCGATATAGGCTTTTTTTGTGCAGGATATGCTTTCTTTAGAAAAGCCCTGATTCGGACAATAATCTTCTCTCCATCTGGTAACATTTTAAGCCACTTAGTCTTGATTTGAGGGTCTAGAATGCTTGCAATATAGTATATATCATTGCATTTAACATAGTCGTAATACCTTTCTAGGAGTGAGATTCTATCAGAAACAAGAATAGTTGCTTCAGCTGAGAGATTCTTCCAGTCGCCCTGTCTTTCCCTAATAGCTAACAGCATAGAATGGAGCTCTTCATATAGACGCGCAGCCATATGAATTGAAAGGCTATCTTGAGAGATATACTCAGTATATTCATTAAAGGGAGCTAGAATTTTCTTGATATTAGAGAGCTGCCTCCAATCATCAGATGTAAGACGTAAGGCTTCAATTTCTAGCTCATCATTGACTGTATCTTTAAGCTGCCGACGGCACTCTTCAGCTCTCTCAATCATAATAAAAGTAGAGTTCCATCTAGTATCGACGTCGTAGTTAATAGCTTTAGTGCAGCCAGGCCAATTATCCCACTTCTGTATTCGCTGGGGAGATCGTGCAATCTAAAGGACAAGTATTCGAAGCTTTGCAATAGATGAAGAAGGCACCTTAATCTTCTTCTAACTCTGCTTAGCAACATCATTAAGAAGATCGCAGGCTTCTTTATGCGAACTAGCATATAGAGACTTTAATATAGCCTTCATAACCAAGTTCAAAATGTAAGCAAAGCAGCAGATTTAGGAATTTTGAGTAAATTTTATTGTTCCTTCTTGAATAATAGTCTCTGTTAGATAATCATCATAGCTCTGAGATAACTTCTGGTGAAGATATCGGTATAAAGTGTCGTTATTAGATGCATTATCAGCTGTAATTGTTATAACTTTATTAGATATATAAAATCTCTGAAGAGCTGTAGCTACAATATTAGCTAAGTTTTCTCCTGAGTGGTTTCCTTCAATTTCAACAAATTCAATGCAAGCTTGATATTGCTAAAAATCAGAGGACATCCAGTGAGCATTAATTGCTAGCATTAGCAGTGAATTCTGACTTGTCCAACCATTAAGAGATAGCGCTATTGAGGAGACTGAAGACATTAAGCCTTGTAATTCACTATCAACAGCGTCAAGCCAAAGACTTAATCAACGTGAGATAGTATCTGCACTTGGTATAGAGTCCTGGGACCCGGCAGATCTCAACATAGTCTTAAATGAAGGCTGTTCGACGCATGTAAATGGCTGGGAGGTTAATATAATCTAATTTAAGAGAGCTTCCTCAAACGGAAGCTTTTTTTCCTTTAAAATCCATGAATTTAATGGTCCTTGGCATTCTAAAAGACCATCTTTTAAAAGCTTATGAGTCTGCTGGAGATGCTGTTTTAATGCTATAGTTAAAGATTGTAGTTTAGATGCAAATTAAAAGAATCAACACATAGATGGTGATACAACACATAGATGTTTAAGCTTAGGCCGTTCATTATTCCCTAGTTTCCAGGTACCAGGTTCAGGTGTTATTAAGAAGTATTTCCAGATCCAGCTCCGCTCTCTTGGCCTGGCCTCATCTCTCTGCTTGATTTCAATACTCCTAGCCTCGCATTCCACCTGAGATATTGACTGCGAAGGGTGTATTTCTGTATCGAGGTTTGATAAGCTCCGAGAAACATTACTGTCAGCCGCTGGAGATCCTGAAATCCTAGTGCTAGGCAATTTTGTAGTATGGACTACTTTCTTTTTTCTAGGTGCTGGAAGTGATATATCCCCTTCAAAGAGACCATATTCGTTAAGGGCCACATAATCGCGTTTTTTCTTTCTAGTATGGGGAAGTTCGAATATTAGAGCAAGTGGAGAAGTCATCTGGAATACAATATTAGTATATCTATCTTGTGCCTTAATTAATCACTTACTTTAGTTATATCTCCTTCAAAAGTGCTGGTTTTATGACCTTTAAAGCTGATGGTTTGAACTTGTTATGGATAAAAGCGCGTATTCGTGGAGATGTGTCCGCGTGGTTTATCCGCTAAGCCTGATTAATACTATTCTTTTACTGCACCTCAGTCCTCGACAATACTATGTATGCAATTGTTGATATTTTCACTCTATATTCATTTATTACGTGTAAATAAGCGTGATCTGTCAGTTAATTTAATTTGAAGCAATATAGACTTAAAATAAGGCTTTCGTGATGTTCCGGGAGTTCAGGAGTAGAAATGATATATTCCTAAGATTGACGTTTTGGAGTAAAAAATGATTTCTGTTTATATTGCCCGACAACTTGTTAGATTCAAGGAAAACTATGTAAAATTTTATATCCTAGAATATTTCTAGCTCAGCTCTCCCTATATCTCTTATTTGATAAGAGTTAATTGTTAAATTGTACGCGGTATTGCTATATATGTAAAATCGAGTACGTTGCTGGACATGGTGTTGAACAAAAGTACTGCCGAGTATCTCTTACCGCCTTCCCAATTGGGACTAGATCAAATAAGTTTGCGAACCTCGAATCGAATTCGAATCGACTGTGGGTTCGAATTCGTACGAATAGTCATATTCAGGATTAATTCGAATCGAATCGAATTAGGAAAAAGTTCGATTCGATTCGATTCGTACGGAGCGGTACCAAAAAGCAGACTACATTTTGGAGTCAGGATTGTTATTTATTCTGTAAATCCGTGATATTTCGCCACTACGTTTTGTATATAAGGAGGATCAGGATGTGTATTTAGAAGGGATTGGAGAGTGTGTGCAAATCAGAGTCAATTATTCCTCACCCAAATTGTACGCTCCTATCAGAGCCTAACCCCGTTCGGACTAGTACCAAAAGATTCCAATACTTTACGGAAGTCACATGACTCTCGGAACATAGTTGATCCGCGCCGGAGGGAGATCCACGGATGTAGTTGTCAGATAATCCGGCTTTCAAACGAGGCAGAAAGATCGACTGTTCAATCTTACAGGTCTAAAAGGCACCTTTAGGCATATATCTGGGCACCTAGATTTCAGCCCAATATTTACCCCTCCTGATAGCTCACAAATCACCCCGCCAAAGGTGTCTATAAAGGACCCGGCTTTAAAAAAAAACTTGAAAGACAGACACAGAACTCAATACATACAATCTTGCTAGTCACTTCTTTTCTTTGATCCTAGTAAAACACTCTTCAGGATTGGCCTGGAATAAACCGACCAATCCGACAGTAGTGTCAGATAATCTGGCTTTCAAACGAGGCAGAGAGATCGACTATTCAATCTTACAGGTCTAAAAGGCACCTTTAGGCATATCTCTGGGCACCTAGATTTCAGCCCAATATTTACCCCTCTTGATAGCTCACAAATCACCCCGCCAAAGGTGTCTATAAAAGACCTGGCTTTGAAACTTGAAGGACAGAGAACCGAACACATAGGATCCTGCTAGTCACTTCTTCTTTTACCATCCTCATAAACAATTATTAAGGATTGGCCTGGGGTTAACCGACCAATCCGACATGTAGCACGGTGACACTCCTAACCCTAAATTTTTGTTAGTCAAAAAAACCTTAACCCGAACCCCAATTGCATTCTACTTGCAAACAATCAGGTATTTTGGAGTCACTCGTGGAAAGTCACTTTCTTGTGGTGAGGGACATTAGTAAGCTGGATTACATGGTCTAGCTGAAGCTGAGAACTTTCCAAGTCGAAACTCCAGTGGAAAACCCCTTATTGGTTGGAACAACCGGGTGGGAGGGCTTCAAAAGAACACGTCTATAGTACAACTTCAACCGCGTCGACAAGTGTTACGGGCTAGTCCCGTTTAATGCTCATTATAGGGGCATATTTGAATAGAAAACGTAACACGAGGAAAGGAAAGAGTAAGAAAACAACAAGTTTTTCACGCGCATACAATCTTACATAGGCAAGGGGAATTGGGAGCTTCCGACGGGCTTCTCTGAATAGTAACTCGCCTGCCCTACCGGTTTGGCCACGTTTCCATTCGCCGGTCCTTTGTTTGCTATCTGGAGCTGTTGCTAGCGAGGCATTCAGCTACTTCAAGCGCTATTTTGAGAAGTACTCTTGGTAAATTGCTACTAAGGGAAGAGGTTCATGGAACTACACCGAGAATGGATGCGCGGGGAATCCGGCCACAGAGGGAGGGGTTATTACGTTTTGGGGGAATATAACTACAATGACAAGAAGGGAATGTCCAAGACATAACATCTTGTGCTTGAAGCAGGAAAACTGACTCTGTTGTGTGTGTCTCTCTAGGAACCTAGGTTCCTAGGAGCGGAGATATCTAGCTACCAGCGCGCTAACTACATCTGGTAGGCGGTGCTGACTATCTAAGGGCAGAATCCCAACATAACATATAGGCTAGGGGGGTTTTTGCAGCTGATACAGCTTTTCCTCTTGAAATGAGACTGTGACCATAATGTATGCAATGGAGGGCAAATAGCGTATTGGAGCCCTTTAGGCTTGGTGCCTCCGGGCGTAATGAATTTACTACAACTACAACAACAACTACTACTACTACAGTGCCCACTATCACATTCACATCCCAACATCTAAACTGCGATGCTCAGGCATACCAGGTCTGGGAAGACAGCACATATGGTCTGCAAAATCTAGTCTGCGCTGTAATATCTGCTATTTCCTTCCTCTGTTTAGATCATCAAATGTTGGGAATATCACCTCACCTCACATATCACCTTTGCCAGCTATTTACATCCATACTAGATCATCTAGTATGCGCGCAGCTTTTTGGTCTAGTTGGTCAAAAGCCCAACATCAAATATCTAAACTTCTAAACTTTGGGGTAAACATAGATACTGCTAGTAGCGGTAACATTTTAGATCAATCTATTAATATTGTATCACTGTCTCAATTTGTGTCACTGTATACTGTAGTATCATACCCTGTGTTATCATTTATAGCTCTGGCCTCATTTTGTGACACTGTGGTTAAACTGAGATACTCATTGAGTTTAGTTTTGGGAATAAGTGTTATGATTTCTGGATATGACATAGATGGGTGCGCATCACAAGATAGCCATATACCGTGTAGATAACTCCTAAAGAAATCATCAATTAGAGTTGTCAATCGAAGTCTACAAGAGTGAAGCCATAGTATGTCCGCATTCAGGACCATCACATCAACCGATCTCAGTATAATAGCAATACTTCATTCTTTTTATTACTTTTTCTCCATTAGTAGAATATCCTTAGTTCTTTTCGATATAATACGGACTGATTGATGCTAAACCAACAGAATATCACTATCATTGAGTCGAATTATGAGCGGCTGTAACACTTATCATCTATGGATTTATACTTTAGTCTTAAAGGAACCCAGTGTGTGGCACTTAGCTGCTAGAATGCCCCGTAGGAGTTACACTGTGCACGAATTGTGCTAGATTATCTTAACTATCACTTGACCAACCAAAAAATCCATTACTTGACTAAATCAGTTGCAAGATGGTTCTATTGGTATAGCCTCCTGTGCCTCAGAGAAGTCTGATTCTTATAATATAGGGAATTTTCTTTGCTTGTATAACATGACTCTCAACCGAACAAGACAAAAAAACCAAATAAATTAATAGAAAAGAACGGTCTGTCTATTTTACCAGCGTAGAACCGAAATAGGTATCTTGAATCTGATAGTTAATGCATATCGATAATTCAAATTGGTCAGTCTAGTAGGTGATGAGAAGTAACCCAACCGGGATTAGGGGTAATATATGGCAACACAGTATGATTAGTTCCACAAGCATCCTACATATCAAAACTCACTGGTAGACATGTAACGCATAGTTGCAGTCTTACTTGTTATGTGACATCGAGCATTTCAACTCAAGACTAATATGAGATGATGCTCATTTTTCAGTATACTAACTACTGCTATAAATATCTGTAGAAATCACGCCATTATCGATTCATAACAGATCCAAGTGACATATCAGACATCAAAATCACATCATAAACATTGCTGTCGTTGTCATTATATTATTATTTCAACATGGTCAGAAGCTCAGCCTTTATTATCCTTTTTTACAGTGAGTCGAATATATTATTTTATACAATATAGACTTGAGTCCTGACTTCATAGTAGGTGTTATGTGTGCTGCCTATGCTGGAGTGAAAGGGAATGTAAAGGTGAGAAGCGTTCGCAATGCTACACTTGTATGTTCGGCCTATAGCTACTCTTCTGTGAAATCCTTGATTGCTGATCCCAGCGTCTATAGTGTCTATCTGAATTTGACCCAGTTAACTGTACTTGCACGGGAATTGTAAGTTCTGTCGAATCAGTCTACTGTTATTTTGTTATAATATTGTCTAATACTAATTCTACGCTGTTTAATAGTGCCCAGTTGGCGAAACCTGCTGTAGTGGGGCCTGTGTCAATCTGCTTACAGACTATCAAAATTGTGGAGTTTGTCACAGAACTGTAAGATACACACTTATCCTGTTCTAAGTTTTGCTAAATTCTCATGCCACATTATTTACTCAATATTCTATTATCTGATAGTGTCTAACTGGTACTATTTGCTCTAATGGTACCTGCAATTCTTGTCCAATTGGGCAAACAGCTTGCAATGGCACTTGCACTAGCCTAAGCTCTGATCCTTCAAACTGTGGATCATGTGGTAATGTAGTAAGTTTAATTATATATCTTTTCTTTATTTTCTTTCTTTGTTTTTTATCCTACGAAGTACTAATTACATCTTGATAGTGTCCAAGTGGTGATATCTGCTCTAGTGGCACCTGCAATTCTTGTCCAACTGGGCAAACAGCATGCAATGGTACTTGTACTGATTTAACCTCTGATCCTTCAAACTGTGGATCATGTGGCAATGCAGTAAGTGCAATCATATATCCTGTTTTATTTTCTTTCTGATTTTTTAATCCTGTTGAGTACTGATTATGTCTTAATAGTGTCCAAGTGGTAATATCTGCTCTGGGGGTACTTGTTCTTGTCCAACTGGGCAAACAGCATGCAATGGCACTTGCGCTGATCTAAGCTCTGATCCTTTAAACTGTGGATCATGTGGCAATGCAGTAAGTGCAATCATATATCCTATTTTATTTTCTTTCTGATTTTTTAGTTCTATTGAGTACTGATTATGTCTTGATAGTGTCCAGGTGGTGATATCTGCTCTGGGGGTACTTGTTCTTGCCCAACTGGGCAAACAGCATGCAATGGTACTTGCGCTGATCTAAGCTCTGATCCTTTAAACTGTGGATCATGTGGCAATGCAGTAAGTGCAATCATATATCCTGTTTTATTTTCTTTCTGATTTTTTAGTTCTATTGAGTACTGATTACATCTTGATAGTGTCCAAGTGGTGATATCTGCTCTGGGGGTACTTGTTCTTGCCCAACTGGGCAAACAGCATGCAATGGTACTTGTACTGACCTAAGCTCTGATCCTTCAAACTGTGGATCATGTGATAATGCAGTAAGTTCAATCATATATCCTTTTTCATTTTCTTTCTGATTTTTTTATCCTATTGAGTACTGAATATGTCTCTTGATAGTGCCCGAGTTTTGATGCTTGTTGCGGTGGAAGTTGCCGATATTTGAATACCTGTCCTTTCAATTGTGGGAGGTGTGGTAATGTAGTAGGTTTTCCCTGCTGCTTTATTGTCTCTGTTCTCTCATGTTGGTTAAGATTACTAACTGTATGTTTATTAGTGTCCAAGTGGAGTCTGCTGTAATGGAAATTGCACCAATGTCCACTCAGATCCTCTAAACTGTGGATTTTGCGGAAATGCAGTAAGTTAATAATCCTGCTACTTTCTCTTCTATTTTTCTTTATATTTCTTATTTCATGAACAGGTACTGATTTTATACCTGTCATAGTGTCCAAACGGTACTATTTGCTCTAATGGTATCTGCAATTCTTGTCCAACTGGGCAAACAGCATGCAATGGCACTTGTACCGACCTAAGCTCTGATCCTTTAAACTGTGGATCATGTGGCAATGCAGTAAGCGCAATCATATATCCTGTTTTATTTTCTTTCTGATTTTTTAGTTCTATTGAGTACTGATTACATCTTGATAGTGTCCAAGTGGTGATATCTGCTCTGGGGGTACTTGTTCTTGTCCAACTGGGCAAACAGCATGCAATGGTACTTGCACTGACCTAAGCTCTGATCCTTCAAACTGTGGATCATGTGGTAATGCAGTAGGTTTAGCTCTATTATCTTTCACTATATCTTCCTTTCTTGCCTCAATTTCAAATACTGATTGAATAATCTCTAATAGTGTATACGTGGAGCCATTTGCTCTGGAAGTACTTGCGCTTGTCCGGGTGCACGCTACCACTCTGGGTTCTAATACCGTTAAGTGAGTAAGATGTAGAATCCAAGCTGTTCATTTAGTATATTAATATAGTACGAGTCGATTAGGTGTCTAGTTGGAAATCCATTATCAACAATATCCGAAGCAATTCCCAATAAATGCCAGTCAGACAGTAATTGATTCAACACTGTTTTACTTGATGTATTAGGCCAGATTGCTATCATTTTTGGGTAGCTAAATACAGCTATTGGTTTTCTTAAACCCTTGATCTTGTCGTAAACCTTGGTTGTCGGGTAGTCAGATCAGAGTAAACTTCTCACTGAATTAAGGTTCGGTGGTATTCTGCTAACAAGAGTGTCACGAAGACGAAGTATCGTAATATATCAAAGAGATAATAAGAGAGAAGTAACTGTGTTAACTAGCCTAGAGTGATCTGTGTACCGGGCTTGTCATCGATTAATCTATAAGGTGCCGATAAATAATCGTTATCGATAATTGATATGTTAGAATATCGTGATATTTACCACGAAGAAAACAAGGACATTTGAACAACCCGGAGACAGGTCATTCCCCTATTTTCAGCTAATCAGAGGCCTACGAACAGTATGCCTCACGTTTCATAAAACGTCAGATATGATATATCATATTGTAGATCATGTGAGGGCTCAAACAATATGAATTGGAAGCTAACTACAAGAAAACTAAGCATGGGGAAGAAAACGGAAAGGGTAGGAACATGAAGCTATCCAATGACCCTATATCCCTGTGTCGGAACGTTGGTTTACTAGAGCGATGACTAAGCGAAGGCGAGCACTAAACGATAACGTGTTTCACGGGTAAACGGCGCACCCGGGTAAGTGGCACAGCCGCATCCCACTTGGTTCAAAGAACTCGTACAATTTATATGCAAACAGTGAATAAATTAATATTTACCTATGTAGATATATTTGGACAGCGATTGCGCTTATGCCCTATTTCCCAGCAATTACTACACCTTGGTAGGGCCCGTTGAGCTGGCTGCAAAGGCGCGCTCCCGTTGGGTGGAGGAGGGGGTTGAGCCTCTTCAGGAAGCTCCTGAGCAAGCTCTCGGCCTTCAGCGACTGTCAAAATACCATCGGCTTGTAGGGCTTTTGTACGGCGAGTGCGGCGCTTCTGTAAAATATCATTTGCTTCGCGTAGGTTATGGTTCTCCCTAGCTAAAATGGCAGCTTGGTGCATCACTACAAGGGATCCCTTGATCAACTGGTTAAAAGCCGGACACGATGGCGAATTGCTGTCTAAATCTCCCATATTGAGAGATCTCTTGACAGATTTGGCCTGTTTTTCTAGCGTACGGGCATTGTAAGGCGTTTTTGGGCTCCAGGTGCTGCTGCTTGACGTGCTAGGGCGAATTGAGGCTGGAGTAGCCTCCCGGACAGCAATTTGCAACTGAGATAGGACTTTTTGTGGATTATATGGCACAATCCCAGTGTGTGAAAAGCCGCTCTTAATATTTTGTGTGGTATAAGTTTGGATCCGTACGCTGTAAAGCATATCTAAGAAATCCAGCTTATCAACATGGTAAATCCCAATCCGAATCCGGCTCTCAACGGCGGCCCCGTACAAGCGCTTCAACACTGAAAACACCCCTACATCTAGAGGCTGAAGAAGATGAGATGAATGAGGAGGCATGCAACATGCAATAATATTATTATTTTTACATGCCTGATCAAATCCCGGTGTTAAATGGCTGCTATGGCCATCAAGTATCAAAAGCCGATAGGTACCAACTGTGAGAGGCTCGTTTTGGCTCAAATATCCTTTCTAGCCACTGTAAGCCGATTTCATCAGATGTCCAGCCATTTGGAGAGTGCGTAATTGACCAATCAGGGGGAAGCTTTGGGCTTGTATAACACTCAGCTCTGTTGGTGCCGGATTTGAATATAATCAGGGGAGGCACCACAGTGCCGGTGCTTCCAACGCACTCAACAATAGTAACCCATTCACGATTTCCTGGCTGAATGAGGCTAGGTTTTCCTGAACGATCTGAGCTGCATATAACTTTTGCTGTAGAAGAGATCCCCATGGCGAACCCTGTCTCGTCAAAGTTGTATATATCTTCATCGGCAATCCCATATTCCTCTTTGAGCTGCTTAATCTCCTCAAAAAAGCCACCAATAACGACTGGATCTTCACAAAGAGCTCTAGAATAGGATAATCGGCGTGCGAATTTAGCCTTGAGATCCGGTTGTCGCTTAAGAAAGGTTGTTACCTAATTCTTACCAACCTTCTCAGGTATTTTGGTAGGATCTCTTTGAGCTAGCAAAATATTTGCCATTTCATGGAGCATATGCTGCCTAGGCGGAACGCCACGGCGCTCTAGTGAGAAGACCCAACCCCGGAGTACAGCTTCTTCTGTAGGGGTCATCTTTCTGCGTGTAATACTGGCATTATGCGCTGGAACTGAGCCCTTCAGGCGCCTTCGCAGTGTTGTTAAAGATACGTCAAAAGTGCGTGCGGCGTCGCGTAATTTCGTGATTTTTTCGTTATTTAGCGCATCAATAGCAAGAGAAAGCTTCCCTTCATAGCTAGGATCATTTTTTGTACGCGATTTAACCATTTTTTAATGCTGTTGGTTCTGCGGAAAGTTGTTGCTAGAAATCCGGATGGAATTTTGATGTGGTGTGCCACTTACCCGGGTGCGCCGCTTACCCGTGAAACACGTTATCATATAAAGGATTTAGTAAGTGATAATCTATCTATTTGAAGCAGTGATTGTGACAATAGTACTTAGGGTTAAGAACTTTGCTGCCTTCCACAATGCCACGACTACATTTCGAAAAGATTTAGACGTCTTACACTCGGAAATTCGAGTTACTCGACACCAGTGTCGGCCATCAAGAAAATCAGCCGGGAAAGAGATGGATTCCGAAAAGCGCAAATGATGACAAACCCAGGGCAACAGGGGAGGTGCAAGGTTCCTTAAAAAAGAATGGTGGAAAGAGTATTGATGTTGAAAAAGCATTGCAGGGTCTCGGTGTAAGGGAATTTGACTCAGCCCATGAACTGGAAGACAGACAGTCTATACCAAAATCTGACATGCACGAGAATGCCACAATAAATGAAGGCTCCGCTATCAGAATAGCTGAACTGGAGGAAGAGATAGATCGTTTGCAGGGCCAACTAAAGTTATATAACGACGGTTATCAGTTCCTACAGCAACAGCTTCGAGCCGCCCAGGAAGGAGCATTTCGTGCATTAAGGAACGTGGATGCCAAAAGAGGATCACCGCGTGAGAGAAGAATTCGCGAAGCTAGAGCAGAATATGAGAACGAGGAGCAATTTCGTTCACCATTTGGCACTCAGCTTGTTGCACTTTACAACGAAATGCAAAGGTCCCCCCTCCCATTCCTTAGATTTCAACCCCTAGATTAGCGGAACGTTGCTTACTTTCTTTTCTCTTTTTTTAAACAGTGAATGAAGCACAAGCGCATGTTTGGCGCTCTGACACCCTTTGACTCTTGAACGCAATTCCGAAGTCCGGCTCAGAGTCCAGCCTTACCTCTAAGACGCGAGATATGAGAAAACGGGTAAGCATAAAACGAGCACAAGACTTCCTTCAAGGTCCTGTACGATCACTCTGTACGGATTTGAAGGACAGTGAGTGGAGCAAGTGTAAAGAAGAACTGCAAGAAGTCTACATTTGAGCAGCCGACCTGTCCGCTTCTCTGTGGACACAGAGGACGTACATGAGAAACCATAACCCAGAATCTGTATTCAAGGGGCCCTCGTTGGGAATGATGGTAGCGGTTGTAGAATCTTTCAAATAACCTTTTCTCGAAGTGCAGCATCTGATCGAAGTTGCGACTGAAAGGGAAGTCATTGATGTTGAGTGAAAGGCGGCTGTATCAAGGATAGGTATTGATATAATGAATATCTACGGCTTGGTCGTAGAACTAGCAAGCATCGTCTCTCGCTTTCAAGATGCGCAATTGGTTTTCTTCTGAGGGAACACCAGAGGAGCGAAACGTTCCACCACTTCAGCTGTCGAGTACTCGGGTCCAAATTCCCAGCACCATGACGTGTAATGCTTAGCCTCTCTTTCTGCATCTTGAGATTTTCTAGTACCAGTAGTCTCTGAACGTGCTTTTTTGCCCGATGGCCTATAATCATCATGTGAACCTTCGCCGTGAGATCTTTTTCGTTTCTCATGTCGAGTAGTTCCTGAAATTGCTTCATCGTGGTCGCTCGGGTCATTGCTGTCCTCGGTATCATCTTGAACGACGGCGCCGAAGTATAGACTGTAGAGTTCTTGTAATTTGTTGCGCTGTTCTAGGAAACCACATCGCGGATTTCCGAGAAGTGAGAAACATCGTCGAAGCATTGCAAGTGGAGCTCCGTTCCATTCCTTGGGCTGCAGATAAGGTGCGATAAACTCCGCTATTGTTGGAATTCCAGGATGCAGGTATTTTTTGATCTCGATTGGCTTATAAATTCCGCCAGCACGTGTATATTGCTCCCCATTCTGCACTGTTCTCTGGGGCATAAGTCCGCTCCTTGTAGCTGCACGTCTCCGATCTCGGCGATCTCTTTTTTCGAAATCAATAAAGAATTGTAGGTCTGTAGGCATGATAGCTAGACCAGGATCACTATCTGAGTCATAGTTAGCGCGGCATACTCCACATAATGGAATTGCGTTATGTTGTGCTGTTAAGTTGTAGTTGACTAGGCCTCGCGCATAAAGAAAATCTACCTATATTTAGACTCCTGAAATAGCCCATTTGCTATGCGTTGAAGTTTTTTCCATGACCGTCTAGATGCAGGCGCTTAGTTATCAAGGGGCTGCGCAAAATAGCTTCACGCGCGAAACAAGTACCATCACGACTATGCAATCCCATTTGCTGCCAACACCAGCTCAGGCCCCTGCTCGCTGTACTAACGCACCATGCCTTTTTACTCACGCACGTACAACCGGCGACGCTTCGAACACGCAGGTCTCAATTTTAGTGCAAGCTAGGCTGGCATGACGGAGCACTTGGCCCACAGTCCAATCAGCATGTAGATTGCTTCCACGTCAGTACCGCGTCGCGAGACTATCGACAGACAGGGCGACATCGTCCACTTGGAAGCATCCAGCCAGCCCGGCTGGAAGTGGGGTGTTTGGGCAGTAATCATGAGACAAGGTAAAATCCGGCCAAAACCGGATTCAAAGCAACTGCACGGTCAGTGAGGTGTTGGCATGAAGGGGAAAATCAAGGTGAAAAAAGAGGTCAAGTTGAGGAGACCAGCGCTGTTCGACACTGAAGGGCCGATGAAATTCCGTGAGCCGGCCATATGGTGAGCGCTTTTTGAGACAAGGGTCTGAGATTGTCAGAAGAGACCTACGAGAAAGCATGGATTCTAGTGTGGGCGTCAAGTTCAGCAGCTGAACGATGGTAAACGAAGACACTGCATGAAAAGCGGGTTGACGAGAGCAGAGCTGCTAATCACCGGTCGCCGTTGCAGGTTGAGATTGCACGGTGGCCGATCGCGTGGAGCAATTGAAAATCGTCGATGAGGCAAAACTGCCACCGCGACGGAAAGAAAAAGAGGAAATGAAATGAGGTTGAGTAAAAACAGCGAGAGAATGCTCGAATTTATAGATGTACAATGATCAGATAACTGTAGTAAAATATCGGCCATTTGACGATAAACCAGATTGAGTCTTTCTGATGAAATATCCGGGTTCATGAGTGGTCTCTCTTGGCGCCAACGACCAGGTATATTAAGAGCATCAATGAAGTCATAGTCATGATCAATATATTCCATGATAATAAATGGCCCTAGGCCACATGGACTTCCCGCAGCCATTCCAGAGTGTAAAATGTGAGGCACACGAATGTTGGTAAAATGTTCAAGGAACCGCATCACAGCTATTTCACGCTTGACTTTTTCTTCTGGGAATACCGAAGCGCCAGGGCATGGAAACCTCATTACCGCTGAACCCCCGTCTTTGAATTTCATCCGAATCCAAGTATTAAAGGTTCCTCTTTTAGGAGCAAAAAGTTCATCAGGGACTCCTCCCCGATGCTTATCTCTAGTTGCTCCGATTTCTCGAAGGACTTCCCAATCGAAAATTTTGTTCTTCCACGGTTCAAATAAATTCTCACATCTCCCATGCAAGATCATCATAATCCATACATTTTGGCATTTTGATCAAGTTTGAAGCCATGGTGAATATTCAATAATCGTCGGTTTTGTGAATGTCGATTCGGGCGGAGGTCATTCAAGTCATTCCATTTATATTCCTGATCAGGCTGGTCTTTCGTGTCGCAGCGGCGGACTTTGAAAAGCGACAGTGAACTTCGAAGTGGGAACATGGAGTTCAAGTGTAGTAGCCAGGCAGGGAGAGGTTTTGACAGGCCTCTAAAATTGCTGCTCCACAGCGGCGTTTGCCGATCTTACTAGCATGCAGAGGCTCTAAGCTCCGGCCCATTACGCGCCTGCTTTCCCCTTGTGTCTTAAGTTAATGAGTGAAACTGATAGGTGATTTATTTAACATGTCAAGACCCAGTAGCCCTAAGAAGCACCCCTGCATTAATAGCTAGATGTTAATTAGAAAAATACTCCCTAAACCAAGACACAGCCTGCTCAAAAGCCTGCTCCTTGCACCAATTCTGATGTCGATTCGCCAGTTCTCTCTTAACAGCAAATCCATGGGAAACACCACTAAACAGTGTAATCTGATATGGCTGACCGGTTCTCGACAGAATATCCTCGGACTTGAATCGTAGTTCTCGAGTAAAGATGCTGTCGGTTTCTACAGTTCATTAGCTACTCTGCACCCTGCCATCTTCTATGATAGGGAATAGGTACCGCTCGCGGTAATCGCCAATGGTTTCTGAATGGCGGCCAGTTCATCGTCGGCGATAAACGAAGGGTGAGCAATGTATCCCGTATCAACGGCCGGGCTACGATCTGCTAAGAAGCGAACCACATACTATAGGATACACTTAGCGCGCTGAAACAGGATGTTAAAACTCGAGAACTTACCTTCCCACCAAAACAATACCCAACCGCACCAATTCTCTGGACTCCTTTCTCTTCTCTCAAATACTTGATCGTTCTTTCAATGACGGGATCAACTGTCTCTACTGAATGCTTCTCTAACCACGGTTTCAGATCAACAGGACCCTTTTCGAATGCATCGGCGGGAATAGCGTCTCCATGGAAAAGATCCGGCATGATAACGGGGCATTTGAGGGATTGCGCAAACAAGTCGGCTTGTAATTTCGAGTTGATATAGATTCCTAGAATATCGGTAATGAAAATTATTGCCGTGTCTGAAGATTTTGTTGCGTCTGTGTGGGTGTCGGGGTAGGTAAAATATGTAGATGCTATTTATTATGTGGTTAGTACGCTTATCACGGTAGAAGGAGGCGGCCTCCTTCTTATCAGCGGGATATTTACGTACTCTGATCGATCTTTCCTATTTCTCCTCTGGGAACTCCGTCATGTTGAAAGCTGGCTACGCAGCACTGTCCTGGAGGATTCGAAGCCATTCTGCTGTCCTGGTGATTTCCACTAGGTTCACAACGTGTTGAGGAAAGTCAGTTAGTCAAGTCCAACTGAAGCCATCTCCCTTAGATCCTTGCAATTTATATTCTCGACAAGCGGAGAATATCGACATTATTTGACAGAATATTACTAATTTATCCGAGTATATTCGACAGAAAAAAAGAATTTCTATGCGGAGATACCACCACCACATATAAACGTCTCCGGATGTGTACATATCATTACTATCGTTGCTTGCATAAAAGCATTGACGTATTATTATTAGTCATCTATTCGTTCACAAGTGCGGCGGAGATATCTCGGTGGAGTCGCGGAGTTGCGGGATTATTGATAAGATCTGGATTAAAGTGGGTAGAAAGATCTAGACCGTAGATTTAGATTAGGGCTAGGGTTGGGGCACTTATCGCGGACCCTGTTGTTTAGTTTACTTTAGGCATGGTGAATAGAAAATTAGTATATTGCTATGCTCTGCTAAATCAATATGCCTCAACGCCGAACCCATATTATCGTAATCCATCAATCGCTGAACGCTATATCAAACAAATATCCGCCCTAAGCAGCGCTTTTATTCACATCGGAGGCTCTCTCATAGAGGCGCAACTCTTCTCCGCCGAGGCAAAAGATTGTCTTTGAGAATCTGGACCTCGCTTTCCAACAGACGGCTCCTTTCTTCGAGTTGTTTGATATATCGCATCGCTTCGCTGAGGACTTCGCCTTTATTGCGATGCTGTTGCGCCGGCTCATCGCCGAATTGTCTATCCAGCAGACTCTGCACCGCGTCTGAAACAGGGAGAATATCATTGAGCGCAGCGAATTTGGCATTGATATTCGATCGATATCGTTTCTCGACTTTGTTGTGTGCTTCTTTGTTGACCACGGGGCTGCGCTTGCGTTTTGTGGTTCTGGGCTTTGTGACGACTGCGGGGAGCTCATCGGGGACTTGGCTGGTGCTTCTGCTGCGTGGGCTGGCGCCGTCGGTCAAGGAAGGGGAGGTTGATGCGGGACTGGATAAGAGTTGCTGCCATTGACTGTCGGATTGGATTTGGTTGTCCTATATACAATGTACACGATTAATACGGTATAATTAATTTGATTGATTTGAGGTGGAATGAAAGAACATACCTCAATAGACATGTTGTACACATTGTTATTGAACAGTTCGCCGTCGGTATCATCGACCGCGAAATTATTGTAATCGAAATTCCATAACAGATCATTCATCTGGTCGGTGGGTGTCTTGTTCACGCTGAGTGCATTGGCCTCGTCGCCGTACAGGAGAAAGTCGTCGTTGGCCATGTTGAGATTGTTGAGATCGAATTGGAAATACGCTGACATGGTGTTTGTTTATTTATCTGCTAAGATGATGACGATGACGATGAAGACGAAGATGATGACGATGATGACGATGATGACGATGATGATGAAGATGATGAAGATGATGAAGATGATGATGATGATGATGAAGTAGGAGATGTGTAAACGTCCGTGCTGTCAACAGCTCCACCATCCTGAGGTGCCGCGTCTCTTTATACTGTGTATCCTGAAGTCGTTATCGTATTAGAAAAGTGCATGCCGAGAGCACGCCGATGCAAAACCGATGTGGTTGACGTCAGAAATGCACATTGTATTGACCCGCGCCGGGTTCTGGCCGAGGAACTGCCATGAATCTCTAGCCAATTGGTCTCTTCACGTTTTTAATGTTTTGCCGGCGCTTGTCTGGATGTCGTCTAGTGCGTGTATATATAGCGGGCATAACTCGGCGAGCAGCTAAATCCGAGCTGCCCCCGAGAGATCTCCTCTGTCGGGGCTCGGCCAGCGATCGAATAAACAGCGAGCGATCTCCAGTCCGGCACCGAACGCTCGGAATTTATTTTTATCCATTCTATTGGCGAGTCTTGGATTATATTTATCCCCCATATCTCGATCTGTCAGCTGTCAGACATCGGAACTCGCCGTATTATGCACCCTTCTCTATTGGGGATCGTGAAGTGAAAATAAGCTCCTCGCTTCCAAGATTCCAAGATGGACGTTGGCGCCCATCAGCTGATGGGCGCGGATGGATGGAATCCATCACGCAATTGCAATCGCATACAATTGCACAATTGCATGGTGTTGAATATGCTGAATACGAACACTCTCCTCAGACGTATATAAGCGCATATAAGCAAATAAACAAACATTGATACCTGAATGACATCAACGACTAGACTAAGATCAAGAAACCACCTTTAAATATTCAATTCATCCATCCTCGGAAGAACATAAAAGCCCTTGAACATGTCCAAAGACACAATCCACCCAGAGCCCAGCGGCATCCCCCAACTCTATCACGTCCTCTTATTATCCTACCACCTCCAAAAGGACCCCAATGCGGTCATCCAGAAACTTAGGGTTACGGGCTCGTACACGTCTCTCGCAGCTGCCAAGACAGCTGCGTACAGCTGTCTGTTCGACGCCGGGTATGAAAAGGAGTGGTTCTCAGAGTACAGTATCCTCAAGGACAGGGACGATGGGAAAATGATTTCTGCCACCGCTCCCGACGGGACGACGTTTTCCGTGCAGATTCTTAATTCCGTCCTTGGGGATGGGGATGGTAACACAGCCGGCAAATTGTGGAATTATATTGTTGAAGAACACGATCAACGCATCTCGACGGAATTGTACTATGTTGTTCAGGTCAAGACGCACTACGACGATGAGCAGTACCGCGAAACTAATATTGACGGCACGTTTACCACGTACAACGCCGCCCGGGAGTATGCCAAGGGGGTGCTCCTCAACCCGGCGGACGGGATCGATACGAAGAGCTATGCGCAGTACGATGAAGCGGGGCCTGACCAGCGAGATTGCGGATTTGGCGCCAACGTGATTGTGCATGCGGTTGGCGTCAATGGGGAGAATTTCTTGGTGAGTGTGGTCAAGAGTCAGACCATGGAGAGCGTGAGGTTGGCCGAGGCTGCCATGAGGATTGCCTAGCTTATATGCCGTAACTTATGTGTGATGATAATTCAATTCTTGTACTTATTTTTTCTTTGCTTTTGCTTTTGCTTTTCCTTTTATATATATATTATTAGCGATCAATGACGATATGGTTTAATCAATCTTAACCTCCTCCTTATCCCTAGCCGAATGCTGAGGGCTAACCGTCCCACTCGTAGGGCTGGTAACGGCCACCCTGCCTCCCTCTGTAACCTGGCCACTCTCCAGCCCAGCCCCATGCAGACTAAGATGACTCCGCTCCCCTTCAAAGAACAGAGCATACGCCTCTTCGCCGTGAACAGCATCGTCACCAACCATGAGATGTTCGTCTGACATACGCAGAGGAATCCGCAGGACGTATTTGATAAACAGACAAATCACGCTGGTCATGAACAGATTGAGCCCGATGATGAATAGTGCGCCTACGATTTGTAACCATACTTGTCTTCCGTTCCCTTCTATGGCGCCGCCGGGGTTCGTCAGGCCAAATGCCGCGCACCCGTCGATTGTTGCGAATATGCCCGTTAGAAAGCCACCAGTAAACCCGGCGACCATGTGAGTGTGTACAGTGCCCACTAAAACATTATCAATATTGATTTTTTTTTTCTCTTTCTTCTTTTTCTTTTCTCTTTCTTCTTTTTCTTTTCTCTCCTTCCTCCGGGTTGGGGACAGAAACTTACTAACGTCATCCACCTGCTTCATCCATTTCTGTCGTCCGAGAATATTCATCGAAATCCAAGGAATAGACCCAGAACAAGCCCCGATAACAATAGCACCCCAGCCAGTCACAAACCCAGCAGCGGGCGTGATGGCCACCAATCCCGTAATCTCGCCCTGCACAGCGCCAATGACGGACGGTTTCTTGAAAAAGATGTAGTCGAGCATGGTCCATACCAAAAGACTCATGGCAGTGCAGATGTTTGTGTTGAGTACGGCGACACCGGCGTCAGGACTAGCAGCGTAAGGATCTCCTCCGTTGAAGCCGTTCCAGCACACCCAGAGAATACCGGCGCCGACCAGCATGAGGAGAATGTTGTTGGGGTAGAATGAGTCTCGGTCTCTTTGTAGACGCGGACCGAGCCAGTATGCAGCCGTGAATCCTGCAGTAGTTCAGTGTGATGATATTCCCAGGAGGTTCAAGTACAAACATACCGGCAGTGCCAGAACTCAAATGAATAACATATCCGCCCGAATAGTCCAGCACCCCCATTTTATACAAAAATCCTCCTCCCCAGATACTATACATCATCAGCCTACTCATACATATTGAGGCGTGTAACGAACTCACCTAAAAGCACCGACAGTATAACTAAACGTAATCCAAAGCGGCACAAAAACCATCCAAGCCAAAATATTAATCCGACCCAACAGCGATCCCCCAAGTATAATCACCGTGATCGCTGCAAACACAAATTGGAAATATATCATGGTCGATAAGTTGAAATTGGTTGATAGACCTGCAGCTGGTAATTCTGTTTGAGCTAGATTTTGTTGCATCGTCAAGACTGGGCCTGGGGTGCCGACGAGGGGGAAATTCCCCCATTGCTTGCCAAAGCCCATTTTGTAGGCCCATATTACCCAGCAGATTAATGTAGCTGAGAAAGCGTAAAAGACCTGTTCATTAGGTGTTGGTTGAGCTTATTCAGGGGTATTTGGGGACGGACACACCATGAATGCGGAATTGATAGCCCATTTTCTAGACCAATTAGTTTCTGCCTTGTGCAAGGTCAGACAGAACTCACTTCTTCACAAACCCGGCATAGAGAATAGCGAGGCCGGGGATGGATTGCAGTGCAACCAGTGTCCCTGCAGTCAATTGCCATGCTTGATCGCCCTTGTCGAGCCAACTGATGTTTATTAGTAGTGGTTTTTATATGGGTTATCATCAAGACGCGACGTACGCCGGAGCAGGATTTGTCAAATCTGACGACATGCTGCACCCTCGGTATAAATGGTCGATCGATAGAGAGTAGTCGAAAGCACTGCAGATTCAGATGACAAAACAAAGATTTCCTCCTACCCAGGTTGGATGAGTGGTCATTTTATACCCTGGCCCCTTAACAGCCATCTGAATCGGGCCTCAATCGAAGCTGTCACCCCACAGTTGGCCTGAATACAACTAGCGACATGCAACGTGCGCATGGCATGGCATGGCATGGCATTCTCAGCTATGTACATTTGAGTTCATCCTTGAGCGTCTGAGACCCCATGATGCGCCCTGACTACTCCATTTCCAGCAGGCTTAGACGACAAAGATAAGACCGCGACCGTTCAAGGTCGAGGAACCAATGACATCACGAGCACAGATTCTCTAGATATAGTCGCCATGTGTCATTCTCGCCTGGAGAGTGGATGGCATGGGGTATTCAGAGTCAACTCCGAGGAGTTCATGATAAGCCAGTCATAGCTCAGAGAGCTATCTATTGTGGCTGATTTATCGGCAATGAGTTCGTACACCTAGTGATGGACTTGATCGTTTCTGTTCTGGATCAAGTATCAGTGCTATTTGTAATGAATCTAAATGTCGAGATGGAAACATACCTGATCGAAGATCAGTCTGCTGCAGAATAGATAAGCCCATATATCAGCCAGTGATTCAGACCATTACAAACGCATTTACCACATATCACCCATACCCTGTCCGACGTGAATATGCGGGAATTCCTCAGCTAAACAGACCTGATGCTTATATGTACGTAGCGTGAGTCTAGTAGACGCCAACCCAATCCCCGAAGCTTAGCCAAAGCCTCAGCCAAGAAAAACAACCAATGACAATCTCAATTCTTATCTCTGCCCATGTTGACGATTTGCAGGTTTGCACGGGGGGAAAAAAATTCTCGACGAACCTGGTTTGAATTCGATGATCCATGTGAGATATTGGTGGTGGCCCCAGGTTATTGTCTGACCACGGAATGCCGTTCCCTTAGTAGAAACTCAAGCATGTGAAGTACACCCACAGGTAATTGTGGTGTTGTCCAGACACTGTCCGTGTCACGTACAAGCAGCAGTAGACGTATCTGTCCATCCCTAGGTATAGAAGCGACCTCATGATTTGCGTAACCAAAAGATCGACAGTAGAATATAAAATAGGTTGTATGGCCAGACCTCGTCCTGCTGCAAATGATTATGCAGATAACTCTCTTGTCGACATTTTGTACAAGGTAAGTCTTTTCTTCAAAATCCGGGGAAGCCAAGCATTGCTAAGCCTTTTTTGTTCCCACTCTGATCATCATTAGTGAGATTCGTTATTCAGTGATCTAGCCACCGGTCGGGAAATAAAATGCTTGGCTTTCGCTGGCCGACTTCGCCCTCTTCTTGGCGCAGATTCATATTTAAGGGGGAAATCTGCGATGATGAGCAAGGACAGCGGGCTTTATTATCCGAGACTTGTAAGCCGGTGGTTGACCAGGTGCGATACGTCGGATTTGGGATTGGAGGGGCGGGGAATATACGGAAGTAAGATAGATACCACCCAAGTACTGAAGGTTGTTCCTATTTATTGATTGCTACCAGGGTATCGACACATAATGGACAGATTGTTATGAATAAAGTATGTTAGTCTATCCAAAATGTAACCAGTTTTGAGTATTTATACATTGAAATCGAGAAAATATCAGCTCCCACACCTTAATACATAAACAGAATCAATCACATCGCCAAATCGCCAATCGCATGAAATGGTAGTTATAAGTATAAGCAAAAAAAAGTATCCGTTCAAGGAATCGAGAAAGAAGTCGGCAAAGGTACCGTGAGAAAGAAGTAAAATCGAGCGACTATTCACTGCCTGCCACCGTCCAGTAGACTACCGCAATAATAACTGCAGCAAACAGGGCAGTCAATATACCAGCACCGGCTTTATCAGCAGTACTGATAGCCGCCAATTTTTTGGTAGTGCTGACTGGGTCTGTGCTTCCAGCTGTAGGATTGCTGGAACTATTTCCTCCTGTGCGCGACGTCACTGGAGCGTATAAGCTAGCGTTATTCGTCATGATAAGATTCGCCCAAAAGATATTCAATGCGCTCATCTGCTCTTCGAGCCCGTTTTGATTGTCCCAGCTCTTGGTGTACCATTTCACACCGCAAGTGTTGTTGTTGTAACCCACACAAGATGCAGCGGCAGCTACGCCAGAAGTTTGTAAACTAGACATGATAGTGTTATATGTCGACGGAACGATCAAAGCGACAAAGGCCATCCATCCCGCAGTAAGCCCCTTGAAGAGAATCTCGTTACGATTGCAGAGCTCAGTCGTTTCACAATCTTCGGTGAGAACGTTCCCGTAGTCACTGCCTGCGAATTTGCTCAAAGTCGAACCCAATAATCCATTTACAGCCGATAGCCATTCAGCTGATCCGTTGGTCTATGTAGCAGCGTGAGCATGAATTCCAACACAGTCAAGTAGATAGAGGACTCACATAATTATACATATATGCAGCTCCACTTAGATAAGTGCCGTAATTATACGACCATTCTGTGTGATCCACCGTCGAACAATTATCGCTCATGCTAACCGAATCGCCAATTTTCCACTGCTGGGTGTCGACTAGGGGGGTCTGGCCAGCGGTACTCCAGTTCCAAATCTTAGTTGCCCAGTCGGCGTATGTTTCGTTATACGTATATCGGGCCAGTCTGGCAGACAACTGGAAGAGACCGCCGTTCGAAATACTGTTCTTCATCGTATAACCCGCCTCCCAGCTCCAGATCTGCCATCTCATTCCGCCGCCGCAAGCCGATGTATCCCACCGTTGCACTTGAGTATTAAAGACACCTTGCGCGAGTGAAAGCCATGAATATCCTTTGGCGGCTTCTGGGTACGCTAGCTCGGCAGCGGTCATGGCAGCAAGACCCCAGAACATTTGATCGTCGTTACCCTGTACGGAAAGAAATTAGGCTTACTCCAAGAGCGACAGAACGCCATTACTTACAATGTAATTACTGTAATTCGACGGCATGTAATCGCCATTTCCCGCTTGAAACTCCATACCCACAGTCACTTCATCGTTGTATGTTGTGTCGCCAGTGAAATGCCAGTATTGAATCAGCGCCATAAACATCGCACCGCCTTCCCACCACGTATCGATAAGTTTTCCTGGAATCTGACCGGTTTCATTACCGGCATACCATCTCATCATACTATAGGCCGCCTGGCTCGCCGCATCGGCAACGGATTCTATCAGAATAGGATCGTCAGTCGCGAGCACATCCATAAGCGTATTGTCCAAGGAATCTACATACGCCGACTATTAATATCCATTGTAATAGCTTGAGTCACTGGTGCCAGCAGCAGTGACAATAATAGCGAGAGACTCCGCCATGATCTGTTAGGCATCATGGCCAATGTAATTTGAATATCGCAAAAGAGACCGCCCTTTTTTCCGATAGCGCTTTTCTTCGCACCTTATTTGATCGTAAAGGCAAGCACCATGAAGGATAGCGAGTGACTGCTCTACCGAAGAGCATGTAATGAATAGCAACAGCTGAGCAAATGTAGAGACGCCTGAATGTACAAAGAATAAAAGTGAATGAGATCAGTTGCAGACTCGAAGTGGGTGGACAACGTGGGCTGGCCGCGTACTAATGCCGAACGGAGAAGGGGCGCTCGCTAGTCTGAATAGACCAATCTAGCGCAACACTGCGTGTCTGACACAGAGTTTCAGCCTGGCTGGCCCAGATCCGAAACTGCTGTAGAATCGGACAGATGAAGGCGATTGGAGACTAAAATAAGAAAGAAGATCTTAGCCAGCGATTAAGCATCTAGGCATTCTGCATCTCCGTCTAGGCAGACGTGGCCAAGCACAGAAGTGTGCTTGGTAGGTCTGCCGTGAGACTGTGGCTCAGCCGGACACATGTTCATGACGCTGCTGGTGAATTTGGCGGTAACTCCGGGGGCGCATTGGCCGGAATAGGGGACTGGTCTAAGTGGTGAGGATTATAGAAGATTGATCAGGGGCGGTTGAAGTTTTCTAAGCAGAAAGAGCTTAGTGTGTCTCGGCCGCGTCACCTTACCGCATTTGACGGACTAGCGGTAACGCCTCTGATCTGATTGACCAATAAAATATTGATAACCACCTCCTATTCACTAATTGGCCAATCTCCTCGATGAGTTTTCAGTATCGGCGCTAATATATATGGATCGATTAGCCATATTGGATCTAGCTGTATGCGCTGTTACGCTATGTTACGTCTATCCGATGACGATCGCACATTTGATGTCGCACACTGTACGAGTACTGCGTAAGCGATTCGTAAGACATGTAATCTATGGGCCAATGAAGAGCAATACGCAATATAATTTCTGCACTTACCTTTCAAAGTTAGCGTGTTTTATTGTTATTGGCTAACTCGCGATGCTCTCTCTCCTTTTTGTTTATCAATCACAACACCGGTCCTTGGTTTCTCGAAGCCGAAAGCATTATCTTAGCGAGCATCACGCCGAGCTTTCCACCAATATAGAGAAACGCGGACATGCTCATTATGCTCAGTCCCAATTTCAAAAATGCTATTTTGCCGTATTACCGTCGTTGAACCTAAATGGCAGGCAGAGAGTTCTTATGAAGTGTGATCCCGCGAGTCGCAGGGTGCAACATGGCCAAAACACTCTGCGGATGAAAGACTATTCGTTTCACGAAGATACTTTCAGGTATGGTGTAGAGTATGAGAGTATGTTTGTACCTCAATGGCTGGTACCAGCAGTACAGAGAGTGGGAGCCTTGTGATAAACACACACCAGACCACGGGGCTTTGTTATGGTTTCCATTGCAAGCGTTTACAGCATACAAGGGACGGCCCTTGTGATTAAAACGGATAAGAGAGATTGGCTGGTAATACGGAGTACATCAAAACTCCGAGCTTTCCTTGCGAGATCCGAGATTGGAAAGTCTACAGGTATTATGAGCTGACCTCATATTGATATGGTTCGGGCGAGGCCCTCACCAGAAAGCCTGAACATCCGCTTCTGCGCCCAGGATGCTGGAGCGCAGCCTGGCAGTTCGAAGTTATTCCCAGACGTTGAAGGTTCATTCTGATTGGCTGATTTGCTTCTAACGGGAGAGTGAATCTTTTACCCAATCAGAATGCACATTACATAACCCCACTCGCGCGGTGTCTATGGCTATACAGATATTCAGCGCCGAACCCAGCCCAGTGTGAGCGTTCCCCTTTTCTATATAAACTTGTATGTACGACGAAATCTTGTTGTCCTTTCCTCTTCCTTTTCCTATGTTATGTTTTCTATTTGAGTATGCCCATATAGCGAGCATTTGTAATTCCATCTGCCACGACCTTTGAATCGTACGGTCTCGTCTTTATGGAGGAGCGCTGTGCATATGTTAGCGAGACGAAAAGAGTGTCTGGTTTGCAACCTAACGCAGTCATTTGAGGCTTGCAACGTCGCAATTGTCTCCGTTGGCTTCTCCATTCCCATTTTAACCATGTCGTACGCCAACTTGCAGTCGGTATTATGCGAAATTGAACGAGCAATGGTCCCTCTACAATTTGGTGAAAATAACGCAAGTACCTGCAATATCGGCCTTGAACTCATTTACAAATGTTCGCAGGGAGGATGTTTCTCATTGTTCGGCATTGGTAACCAGCGTGGCCCATATCTCAGGAGAAGTGGTTTCTACACAGTTAGAGCAAACTAATTAATATTACGCGAATGGCATCCTTTGTTGTAAAATCGGAGTTTGAAGCTTTCCAAGTGGCACATAGACACGTTGATTCAGACGATCCCTGGCACCGACTGTTCGCTTGTCTAGAGTCATCTATGCAGGGCACTGCTAAAGTACTCTCCGACCCTTGTCTTTCTTTCAACTGCTCTTGTTCGCCTCCGACATGTGCAAACTAGTAACTCCGACGTGGGAGCTTCGCCAGCTTGGGATTATCCGTTACTGAACTGTAAAAGCCCTACTGTGCTGCTTCAGTATATGCACCTGCAAAGACCAATTCTTTGGCTTCGGGATTGAATCCCTCGATTAGGTTGATGAGCGATCCTGCTGTATCATAGTAGCCTGTATCTCGCGTCTGAGAACCACGTGGATTTTGTCGGTGACCTCCGTCTATAACTGAAAGCGGCGACGAATCGAGAGCATAGCATAATATCATTCATTTCTCTTGGCCAAGTAGACTTGCTTACCAAGGATCTACAGTCTAGGGAAGTCTGAGGAAGTGATCGTAGAAAATTTGGATAGGCTATTGGCGAAAGGTCAGAAAAAAGTTGGTCTTCTCTGTCTACGCAAAAGACATACACATATGACAGTTCTTGTTTTTGTTCTTCGTGTGTTAGCAAAGCTCCATTCTTGAATTACAGGTCCGCGTGGAGGAAACAAAAATACATCTGTCGAGTCGACCGGGGCCCTTCATCAGCCCATTATATGAGGAGCCAGCTCCGAGAACTGCACCGAAGGCTTCTACTAATGAAACTCAGGCCATTTCAGATGGTGGTTTGAAAGCATGGCTGCAGGTACTTGGAGCTTTTTTCATATCTTTTATCACTTGGTGAGCTTCCCCTTCCATCTTTCCAGGCTTAACTTACAAACACCATTGCTAACATGTCTTGAATGATAGGATAATTATTAATACGTTCGGGGCTTACCAGACGTACTTTGAGACGAAGAAATTGGCATCGTCGTCTAACATCTCCCGGATAGGTTCCGTGCAGTCCTCTTTGCTCTTGATCCTCGGACTTGTGACTGGAACACTGTACGACGATGGATATTTCTATGCGCTTTTGTACAGCGGGTCATTTATGATAATTCTAGGGCAAATGATGACCAGCCTTTGTAATGAATATTATCAAGCACTCCTTGCGCAAGGCTTTTGCATTGGTATCGGAGTAGGTCTTATCTTCATTCCCAGTGTTGCAGTCTTGTGCACCTATTTTAGTTCAAGATTAACCCTTGCGAATGGCATAGCGGCAGCTGGAAGTGGCTTTGGGTAAGCATAAATAATCTAGAACTTGAACAACAACTAATACCATATCCTCGGGGGCGGGGGTATATCCAATCATTTTCCACAATCTGTGCAACCGAATCGGACTCGGTTTTACTGTACGAGCAATTGGGTTTGTCATATTTGTGACTATACTTAGTCCGCTTTCAGTCTTCAAGGTTCGCGTCATCCCTTCTAGCAAGAGGAAGCCGATGAACCTATCTGCTTTTAAGGAGCCAGCCTATTCTATTTTCGTTCTCGGAGGTCTGCTCACTTTTATTTCTTTGAACCTCCCTTCTTTTACATGCAATCCTACGCAATTGATAAGGGGATTTCTGCTGATGGAATGGGATTCTATCTTCTCTTTATAATTACTACTGGCGGATAATCCCCAACTTTTCTGCCAATCAAGTCGGCCCCTTCAACATCATTTCTTTGTGTACCATTATATATGAAGCCTTGATGTTTGCTCTAGTGAACTTATCCGGCGTGGCAGGTATGGTGCTTGTCTCTTGCTCTACGGGGTTCTCTCGCGGGCATTTGTTGCCGTACCCCCGACCTGTCTTGTACGCCTTTCTCCAGATCGAAGCCTGATTGGAACCCGGATAGGAATGGGATATGCTTTAATGACGATAGGCAACTTGGTTGGCACTCCTGTAGCAGGCGTTATTCTGCAAAATAAAGACTTTAACTCAATGTGGATATTCGGAGGAATTATGTCGATTTCCAAGGGATGGACGACGATGGTCAGTCGGAGCATTCAAGGAAGGTAGGAGCCATCTGCGAGAGTGTGAAGATTTCTTGAAAAAGTTCTAGACACTCCTCGCTCTGCCATCTTGTGCAAATAATAGGCTCAATCATATGGCAAAACTAGCAAAAAGGAAAGTAATGTAAGCCAACCAAAATCTTATACATAGAGGAAAATCATATAATATAAACATTAGATTCAGCGGTAAATACAATAATCAATATGTAAACTACTTACTTCTCCTAGTATTCTTTTATTTTACTTTTCAGTCTCAACATGGCCCTTTCTATACATGAAATTGCTTTCACGCACCTTGGAATAGCGACCACCGTCTCTGCAATCTATGATTTCATTATGAATGACTGCCAAAAAGTGATGATATATCCACAGTTGTGGCAGTCCTCCCAAACCACAGGATGAAGGCTATTCTAATAATCTTGAAGATAGTTCATTCACCCACAGGCCACATCCCGGTACACAACGAATCGGCTTGACTCTCCGCAATCTCTGCATTGAAAGAGATAATCTGCCTTGTGATATTCACCAAGACGATGATTTCATCCAGCCTTTTCCACCAATTGGGTACCTTATCTTGGCCAACATTTTATAACATCGGAAAAAGATTTTGAAAACTTGTTTGAATCTAGCTACATGCACGTACTGATTCACGGGAAGCCTCAAGTTTTTACCAGAAGTATTGCTCCAAGGCAAAATGCGGCACAGTCACCCCTCACCATATGAGTTTTGGAGGACCTGCTGCTCGTGCGCAGCCGGTCCTAAATGACAAGGCTCGTTCTGGAACTAGATGTTTGAATTGTAAGAAAAATATAAAGCAACCAATGAGACTAGATTTTGAGGTAATATCTGATTGGACAACATTTTTGAAATACTACACAGTGTGCCTCAAGTTCAGGACGACCCTCCCTTCGACTTTTGGGAGAAACTGTGGAATCCCATGTAGCCTGGAAACGTCCAGTTTGCAACCAGCCTTACTCCCTATAAAATTCAATTACCCTACTGAAATCTGTTCAGTATGGATGGAGCTAATTGCATAATAGTCGCGATGTCTTCTTTTTTTTCTGCGCCTGTGTTTATCATGAGGGGGTGCATAAGTAATGTGTGCAAGCCATTATCAAGCATTGATGAGGCTAGCTGCATGACTGTCACGACGTGTGCGTCTCTTATTCCTGCAAGCTTTCATGAATGCAGGGTTATTGATTACCAATGCAACTTTCAATTGTTTGGAACAACTGCACTGAATGAAGAAGGGCGAGCCGACCCTTCAACAAGGGCAATTGAAAGTTCTGATCTCTACAAAAAAGGTTCAGCCTTGTCCATGAAGCATGATTTCTGTGCTAAATAGTGTCACTGTGCAACGATATCGAATCTCATCACAACACGTATTGTGGTCATCCTTGTCAAGAGTGCCGTATGACCCCTCCTCCCTCAGGAAGTGAGGCAAACTAGGATATATGCATCTCCTTCTGTATTGCGGACTTTATATATAATGGAGTCATACTCCTTTGTCGCTTAGAGACTAAAATGTTATCCATGACTGATTATAAGATCGAGGATTCTCTATTGGTCGGTTTCACGAAAAGGCTTATCGCAATGAATGGCCGCTCACATAGTCCAAGTAATTCCCAGGTAATGCTTCGTTCTTCATAAGCTGCTACAGACTAACCCAAATTCAGACCTCTTCGCCGTTGTCTAGACGGGACCAAAGGAAACTAGCACGACTTCATGGTCGGGAAGTAGTATCACAAGATAGCGACGAACAAGCTGATCTTAGCGATGCTGGGAAAATACCGCGACAACCTATTTGTCGCATAATTGACCTGATCCAGTTTTTGTCATCGTATGATAATGATGTTGGCAAAATTGAACGCGCACTGGCTAGTCTGAAGGAGAGGGACCAAAAAATAAGATCTCTTTCCACCACCATTAGGGAGCTGAAGCGCTCTAACAACGAAGAAGTTCGAGGCTTACAGGCAAAGGCTGAAGAAGCTTCTCATAGTTTGAGGGAATTAGAGCAGCAGAAAGCTGTTCTCAAGGAGAATCAAGAGCAATTGGAAAGGCAAAGAAAACAAGAAAAGGCGAGACAAACGAGTTTCATACAAGAACAGCAGATAAAATTCGAAAAGCGGCTCGAGGAGGAAAAAGACAAACTCGTCAAAGCAAATGCGCAGCATTTCGAGCGGGCGAAAAAGGAGAATGCAACACTCAAGGAAAACATCGATACTCTTCGTGAAGAAAAGGCCCAGATCGAGAAGACTCTAAAACTATACGTCCAAAATTCCAATGATTTAGAGTCGCAAATGGACGAGCTGAAATCGAGATATTCCGCCCAGAGTCTACCCATTGAACAGTAGTACGTCATGATACGCCATTCAAATAGTCTATTGGCTCCTAACTCTTTGATAGCGAAAAAGGATTCTCAAGGCTACGTGAAAAGATCCAAGCCATAACACAAAATTTCTTGTCGAATTTGCCACCAGATAATGAATTGGTAAGTACAATTTCGACTCCCCCTTTATAAGACTATATCTGAATTGTAGAAGGACATCGAGGAGACGCAGAAGGAATTTTCCCACCTCAACAGCATCTTTGGAACCATTTCTTTGTCTGCATCCGTAACGTCCAAATTCCTTCGCGTTCGCGGTGCCCAATGCACAATAGTCGAAGCAATCTGCAGTCGTTTCTGGCAGCCGTTCTACATCACCGCTAAGCCTCTTTCATCTGAGACTACAGCGACACTGTCTCAGATTTCTCAGGCACTTTCTGAAGAGGACCGTCATAAAGAAAGCCTGTGGCGTTACCTCAGCTTCAAAGGACTTGAAATACCAAATTCCCCACAGGATATCCACGCGGAAATAACAGGAATCATGGAAGTTCTTCGACGATTAATACCGGTCAAAGAACACAGAGCTTTCGAGGTTGAGCTGAAAGACCTTCTTCTTGATTCTATTAGCATCTGGAATGAGCTGAAAAGAGACAGCTGCGTGGTTGAATTTGATCTTCGACCACCTTTATTTTGCGGTCCGGATTGGGTAGCAGAAGACTCCCCAGAGCTCGAGCAGATTGGTGTGAAAGTTAATGATGAGTCTGGGGATAAATCTAAGATGCAGCAGCCCTGGTGCCTGTTTCCGAAAATTGTATTCCATCCAGTTGATAGTAAGAAAAAAATCATTCCAGGGCATGCAATTTTCGTTGATTCTCTTGCTTTTCACGAAAGTTGTGATGAAATGCGACGTCAGGAAGAGGAGATTGCACAAGTAAGAAAGAATCTTGTGAGAAGACCAACAATCCGAAGAGGGAATGGGCCATTGTCAACATAGGGCTCGTTACAGCCTGGCAAAGAGCTTATCCCGGTTGAAGATGCCCTTTTTTTTTTCTATTTATATTGCCTTTTGTTCCAGATTGCCAATGTATCACATATTTTCTCTGTACCCTGGGCTATGTGTATTAGTCGCCTGTTCCCGATGTTAAAAATATCGACAGTTTTACGTATTAAGACCAAATTTTTACATCAAAACATCGGATCATATTGAGCTAGAACTAGCGATAGTACATTATTGCTGGGTGCTTATTTTGAGCCCATGTTATAGGCATTGTACGCTGGTTTTTGCACTTCTGGATCTCCTCTACCAAAGTTCTATTCGTTGAATTGGCAGCAATAAACCTCTCAAGAAACTTCTTATTCCCCATAGCCTTCTGTTCGTGGAATATGCCCATTGCTGACTGCATCATAGAAATAAATCTCTCCACATCAATCTCTGCTGGGACCTCACCATCCTTTGCTGTCAATTGATCTTCCTGAGAAGCTTCTAGATCAATATCTGACTCTGAATGAGAGCCTGCATCAGAATCTGTCATCGTTTCAATTTTTCTATACTCTGGGCGTAAGACGAGATGCTTGTCAACCCAGAATGAACTGAACCCCTGCCTGCGAACCCTGGTGAAGAATGTAATAGGGTCTGTGATAGGACTATAGTAATGTATGATATGCTTGCATATCAAGAATCGACTTGGTCAGAATTCATCACAAGCATATGTCCACATTGCTGGATTTGTGTGATATTTTTGAATGCTTTTTGGATCGATTTTACAATTCTTAAGTTGTTTCCATTCCTTTTTAAACGCATTTCTCCAGCTTGCAGAAGCTTTTCGATTGCCATTATTGCGGATCGTTTCCATTCTGTTAAGTGCATTTGATATAACTCGAGATGTTAACACTCAGATGACTAGGTCAATGCGAGGGCGATTAAACTGTGAAGGTAATCATGCTTGATCTTTCACTAGTGAGATTCAACAATTATCATTGTCTTGAGAATTGGTGTCTCTCTACTATTCGCTGATCGAGCCCATGGCTCCCATTGACCAGGTTTATACCATTTAATATATAAATAAGCCCATAATCGGAAGTAATTTCGAGCTCAGTACTACGAATATTTCTAAGTGATACATTCTTTGTAAACATTCTCTGGCGAACGATATGTGCCATTGCGATCTGGAGTCAAAGGATGTGCATTATAGTGATGGCTAAAGATCCTCCAGAACTGTATCCCACTAAGTGACGTTAAAAGTCTCAATGTGACATTTTTCATCAAATTTCACAGATCGAGACTCACACTGGCACCTCCCATAACAGTAAATTCCATCTGGTCTGCGTACTGGCAATGAGCCCCAGCATATTTCTAGGTTTGAAATAAGCTTTTGAGCATCACCAGGAAAGTAGTGAGTCTGAGTTTTTATCTTGTTGGAGTCTTTAAGTTTTGCTTGAATTGCCCGTCTTACATGCTAGAAACATAAGTTGTTGTTGGCCTTACCTGCTAATAGCAGTAATCTCAGACTTATCCTTATCACATCCAAAGAAGTTGGATTGAATCCCGATACCCTTAATGGTGTCAGAAATCGATGGAGAAGATAAGTCATCGCCCCTGCATCTGTACGCTTAGCAAAAAATAGGCTGAAAAAATAGTTTCCATTATGAGGGAATTTTATGATATTCTCAGTGTGATAGACTTCTATGTTGGATATTCTGATTGAGGGCTGGGCAGCCAGTAGCTTTAGTGATTTAGGATGCAATTAATGATTTACTATCAATCGATATATCTTGGATAAGCTCAAGTTATTATATTTGACTAGAAAGCAATCAAAAAGAGCCGTAAACATTATAGTATACGACTCAGTGGACATTCATTTCTGTTTGTGGAGCCGTCACTACTAAATAGGCGTAATTGGAACGATGTCTTCTGATCGTACTAGGATCTAATGATATCCGGATTATCTGACAATTACATCCCCGACGAACATCTTGGTAGAATCAAGGTTTTTTTCAGCAGGCCCAGCCACAACAATCAGAGGAAAAGAAATCCTAGGGTCCCCCCCTTCAGGTTCAACTACAACAACCAAAGAAAGCAAGAGCACTACTGGTGACTATCGTGATCTTCTTCTTCAAAGACGTGCCTCTGTTCTAACTAGAGTTGGAAAATAAGTCTGCGATCCTTGCCGTCGTCGTCACATATCATGTGATGAAAACCGTCCATTCTGCGGCCCCTGCGAAAAATGCACATACCGCAATCCCCCTGATAGAGGCCTCCAGCTAAGGAGAGTCTTATCTTTCTACTCTGTTGGAACAATGTATTGACAACCTGCAGTCAGGTGAAACTGATTCTCGAAGCGCTGGAAGCAAATAAGGCGAAACTGGAGCGGCGGATAGATAATCTTCATTCCCTAGTAACACATCTCTTGAAGAACTCAAATCAGATCATTCTAACACAGAAAATCGAATGGGAAAGTAGTAGAGCACAACAGATACTTACCGGAGACATAGAATAAACCCAGCTGTCGATAGAGCGGCGACAAAAACTAAAAGTGACAAAGACTTGTCAATTCCATTGGAGCATTTTACAGCTACCCATAAACTATTATCATGGCTCTCTATTCAAAAATTATTGGAACAAAAGGAGTTCGACATTGATTACGTGATGAGATTTGAGGCAGACCGCAAGGTTAACTTGAGGTCTTGGGAAGAGAATCTTACATCATTGAAAAATAATAAAAACAGAAGAATATCGAATAACAGAAGACAAAACAAAAATAAAGCACAGTAGAACACCTCTCAAGCAAATAGCAGCTGACTAGCTGCGCCTTTTGATGTCCTCAACTCGATCAGCCATCCATTGACTCAGCCTGAAACGTTTTTCCTTGACTTCGTCCTCGCGATATGATTCCTCTCCAGTATGCAACCAAGCTTTGATCACTTGATCACAGTCTTTAATCCATTTCGTTCTCTCTTTAGGGAATTTGTCTTCCCACATCCGAGGCTTTTGTAGTATTCCTCTTTTATTCAGGACGTCCACTATCTCTTCCGGGACGGTTGCAATTATAGGTTGTAGCTCGCCTATAGAGATCCCGTAGGTTATATCGAATCCTTCAGATGCATTTTGCACTCGGGTAGTCTCACCAAGCTCTTCAAGAAACTCAATCGCTCTGATAGCATATTTGATGTCTCCACCATGGATGATGACATTTCTTGTATAACGGGACTCCGCACCACTCTTTCCAGCTGTCCATTCCAGCTCATTTGCATAAGCCGCCAGTAGCAAGTACTCGCTCTCTTCACTCCTTTCTCGTTGCTCCTTGATCATTTCCTGTTGCTCCTCGATCCGTTCCTGGTGCTCCTCGATATTTTTCTTGTTGTTTCTTTTGTTCTTCTTCGGAATTCTTCAGTTGCTCCTTGAATCCTCTCAGTTCTTCATGCATGTCATGTAGAAGTTCAATAAGATTATGCCCTTCACGATTTCCAATTCGTCTCGATTCTAGATCCATCATTATTTCGTCTACTGGGAAAAAAGTTTTGAGAAAGTTTTCGAGCTCGTAGTTTGTTGGGTCTGATAGAGGCTGACGGGGTGGGGAGATTGGCATGGTTTTGTAGAAAGTTGCTGACCATTCCTCGTTGCCCTTATACGTTTTTAGAACCTTTCCGAGAAAAATGAGTAACGGGGTTTGAGATACTTACTTCTCCAACACTAACTTTCCTCCTCTTTTGAGGTGGCCCATCTTCATTCACCGCGACGGCTTGACTTGCACCCCGAATTATTCTTTAAAAGTCGGTGACTCTTGGTTTCGATTCTTCGTCCTTTTTTTTTTGGCTTTCAAGGGATTGACAGGGTCTCTCAGAAATGTCTCTGGATCTCAGTCTCATTGAAGAATGGTTGAGAAATGAAACTTTAGGTGTTTAGGCTTGGGGAAGTCTATGAATTTATATATACCAGTGGGATTGGCTTTCTCTGTTGACAGGGTAAGAAGATGTATAATTCTTTATTTATATAGCTTTGATAATTGCTAAGGTAAGGATATTCTTCCAGTTTCATCTTCTGGTGATGTGAGACTCTTTTGAATGCTGTGATATTGCACAAAGAGATTCTTTGACACTTTTGATAGATGCAGTATGAGATTATTGCAGTATAAGGCTGGATACAATCATGAAAGGCAGTCAATCATGAAAGTTTCATTAAATAGAGAAGTCGTTGTGTGGACTAGTTCTTTTGAAACCCGCCTCTGCTAAACAATGCTCTCTTTCTTGCATTTCCTCCCTCATGTGACAGTGTCAAGGTAGATCTCAAAACAATCCATTGATAGGCCTAATCTAGGTGCTATTCAGCAAGGTACAAAATCACAGAAAGGAAAACAGAGGTGAGCAATAGCAGGGTTATAAAGCGAGATCACTTGTACGGCTCTAATCCGATCTCCCCATACACCTAACAGGAGTTTCACACTTGTTTTCCATTTCTCTGATTGTGTACTGCAGTCTTGACCAGAGCGTGTATAAGTTGATAAGCATTTCATTCCAGTAGAATCAAATCCTCAGATTTTCACAGACCTAATGCACAATGTGGGGGTATCGTGCTCTTTAAAATTTGTTGATGTTTGGTCTCTTGATTGAGGTCGAACTTTCCTCGGCCTGTTCATGCTCTCATGCTTGCGTTACTATCATGTCCTGCATACAGTCTCTTGCAAAATCAGTTTCCCTCACAAACACTTTCGAATTGCTTTCGAATACGTACTTGAACAGGATTGAAACGAACTAATCCATATCAAGTTAAGCTCGATACTAACTCTACTTGGCGGCAGGGTGTTAAACAGTAATGTTAATAATATTTATGTATCATACTTGTATGACTATCTAGAACATTCCAATAGCGCAAAAGAATATTTCACGCTAACAAATGACATTGCAGTAACGGTGAACACTTGCCCATAGTGTATATGTTAAGTCTTCCTATATCTTTCTTTTACATAGATATATGAAAGTATTAGAGTAGTTGCAGTAAAACAGGCTTTAGATCAATTTCAGAAAAGTAACTCGACCTGAAGCATGTCCCAACACGAGCGTGCTCTCATAGACGGTGGAACATGTTGCTCGATATTCAACAGGCAACCAAATGACATTAGTATCATCTCGAGCCGCCCACTCATTTTTTACTAGTATATTGTTGCAGAGACCACCTGCCGTTGGAGAGGTACTAAGAACACGAAGAGATTCAATATTGAACCGTCTTTGATCAGTCTCAAGGGAGTTGTCGCCCGGAGAGAACTCCACAGTGTCAGTCGAGCCAGTTTTGATGGTCTGCTGCAGGCTGCCGGTAGTTGCATCCCACAGCTCGACTGTCTCATCGGGGGAGCCGGAAGCCATCAGTTTGCCGCCCGGAGAAAAAGTCAATCTGCCGTTAGGGGAGAATAATACTGCGGCAACCCAACCAGTGTGACCATCAAGGGTCTGCAGCAGGCTGCCAGTAGCTGAATCCCACAACTTGACTGTCAAATCGTGGGAGCCAGAGGCTACTAGTTTCCCGTCTGGAGAGAATGTAACCGCATTAACCCAACCAGTATGGCCTTTGAGGGTCTGCTGCAGGCTGCCAGTAGCTAGATCCCACAACTTGATTGTCTTATCGTGGGAGCCAGACGCCAGCAGCTGACCATCTGGAGATAATGCCATTGCAACAACTGAACTAGAGTGGCTGCTAGAGGTTTGTTGTAAGCTGCTAGTAGCTAGATCCCACAGCTTAATTGTCCAATCATGGGAGCTAGAGGCTATTATTTTGCTGTTAGGAGAGAATACTACTGCGGCAACCCAACCAGTGTGGCCATCAAGGGTCTGCAGCAGGCTGCCAGTAGCTGAATCCCACAACTTGACTGTCAAATCGTGGGAGCCAGAGGCTACTAGTTTCCCGTCTGGAGAGAATGTAACCGCATTAACCCAACCAGTATGGCCTTTGAGGGTCTGCTGCAGGCTGCCAGTAGCTGGATTCCACAACCTGACTGTACCGTCATGGGAGCCAGAGGCCACCAGTTTGCCACATGGAGAGAATGCCACTGTCACAACCCAACCAGTGTGACCATCAAGCGTCTGCTGCAGGCTGCCAGTAGCTGGGTCCCACAACTTGACTGTTTGATCATTGGAGCCAGAAGCCAACAGCTTGCTATCCGGAGAGAATGCCACTGCAATACCCCAATTATTATGGTTATCAAGGGTTCGCTGCAGGTGGCCAGTAGCTGGATCCCACAACTTGACTGTTTTATCGCTGGAGCTGGAGACCACCAGTTTGCTATCTGAAGAGAATGCCACTGCATTAATCCAACTACTATGGCCTTTGAGAGTCTGCTGCAGGCTGCCAGTAGCTGGGTCCCACAACTTAACTGTTTTATCACGGGAGCCAGAGGCTATCAGTTTGCTGTTTAGAGAGAATACCACTGCATTAATCCAGCCAGTATGACCTATAAGGGTCCTCAGCAAGCTGCTAGTAACTGGATTCCACAACTTGATTGTCCCATCATGGGAGCCAGAGGCCACCAGGTTGCCATCCGGAGAGAATGCCACTGCGACAACCGGACCAGTGTGACCTTCGAGGGTCTGCAACACTGCACTCCAAGCTGATTCGACTTGTGGCAGCTTCTGAATCCAAGAAGGAATTTCATTGATATAGAAATTCCTAATTATACTTGTCATAGGGCTAAAAATAAGAGTAGATGCATAAAGCTGAAGAGGGGCACGGTCAATGATCGAGCTGTATTTTCGAATAAACCGCATTGCATCATCAAGAAATCTGGATATTTCCATATCCTTATCGATCTGAATGAAAAGTTAAAAATGAAGAACAGCTTGATACTAAATATAGAAATACATACGGCAAGGATTCGTAGTATATAAATCAGGTGAATGCTTTCTGTGATTCTTCCCAAGAGGCTTAAAGACTCCAGCCAATGTAAAAAGTGGTCTTGTAAAAATATATGAACTGGGTCATTGTCACTGATGCACGTCTTACTTTCGTTCAGATGATATACCCAAAAACGGCAAGCATATTGCACATCAGGGGCTAAGCAGTTGGCTATACTGTTGCTGTCGATCTCAGTCCGTAGCACTCCGTGGTTCTCTAAATTGCAAATGTTGCTTTTAAGGCACCCTGATTGAGTCATAAGATGAAGACATTTCGCAAGAATTTCACTGTGTGTCTTTCTTTCATCCATCCAGAATGGATTTGTCTTGCGTGTTTCGGGGTGAACAAGAAAATCACGGAATGAGGTATGCAGCATCCTTATAGGAGAGTCGGCAGAATACGGCACATTCAGGACAGAGTGAAGAGACGAGACCTGGCCCTCGATCTCTTGGATGTCTATATGAAGCAAAGAGGCCAGAGATGACCGCGAAAGCGGCTCAGCTAGGTGAACAATTGTGCCTACTATGATTCGGAATCTCTCCACCAGTGATTTCTGCGCCTTTTCTGGACGTCCATTGATCAGCTGCTTCAGGATTGGAGAGTAAGTGGCATCCAGCTTATCCATTTCAGAGTCACTTTTCATATTTCGATAATTGAGAACCTTTTTCAGCTGGTCTATGGGGTTTGAATACACTTCATCTTCAACAAATCGGCAAAGGGTAGCAGCAAAAATAAAAAGCGGAACAGCCATTTCAACCATGGCTGACATCGCCTCTACGCCAGGCCAATCAAACGGAAGTGACCGGCCATCTTTCGCATATTTCTCCCGGATTTGCGCAAACCTGTATTCCAGGAAAGTGGTCATGTCTTGCTTGATAATAGGCTGCGGTATCCCATGGAGCTCCGTATAATCGAGTACATCTACCGGGACATCCTTAAATCCAGATCGAATTTGCTGCTCCGGTCTGCTCGTGATCAATACCTGTAAGCTCGGTGACCATTTATTCCTCGTTTGCGATAGAAGGCGAAGGAGAGTGTCTCCATCCTGTGCACATTCATCTAAGGCATCAATTACCATAATGAGCTTGGAAGCTTCGGGGAGGTGATGCCGAATCTGTGACAGAGGCTGACAGATGAGCTTCTCAAATTGCTCTCCCATGGACTTATCACATATGTTGGGATCGGTATCAGTTGCCATTTCAACGTGAGCGATCAGTGACGGAATTTTGACCAAGAGTTGGGCACAAATTGTGGTGAAAAACATAGCCACACCACTACGATCCGCCTCGCCTCGCTTAAAGAAGAAGCTAGCCCCTAGTTTTCCTTCCCTGTCAAAGGCATCGGCTACCATTCGAGAAATTGTTGATTTTCCCGTACCAGCCATCCCCTGTAGCCAGAACATCAGCTTTCCTTGGCTGTCTGCTGCCCATTCTCTGATTTGGCGACGCAGATCTATTCTTGTTTCTGGATGGCATCTCGGATCAAGAGTCCCATTAAGTGAGTCAAATGTGGAGCCTTTTGCATATGGTAGCTTTGCAATGACTTTTTCGCGCCGTCGGTCACTATCTAGGATTTCTATTGCAGCATTTGTCTTTTGAGCAGTTTCATGTACTTCCTCTATGTTCTTCGTGACTATTCAATTTTTAATAGGAGAACTATGCTGGAATCGGGGTGGACTAACCAGAAAAAAGTAAATCAATAATCTTCTTCTCTGCCTCAACCTTATTTGGTGGAATGCGAGAGAGGAGCTCCTTTGCATAAGCAGCCGCAGCCATTGCAGCATACCCTTGCCACTCTTTGTTCTTGTGAGAATCAGAGTAGTCACAGATGCCCCGTATGACCAGACATGGAAAATGATTCATCAAGCCTGCTACTTCCATCTCAAAACATAGAACATCCTTCTCTGCTGCAAGTCGGTCACGGATCACAGCATCTTTTATCAACTGATTTCCAGATGCAATCAGGCCATAGTGAATGGCTGGGTCATCCTCATATGTCGCTCGCCTTTGTCGTTCTACCAAATGCGATGGGTCTTTCGCACAGAACGCTACACAACCTCTTGAATCGTGGATGACATGAGGATGAAAAAGCCTGTCAGTACTTGGCTGCGGCCGTGCATATTCTTGACGTAACCTTGGATTCTTCTCGAGAACAAGTCTAATAGCCTCTTCGAGCTGATGCCCTTTCCTCTTGTGCTGGGCCTGGATCCCCGTGACTGCGGTGCGTAGTATCGTGGGAGGTTGATTCAGGAATCGTGTATGTCGGAAGGCCAGCTCCTGTATTGTTTTGCCAAAGTCGTACTGAAAAACACCGCCCTCACCGTCACAAGGCGCGCTAACCACAATATCGCCAAGACGGATATCATGCTTTCTACTTGGTGCCCCACCACCAATACCCACCATCAAGCTGATCCTGACATTTGGGAAACTGTGAAGCATATTTGTGGCTACACTAGCAGCTGAAGCTGTTCCATATTCACCGTCAGGTAACACGGCTATGACGACGTTATGTTTTCCAAGCCTGCCCAATGTGTAGTCGTTGGTGTCATTAGGCGAGACAAACTCCGGTGGTTCATGCTCGTCATCGAGGAATTCTTGTGCGGCAACGTATTCTGTGCTTAATGCGCAGATCCATCCCACTGTGTAGTCGTCTGGGTTAGACATCCTTAGCAATCGAGGATGTTCGCTACCCGCAGGCGGAATCGATTTTCAGATGTTGAATTTTGGCCGATTATGGATGGCTTTCGGTTAACTCAGATTGAAGTGGTCGAGTTGTGATCGTTTAGAGCCTAATAGCCCAGCCGTCTGCAAGTCAGCTTATCCAAAGAACACGATCATAAAAGTAGAGGCACAGGACAGGAAGATGATACAGCAATTCAGCCTCGTCTTCAGTCAACCCTGCTCGCCACGTGACTCCTGTCTGCATGGCCGTCACATCTCATGCACTCAATTAGATAGGAGGACCGTCACAAGCACCCCACAGATAGACGAATTCCCTACAATTGTTTATATCAAACAGTCAGAGGCCCAAACTCCTCACCCCTCTCTACCACCTAGCCACCAGAAGTGCGGCCTTTGACGCGTCTCAACGCGTCCGGCAACACTATGGCGCGTAAAGGCCCTGGTACAGATGGCCCTCTACAGACAGCCCTACTGGAATCCACGTCCGCAGCCACGACAAGAGCTTCTGAAGGACAGAAGATCTTCAGCCCTATAGCTGCATTCCTCGATAAACACCGCAGCCAAACCACCGGCCTGGCCCCTCACCTACTGAGAGCCCTCACCGCTCTAAGCGATGACCTCGCCTCAGTAGCCCAACGACATTTTAGCACCTATATCAGCGGTATCTCGACGACCTCCATTCTACCTGCCCTGTCCCCTTCCCCTTCCCCTACTCCAAATTCCTTACCCCCTTCACCCCCTCCCTCACGTCCCCTCTCAGGTCTTGAACAGTCGACTTATGCGACTATTACCCAATATGCCCTGGTCAAATCAACTCCTACTACTCACTCCAAAGCCTATGTTAAAAAGCCTATACCTCTGGTGAAACAACCCCTTCCTGACAACCGGCTCTTCGTACGCCTCCCAGCTGACCATGCAGCTAGAAAAATGGAAGCCTACGCTATCTACTCTAGCCTACGGTCTCAACTAAACTCAAACAGTTTAGCACTAAAAGAAGTTCAAGTCATAAAGACTGGTTTTGCACTATGTCCCTCATCCCCAGAAGCCCTCCTAACCCTTGAGGTCTAAAAAGAGATTATCTCTGCATTCTTTGTAAACTGCCAGATAGAACGCAGCTCCTGATGGGTCTCGTACCAAGTCATCAATATGCCAAGGAAAGTTGGCCAAATCTTGGACGGTCAATACTCTCTAATCCCTGTTAATCCTACACTACTATCCTCAGAAATCAGTGAAACTACAAGACTCAAGCCTATATCTATCAGCGAGACCGCTATAAGTGCCGCCAACCCTGATACTCTTTCCTTAAGCTGGTTTGTCAACTTCCCAGAAGGCACAAAATTACTACTGCCTATCCAGCTATGCCTTTTTAGCACTATTACCAATGCTCGTTACCTCTCTAAGAGAACAACAGTTATCTAATGCACACAATGCTGGAAATGGTATAATGCACAATCCTGTGCCCGCCCCTCTCAATGCCGGCTCTGCGGCTCCTCAGAGCATACTAAATAGGGACATGTTAACCACTGCACAGCCCTGGAGCCTCATCAGTGCCCTCCTAGATGTATACACTGCCATGGACTATATCCTGCTGATTTCCCAGAATGCCTCCTGCGCCCTAAAGGCAACTCTAAACATACTAAAGCTCAACAAGTAGAGATCCGGAAATCCTATGCTATTAACCTTGCAAAAGCTCGAACTGAAGGAGGATGTAGCACTCAGCTCTCCATTGGCACACAAGAAACACCTATAGCACTAGACGAGATGCTAACTTAGCCTCCAACCCATGAGATTATCTCTCCTTTCCGTTCAGTAACCCCTCCACCTCGCGCCCTAACAGAAGATCCCCCAATTATAGCTCGCGTAGTCCGCTTTACTACCCCTCAATCACAAAATTAGTTCGCCTCTCTTCTCGAACGGGAACTATGATCTATCACTATCCAACTCAAAAGGCGCCTCTTAAAATCCTACAGTTAAATGTAGGGCACGCGCCAGATACACATAAAATAGCTCTCACATTGGCATATATAAGCGACATTGATATTATCCTAATCCAAGAACCATATATATTCAAAGATCTTAGCCGACAGATCATAAAAAAACACCCATTATATGAATGCTTCTCCCCAACTGATAGTTGGGCGATAAGTGGCCAACCACGAGTTCTCATCTATGTTTGAAAGAAGAAGGGCATTCGGACCTCCTAGCTACGCCCCTTCACAACTGACACCAAAGAGGCCTCGGATCTCCTATTCCTACAGATTTTTTCGCCCACAGGAAAGTCTGCTCTGATAGTTAACATCTATAATGCCCCAGCAGGCTCCATCAGAGCAGGCGAAGCCGCGAAAGCTCTTGCAACCCTGCCAGAGGCATATTTCTCTTAAGCAACGATACTCACAGGCGATCTCAACCTACTATATAATAGGTGGCAGCCCTCGCTACATCGCAGCCCCACACCTTCTGTAGAGCCGTTCATTAACTGGCTGGACCTCCAGGGTCTAGTACTCATCTCTGACATAGACTGTCCCACACATGAAAGGGGCAACGTGTTAGATCTTAGTTTCGTCTCAAGCCCTCTGGCACTCGCGGGAGCTAAAACTAGCATAGCGAGCCACTTAGATGCAACCTCAGATTATCAACCACTAATCACCACTGTACCATGGGATCAGAGATACAAGGAAATAGCTCAGAAACTGAGATTTGACACACTAGACCACACCTCCTTCCTCTCACTCCTCACCTCTAATCTTGCTGGCTCTGAGAGCTCAGCCGCAACAGAAGAAGATCTTGATGCCCTTGCTGAAAAACTGACATCTACAATTCAAGAAGCATATAGAGGCTCTGCTAAGAGGACCATGACATAAGGCATAGGATAACCATGGTGAAACAAAGACTGCAAGAAAGCTTTATACAATTACTGCTTAGGCCTCTGCTCAAAGACAGACTTCTGCAGGATAACTAGATGGTCTCAATGACAATTTTGGTGAGATAAGCTCTCTACAGTAATATAAATGAAGGATGTCTTCGATATGAGCAAATGGCATAAGTCCACAGGCATCTTCCGAAGCCCTCCACTGAAGGATCCACTGAGACCCAACAGCTTCCCAGCAGTTACTATACATGAGAAACAAGATGTACTAGTCCATAATCTTCTCCAAAACTTGGCTGAGGCAGGAGACATACTGCTGGACTCCCCAGCAGTCCCCACCACTAGTCTCTATTTCCCAGATATAACAATGGCACAGGTGGAGGAGTCAGTACTTCAGGCAGGAAACACAGCCCCTGGCTCAGACGAAATCCCAACCTGCATACTCAAAGTGGCATGGCCTCTGATCAAGGACAAGGTACTAATGTTATATCAAGAGTGCCTAAAGATTGGTTATCATCCAAAATGCTTTCGACATGCAATCTTAGCAATTATCCAGAAACCAAAAAAGACTAATTGGTCTTCACCTAGATTATACAGACCAATCGCTCTCCTATTAGTACTTGGCAAAGGACTGGAGCGCTTGGTGGCACGGAATATGGCATGGATCTCTATATACTACAAAGTATTAGTAAGGCAACAATTTAGGGCTCTCCCACTAAGATCTGCAACTGACCTAACCACATGCCTAACACATGATGTCGAACAAGCGCTAAATCAAGGCATGACTGCCTCACTCCTTACCCTAGATGTCAAAGGCGTCTTTGATTCTGTGCTTCCTAGCAGACTGATCCACAGACTACGCGAGCAGGGCTGGCCTACCAATCTTGTTCTCTGGATTGCCTCCTTTGCTACTGGGCGATCAGTCCAGATCTGACTTGATGGAGAGATTGGCCCCTCAATAGACATTGCCTGCGGTCTCCCACAAGGATCCCCAGTATCTGGCATTCTTTTCATGCTCTACATAGCGCCCCTATTCTGTCTAGGAAACCCAAGAAACAGATTTGGTTACGCAGACGACGCAGCTAACCTGGCAATCTCAACATCTCTTGCTACTAACTGCGAAGCATTATCAGACTCACTATAAGAAGCTCTAAACTGGGGCGCTACAGAGGGCATTATATTTGCACTAGATAAATATGAGCTTCTTCACTTCTCCTGACATAAAGCAGACCAGGACCCAACCTGCACACCTTTAGTAAAAGCTGGATCTATCATAATCTCAGAAAATACTAAACAGCTATATCTACGCTGGCTAGGAATCCTCTTTAACAAAAAGCTAACATTTAAATGGCATGTTGGTAAAACAGCATCTAAAGCTCTCACTGTGGCTAATGCCCTTCGCTCTCTAGGGAATACTATCTGTGGAGTCAAACCTCATTTACTATAGCAGGCTGTATTAGCCTGTGTACTCTATAAAGTATACTATAGCGTAGAAACCTGGTGGCCAGGACGTACTCGCCCTGGATCTTTCTAAATCTCAAATCGAGTTAGAGAACATCTTGAGAAACTAACCAAAGTAATACTAGCAGGCGCAAGAGTAGTCCTTCCAGTTTTCCGCACAACCCCAATATCTGTTCTATACCGAGAGTCTGGATTCTCTCCGCTAGAAATTGAACTAGATCAAATAGCCCTCCAAACATCTGTCCGCCTATGGCGTCTTGATCCATACCACTCACTCTGAAGACGCGCAGAACAGATAGCTAGAGACGGCCGACAAACCAGTCGATTTGCCCGCCGAGTGCTGGCGCTCCCTAACTCTGAACAAATAAACCCTCTACAACATGCTCCCTGGTACCCTCGTGAGTCACGTAAGAGTGCCCTAGCCCGAATAGGAGCTCCTATAGGACGCACTAAGGAACAGGCAGCGGCTGATTTCATGGCTTTTCAACGCACCATCTCTAGCTCGGATATTGTAATCTTTTCAGATGGATCTAGGCTGATAGACGGACGTGTAGGGGGTGGCTATATTGGATTTTAAGCACACCATTAGTTCCTCTGCTCCTCACTCTCATATGGACATGGGAAAGAGGTCTTTGACACAGAAGCAGAAGCTGCCCTAGCTGGTGCTCAAGCAGCAATAACATATCCAACAGCTCAATTTGCTACTAACCTATGGATCTGCCTTGACAACCTGGAAGTTGCCATGCGCCTCCTATCCCCCTCTACAGGATCCTCCCAAGAGGTCTTTGAATCCTTCCACACCCTTGCAGCCGCCTGGTTACTACGCGAAAGGCTTCCACACACCAAAAGTGGATCAATCCAAATCTGATGGGTCCCTGGACACGCTAAAATCCCTGAGAACGAAGCGGCTGATCTCGCTGCCAAAGAGGGAGCTGCCTCAACCCCTCCTGCTCCTCAGAAATCCTCATACGCCTCGCTAAAGAGACACGCCAAGACTCAATCCCTATCCGCTGCTTAGTCATAATGGCAGAAGGTGGCACCACAGAGTTATCAAGATCTAGAAATAACTACTTCTCCTAAGCGCCCTGGGGAGCTTTAACTCAACCGACTTGACCTCGGCCATGTTATTGCGGCCTGTACTGGTCACGGAGACTTTGCAGACTACCATGAATGCTTCAACCATGATAATGCTTATCTTCTCTACCGATGCGGAGCACGAAAAGCACCTCTGCACTTCTTCTTCTATCATATAGCTAAGAGACGAGCCCCTCGGCCTCCTGGGCCCCCTTCTGAGGTCATCTCTTTTCTCTTAGGCACTGCTAAAGGAGCACAAAAGCTAGCCACATGGCTAGCAGAGACCCACTTCTTTGAGGATATCTGCCCTCGCCAACCTCTCCTTAGCACCTAGCTAAGACAGTCCTACTCTTCCTTTATATTTCTCCTCCTTCTTTCTTTCTTTCTCTTCTCTTCTTTCTTTCCCTCTCTGCAAAACTTACTGTTCAGTTATAATAGTGGTGGAGTAATAGGTCATGGAGTGTAGGCGGACCATTGCAGCTGGCAAATACCTAAAACCCACTCAAAGTGGACCTTCCTGTAAGACCACGGCAGCTATGGAAATACGCCAAAGAGTCTCTTATTTGTACATAAATCTGATAGGACCCGAAACCCGAGGCTTACCCCTCAGCGGCCTATGTCCCAGCAGGGATCGGTGGGAAGCGTGCGAGTCACGAACCACGGCCGTTAAATATACACACACACACACTCTCAATTAGATAGGAGACTTCAGACTATCTGCCCAGATACGATGATACGTGAAATTTACAAGCGAACATTCTAGAACAGGAAAAAATAAACGCTTAACCGTATACGAACTAGTTTGTTTCAAGTATGGGATTGAAAGAGAGAGAGAATTGAGTTCACGAGGGAAACTAATTTTGCAAAACACTGTATAAAAAACAGAGTATAGAACACAAAAAAGCAAATTGCGACGAAGTTATCAGGTTGAAACAAACTATTAATAAGGCCTGTGGTCTCTAGGCTATCTTGGACTGCGTCTGCAACATTCCCCGTATCATCGGTAATAATTTCCTCTGATTACCAGATATGTATTTACTCAGTCATATTAGATGTAAGTTTACTCATAGACGACCTTATCAAATTTGCTAACCGCGTCACATACCTAGAAAATTCGGAAAAGATGACAGTTTTGGCCAGCAAGTCCTTGATATATTGATGGAGTATATAAATAGTTAACAGGAAGGGGGCATTTAATTTGCTGGCTCTTGTAAATACCTAGACAATACAATATTTGAAAGGTGCTAAATCATCCACAGACTTCACGGTGTGGGTTAAAAGGTCCCAATCTAATGAAGTGTGTTATGAGCTGACCTCATGAGCATGTTCGGGCGAAGCCCTCACGGATATTGACAATAGCGCCTTTCGCCGATCCCCGACAGCCCCGAACATGAGGCTATTCCCAGGTCACGAGTGGACATCCAATATCCGGCCGGATATTGACAATAGCGCTCTCTGTCGATCTCCGGCAACTCCAACAATCTCAGCAACCCGGACATGAGGCTATTCCTAGAGAGAAGCCCGTCAGAAGCTCCCGATTCCCCTTGCCTATATAAGATTGTACATGCGTGAAGAACTTGTTGTTTTCTTTCTCTTCCTTTCCTCATGTTATGTTTTCTGTTCGAGTATGCCCTTATAGTGAGCATTAGGCGGGACTAGCCCGTAACAAGTGTGGCTGAAAAGTTCCTTAAGATCGCAAATCTCCATGATGCCGCAATGTGCAGTGGCATCCATTCTCACTATAAGTGGGCTTTTGGTCACTAGACGGTATATCTCTCGTGACAGCTGAGAGGTTGGACCAGTCACTGCTACATGCAAGAGATTAGAGTATCCTTGATTCAAACATGTCAATTGATTTGGGTCCGCACCAAACTTCAGAAAGGTATGGAATGACTTAAATCAGTTAAATTCAATAGCCTACGTTAAAGGAGTCCTGTAATACGCATCGGCACAATTTAGTAGGACATTCAGTTCCTCTTCTTTTGAGGACTAGATGTGACGGCTAAGTCCGAGTTGCCTTCTATTCCTGGTTTGCAGATAGGGCACAACCCTATCTGTAACAACCAGCAGGCTTTGGGGTCTCACTATTCTAAGAAATGCACCCATGACATCTCAAGTTGGGTTTCAGCTACAACAGGAGAAGGCTTATATGTTCGAGGATGGTTTCAGCTCTACCTCGACTGTTGAAGCTATTCGGAGAAGGGAGATCTGGTATAAGTTATATGTCTATAAAGATAGCAGATGCTCAAGGATAGGGGAAGATAGGTTTCAGTAAATTGACTTTCCATACCCTACCTTGTGTGCTTTACTTTCAGTGAATCCTCTCGAATGTAATTATACCTATCCCTCGTAACGTTGTTACACTATCGGTGCCGTATTAGGAAATCATCTTGACATCAGATATCGGAGATGGATAGGGTAAAGTGACTCGCGTAGAGCGCACACAAAGGCTGGCTACGCAGCTGGAGCAGAGCTCTTCCTTCCTTTCCTCATGTTCAATATTTTCGTCGATACGCACCCCTTGTATGTAGGATAGTTAGTTTTCCAATACACAGGATTGGCACCATCACACTAGAGGTAATCCTTTAGCGATTGCTGTCATTCTATTCTTAGTAGAATCTGGTGCAATGGTGTAATGCTTCGACTGTTTAGATAGTCACTACTGAGCATATCCGCAAGCTTATATAAGGCTCACTGATCTGATCAGCGCGGTCAGGAACGTACTCGGTTCTACTCAGTGAGTAAGAGCGGCGAGGAGGTAAGCACTTAAATAGAACGGGAAAGTCAAGCGACGTCGAAGAAAACCAGGTACGTAGGTAATAAATAACTATCGAATTTAGACGAAGGTTTCAACACCTAGGTATAACCTTGGAACCTTGGAATGTTCAATTCTTAAAATAAATTCCTTGCATTAGCAGACAATACACTTTTTGTATTTATTGAAGACTATACCGACATATATGACCACTCCAGAATTGGATCGCTGTCCGAGATTGCAGGACCGATGATAAATACCCACCTGTCCATATATTTTGTATGCAATTGCTATATCTATCAGTGTTAACATACTGCAACGTAGATGGAATGTCTATGTCGTTTATAGACCGGGGATATGAGACATATTGTTCTATATCTCATAAAATATCGCGGGGAGTGTAGAGGACATCTCTATACTAATGTCATGTTAAATGACTCCTACAATACAGTGTAGACCATACAACTGTCCGAACGTCTGATTTGAAAGCAAAAAGCATCGGTACGCGGTAGCGTTGGTCTGAGAAGGGAGTCTCAGATGGATGAATTAGATGAATTATGCTCATCCTATATCTATACCCACCTAATGACCAATCTATATTGTTCTCGTGACGGTCATATATTGAAGACACTGCATGATAGTACCAGCAGGACGGCGGTATTTACAACATGATGTTGGCCTTACGTACCCTATCAAAAGCAGTGTACCAGGAAGTTGCCGTATCCATCTCCTCTGTGAATCCCAGAGCCCTGGCTCGTCCCAGATCAAATGGACGATCGAAATCCATCAAGCGTAGACTTCCCATCCTTGAACCCGTGTTGTGCATACTTTTATAAATAACGTCCTCCTTCAGACCCCTTTTGCGGCACAGAGCCTGCAATTCGCTCCAATGACAGTCCATATATTCGGTTGGGTGTAGGCTGGAACTATCCGGACCGACACCTTCGAGTCCGAAATATTTGGCAAGAATGGGCCAGCGTTGTGACCAGGAAACGGGAGTCTTGCCATCGGCAATGTTGAAGGCACGGGTATGGACTTTCTCACGTGGCTGGAATGATGCGTAGATACAAAAACGAGCGATGATATCTTGGTTTGAATCAGTGTTCGTGAGACGCCAAGTAGTCTCATTGCCGGGGAATGGGACACGGGCGCCCTCACCTTCTAGGGCACGATACACGCCAATGTAGATGCCCATGGTTTGAGCCATGCAATTAGCATTACCAAAAGGCGCGACACCGACCTAAATGGTGAGTTTCAGTATAAGGTTCTGCATGACACTGGGACAGATGCGAAACATACAATGATGTCTGGGCGAATTTCACACCATGACCATGATTTGCCCTCTGAGATCTCATGAAGAAGGTCTACCTGATGATAGTAGAACAGATCTTTAGCGTACTCAACAGGTACACGAGGAAGATCCTCCCTCAGGGGTATCTGGCCCCGATAGGGGAATTTATCCAGAAGGTAAACACCATAAGCCTGCGAGAGAGAAGCGATTAATAAATAATGTACTCATGATACTCATGATTCTCTATACATTGAAGATACCTTGGTACCGGTTATTAAAGTCACAAAAGAGAGCTTAGAAGAAAGACATTCAATGCTTTGCACAGCGGCACGAAGCATTTCCTTGTTGGTACGACATTCCTCCGCAGGAATGTCGCTAGCGCGATATGCTAAAGATGATCAGCGTTGGCTCGCGCGTCAATTGATACAGGAAAAGGCAGCACACGAAATACTAAAAAGTGAAGGTGCCCTTACCTGCATAATAAATATGACTTACGGTCTCCACGGAGGAGACCTTGTCGGCCAAAGCTTTTGAGATTTGAGCATCATCACGCGCCAAAAGATCAATACCAGAGACGATCTGCAGTCGATTATCAGCAGGCCACCTGGCCTCGTGGGCGGTGAAGGGGCGATTTGCTATCGCTGTGATTTTCGAGAAAGCTCCAGCAGATGGATATCCAGATAGTAGCTGGTTAACAAGGGCCCAGCCGTTGATACCAGAACAACCAAAGACTACGGCGTGTTGGCCAGTGTCTGCCATGCTGGAAGGTCCGTCTCGGTTCTGAAACAAAAAATTTGGTTAGTTGGAAGCCGATTGCTGGATTCGGGAACCGAGGGTTATTGAGGTTAGGTGGGATGTAAGACAGAAGTCAACGTGCTAACAAGTCTAGAGTGGGATGGATGTATAGGAACGATCGTTATTGCTAATAGTACGACGCACAGTAATGTAATTATTGAAGAGCAAGCCTACCTTTTCCGACTTTTCGAGTCGATGGTTTCGGGAAATGACCAGCCGGAAGAATGCAGAAGAGTTGCAAAATTTGTAAAGTATCAACTGATGCTAAATTCCTGCGAAACAGTGAAAATCGTTAGGAGAAATGAATCCTTAAGGGGCAACGGATAACTGGGGGACAGATGGGCGCTAAGAGTCGCTAATACCCGTCGCTTTACCTCCCCCAACCCTATTCCCCAGTCCGAATAGGGTTGGGGGAGGTAAAGCGACGGGTATCATGCTATTGTTTACCACTTTACTAGCAGTGACCAGTCATTTATTTCAGTAAGGATTTCACAGCAATCAATATACTACGTAGAGAGTACTCTATCTTCTAGGGCACTCTGTACATACGATTTTCAGATATCATGCCATATGGTCGTGCGTAGGCCAGAAGTGGACACCGGCCAGCCATCAATAAGTCATAACATAAGTCCCTGCTCATATGTTCATCAATTGAAAAATGAAGCAATAATCAGAGTGGATTTTTCCAACGTGGAATGCTGTGCCGCTCAAACTAGGGCGATGAGCTATTTTTCCTTTCCTAATCTGGGAAGACCGAAGGAATCCGTAAGTCGCAACCCAGTGGCTAGCCACTCAGGCTTCAGTATGTATGCGCCATAGGCATAGTTTTCTAAATCGGGATGGCTTGATACCAGAATGGATTGAAAGAATCGTACAGCCCTAAATTAGGTAGTACCGGTATATAGTAGTGCTGACGGATTCTTCTTCCAAGAAAGATGGAGGATTCATATTCTCTAGGACTCGCTTCATAAACAACAAATCTCTCCACAGTGGGAGACTCATTCATACTTTTGATCAAAGTTTGCACCCGACATCCGGTCCGTGTACGAAGGCTTCTTTCTTTTTGTTAGTACGTACAGATACGGAGTACGTAATTCAGTATGAAACTTTACACAACGAACAGTATTGAGTTTTACACAAGTTGCCTGTCCTGGTTTAGTACTAATCTCTGTGATTAACACCAAGTTCCTGCCTGAAATGACCTAGGACCGAGCTTCATGTTTTGGACTCTACTGTATTTGATATTGAGCAGTGACCATATTCCAAATCCCCGGAATATATAAACGACGCCGTGGTGCATGAATAGTATGTATAAAACATCAATGAGTAATGATATTGGCGCTGTTGGCAGTCTTCAGTGGCAAAGCTTAGCAGCGGCTCAGTTTCGGAGTGGCTTTTTAGAGGGCTACAATGATTGCCTCGGGCAGAAACTCCGGGTCTGCTCCCTTTTTGGTGGACCACGTAGCCATGGTTCAATAAGCGCAGCCTCTTACAAGCCTAAGAATTTAGTGAGAAACTCAAATTTTCGTGGAGATTAGGGAGGCTACCTATAGGCTGGGGGCTAATAAGGCCTAACTGGAATGCGCTTAGGATTGTGCAATGTGGAAAACTTAAAGTGGGAAATGGGTCGGTGCAAGACTACGGACTGTTGGCTGCCGTACTCCCGTTACGGAGTCTTGTCAGATAGCGTTTTTCGTTCTCGTCAACTTGGGATTTCAAGCCATTAATTATGACGGACTTAGCTGAAATCCTCAAGCGGGATACGTAATCAGACACTTTTCGAAAATTTCAACCCTCTAATCCATGAATTGAGAACCCTGGATTGGGATTCTCCTCAGCCATAAGCCAGCAAATGAGACTAGATGCTCTCCGGCAAGTTTGACGTGACCATGCTACAATTCCAATGGGTCTGTATTATATGTTTCTAATGAGGTATTGATCTCCTAGCATCTGCAAGTCGTGACCCTAAGCAATGTAGGCGGGCTAGAGCGTAAGCATCAGTGGGAGAATTACTTTGGAACATCCAACCTTGTACGTTATTACATTTGATTTACATATGATATTACAACCATGACCCCTGCTCAACTTGTTACCTGGTGACACGAGTTGGTCTCGACCTACCGCTAAACTTCTTTGGTAAAAGAAGGGGTGCTCCAGCGCATCGAGATCGATCTGCATACACTGCACAGATGCTCGGAGATTTCCCTGTGTGTATGGATAGACTTAAACCCACAGTTACTCCCTCCGTTAACTCAGTCTTCACTTCATTTGCTTCAAGAGAAGCCCATTCCTTTCACCACCCTGGCCTATACACACATCAAATCCAGGGGACGTGAGAGGAGGGGATAGGACAAGATGGTTGATGTGACTTCACCGGAGTACTTGGCCCAGTCCAAGGTGGCATCAATTATCGTGTGCAATGCCATCCTAATTTCCTGCAGTGGTGTAGCAATGGCCGTGAGACTTTTTGTGCGCTCGCGGTTTCTGTCTGGCATCGGCTGGGATGATTCTTTCTGTTTGATTGGATATGTACGGCTAAGTGCTATGAACTACCATTCTCATCGACTTTGACTGATCATATTACTCTAGATCTTCACATTCGTCGAGTGCTTAGTCTGCATTTTGAGTAGGTGCACGTCTATTCCGGATCCCGTAATGGAATTTCGTGCTGACAATTATGGAAGTGACCAATTATGGTTACGGGCATCATATCCAGACCATCTTGCAAAATGAACATAAGATGAGCATGTTTCTCAAGGTATGTAGCTGTCTTTGCATCAGGAGATTTTGTCTAACTCGAACTTTAATAATTCAGCTCGACTTCGTGACCGAAATTACCTATCTTATTGCTTTATGGGCCGTCAAGGTCTCTTTCGGCTTGTTCTACCTTAAAATCTTCCCCGGCCGAACGATCAGAGTTCTGTGTTGGATCCTGATTATACTCGTTACTGCCGAATGGATTGAAGAGACGTTTGTCGTTATATTCCAGTGTTCACCAGTACAAAAGGCGTGGGACGCAAGTGGAAAAGTGTCTGGAAAATGTCTTCAACTTCTCAGCTTCTATTACATTTCCTTCGCTGTGCGACTCGCGACCGATTTAGCGATTTTCATCCTGCCACTTCCCGAATTACTCCGATTGAAGATGCCACTAGGAAAGCGTCTCGGTTTGATTTTGATGTTCGGCTTGGGTCTTTTGTACGTGTTTTGCTAGTTCGTGCTCAGTTAAAGTGGTTGGTACTGACTGAGCGACAGGATTGTGGTGACAAGTATCATTCGAGCAACATATTTGAACAACTTCTCAACCGACCATACATGTACGTTTTCTCATCTATGGCCTTGCTATAAGGTACTAACCTTCAATAACCAGGGGAACTGGTTAATCCTCTCAACTGGTCATCCGTGGAAATCGGTGTCGGAGTCTTCATTGCCTGTGTTCCTTCTTTTAAGGCACTGATTACCTTCTGCTTCCCCTCTCTCAAACATGTTCTGGGACTCTCCAGCGATCGCAGCTATGGTCCTCAGTACGAGCTCTACGGAGCATCAGGTCGACGTACCGACGATCCCCGGTCATGGCATGGAAAATCCCAAAACAACACGAAACTAAACACTATAACCCGCACCAATGTCGAAGCCAGCAGGAACACATCCGAAGAACGTATAATTTCCCATACCCAAGAGGGTATTCATGTCACGACAGACGTGAGTGTAGACAGGGTATCTAAACCAGTGGACACCCACCTCCATTCATGGCATGAGGACGATTAATATCTTCCGAGCAGAGGAAAACTGGCGTGGAGGCATATACGGAATCTCTTTACGTTGCTTATGCCCCTTACCATGTGTATATAAAATCTAATATAGTCTGTATAGTATCAAAAACCGTGATTCCTTTTGTTCTCGAGTAATTGGCAGTATTCTCCTTGAAATGTATGTATCTGAATGTATCTACAAAAATGACAACATACCACGAAATCGTTAACCACGTAGTAACTACCCGGTGAGTCCACAGGTCCCTAGATTGCAATAATTACTTTCGATTGGACTATTCCCACGTGTGATTTTGACCTTTTCTTTTTCATAGTTTCTATTGCTATAACTAGCATCTATGCAGAGAATATTTCTGTATGACGCGGCACAATCCGACAGACCTCGTATTGCTCAATTCCCATGGAGTATTTTATAGTTAGTGCCAATAGGTGCATAGAACTCAAGCCTAGAAGCCTGAAGTTTTGCTCATAGGCTGGCTGACTGGGACGATTCAGACGAAGCGAGAGACAAAAAGCGGGGCAGGGTAACAAGGGGTGGATTCATTTGTAGCCACCGGCGCCAACCGCTATGCTTAAACAGTCTTAAGGCGCTATCCCGCCTTTTTAATTAAGTGGACCGTAAGCCCGGTGGACCAATAATGCCACGATATTGAAGGCCAATTGTCTGATAGCCTAGTCGAGTCCCTAACTTGATGAAGAAGCGCGAGTCAGAATCGTCTTCACTGAGTCATCGGGCTCAGTTTCGTCTTCTTTCCGGCTCGGCTGTCTTCCGCATTCCGCAATGGATATCAATTCCATATTGTCCCTGCGCGCCACAATTGCGCTTTATTCCGAGATCTAAATTGGAATCCCCAACGACATGCACCCTGTCTTAAGACCAAAAACTCTGTTTAGAAACAGTGAGATCTCGCCAAAGTTTTATTCGAGGGGTTATCCAGACTTGACCCTTCGAGGAATAGATACCACCTGGACTCGTGCTCAAAACTTATCCCACATAGCTATATGAGGCATTATTGCAATTCTCCAAGGCTTATTAAAGCTGATTTTCCATAAAACACCGATTATGTATACGAATCCCGTGGTTCAAACTTGCACTAAGCATTCCAAGGTTAATTTTTACTTAGCACCACATCTGGTCTGGTGCATTCTTCGTCACAGAGTGCACTAGTTAGTTAGGGCATCTTTAGCACCGTACACCTCAACGTATTGCAAAGCTTCTACCAGGTGGGTCGGCCAAAATTCTTGAGTTGTACTGCTAGAGTTACAGGTTACTACTACAACATCTCACTGGACCGTTCTGCTTTACTTCCTTTTTAGTAGAACTTAACGTTCCTGGAAATTGCTCCGATTGCCACGTTGTTCGGTACCGTCTACGGGGTGTATGGCCAACATCCATCGAATGGCACTTTCTTAAGTTATTTAGTATTATCAGATGCTTACCCCTCTGCAGAATAGTGCACTCCATTTTTCTGCACCTGTGCAGCATTTCTAGCTGGATTTTAAACCGTCCCACCCGTTAAAAATCTATAGAAAGTCTTTGGAATAGGGTCCAGATTGGTAAAAGACCCTTCAGAGTTTCTCACTTGCGACGCCTCCAATCACTAGTTTCAACAAAAAGAGGCGGACTATTCAATTGTTTTCATCCGAAAGTATGGTCTGTCGCTGGGCGACCTCATCATCAGTCTGCGCAGTTGAATTTATATCTTGCAAATCACCATCTTTCCCTGGTTTTTCCTTCCAGTAGTGATCATCGGTTTTTGATTTATCATCCCTACTCCGTACTTCTGTTCTGCTCAGCTTTGCTCTGTCGATCGTGTTTCCCACGTGTTCGGTCGACGCAAGGGTCTGACCATCAATCCTCATCTTACAGAACTTGAGAGTTCGGAATTGCGAGCATTCCCAAAGAATGACGGGCGCGAAATCTCCTACCGCAGAGAACACCTCGGTGCCAACAACTGCGGCGATGTCGTCGCCACAGGAGGCTTTAGACCTCGAGCAGTTACCAAATGGCTACTATCGTAGCAAGAACTTCATCGGGTCTCTGATTGCGGTCTGTTTGATGGGTATCAGTTTGTATTTGGGTTATGTTTTGCCGGTATGTTATTCAATTGCGCCGGAAGCTGTAACAGTATGTTTTTGGCATCAACTGACAGATTGTGTAGGTTAACAGTTTGGCAGCGATCAACAAGGATCTTGGTCCTGATCCCAACTACACTCTGATTTCGACCATGTTCACTTTGATCTCCGGTGTAGGTTTTCCTCTCTACAATAACCACCAATTACAGAAATATTAACTTCAATAGGTCGCTGTTCTTCTCGTGGGTCGTTTTGGTGACATTTTCGGTCGTCGATACTTCTTGATCGGAGGACAGTTCCTCGGTTTAATCGGTGCAATTGTCTGCGCTACAGCTAAGAATGTCCCGACTGTCATCGGTGGTAGCGCCCTGTGTGGTCTCGCTGCTGCGGTTCAGTTGACCTTCACCTTCGTCATCGCAGAGCTTGTGCCTAACAGGCTCCGTCCAGCTGTGAATGCTGGTATTTTCCTGACCACTTTCCCATTCGCCGCATTCGGTGGTTTGTTTGCACAGCTCTTCATTGCCAATACGGCCAAGTCATGGCGCTGGTCTTATTACCTGAATATCATCACTTGTAGTATCTCTGTCATTTTGCTGGTCTTCTGCTACTTCCCGCCCGGCTGGAATAGTAAGCACAAAGGAGTGTCAAAAATGGAAGGTGTTAAGAAATTCGACTACATTGGTTTTGTTCTCTATGCTGGCGGGCTAATCTTGGTCCTGCTTGGCCTCTGTAAGTTTCCAGGGCTTTGACATGACTGGACGCATGCTAATATCATCCAAGCCTGGGGCGGTGCTTCGTATACCTGGAGCTCCGGACACGTTGTCGGCGTCCTCGTCGTCGGGTTCGTTTCTTTGGCCGCATTTGTCTTCTACGGTACGTTTCTGTTTCTAATTCTGTTGCACAATTCTGGAAATACGTATGCCTGACTTTGTATAGAAATCCTTGTTCCCATCGAGCAACCCTTGTTGCCCATGTCTTTGCTCAAACATCGTGGCTACAGTGCTACTGTATGCTCTGCCTTGGTCGGCAATATGGTCTATTTCTCTATGAGGTACGAATATGCTTCTAATCAATGAATGGGAAAAAAATATTGACATCGATCGTAGTCTCCTATGGCCTGAGGCTATTGCGAGTCTTTACACTACCAACACCATCAAAGCTGGTTGGCTCTCGGTATGCCACCCCCCCGATAAAACCGGCAACAATTTTATAAGAACTAGATCTAACTCTTTGTATAGATCTCCACCGGTACTGGTGTCATTGTCGGGGAAATCGCAGCTGGTATCTTGATGAAGCCCATCAGACATAGCAAGTACCAACTTATCTTCATTACGCTTGCCATCACAGCCTTCTCTGGAGCCCTGGCTGCCATCAACCAAAACACACAGGCTATGGGTCTTGCGGTATGATATTCCTGCATTCGGACACGTATATGGACACTCCATGCTGATTTTTTGCCGTTAGTTTACTGCCCTTGGAGGTTTTTTCGTTGGTTACCTCGAGCTCATCACCCTTATCATGTGCCCATTGTACTGCAAGCCCGAGGATATTGGTCTTGCAAGTGGTTTCCTTGGCTCAGCAAAACAAGTTGCTGGAACCATTGCTGGTAAGTGCTGGAACTATTTTCTGATTATGTATACGCGTCTGCTTGGATGTGGCTGACACGTCGACCTGATATAGCTGCTATCTACGTTGCCATCCTCAAAAATCGTCTTACCACCAACCTGGGGGTTATTCCAGAGGTTGCCATCGAAGCTGGTCTTCCCGCCTCTTCTGTCCCAACTCTCATGGAGGATATTGCCGGTTCCCATCCTTTCAGCAACGTGCCTGGTATAACCGATAAGATTAGCGTTATAGTGGCTGATGCTATTAAGACAGCTTACGCCCACTCTTTTCGGACGGTATTTCTTGCTAGTATCGCCTTCGGTGGCTTGGCTGTCATTGCCGCTGTGTTTTCTGTTCCTATTGACAGCAAGCTTAACAACACGGTTGCAGCTAAGTTGTCGGGTACTGGCGTCAGTGACGAGGCATTGGACGTTGAAAAGGCACAGCAGTAAATATTGAAGGATACGGGTAACGTTTGCGCATGCTTTAATGCTTTCTATGATAGACTATGATTTAGTACTTGAGCTTATTTTAATTTGATGGTAAATGGAAGGCAAACAGCTCATTGCGCCGTTTGATGCAAGATAACCATATAAATTGGGTTTGTTCAATCGTAGTACCATTTATGTCTCAATAATTATTCAACTACTGGTCTTACCTAGGTACCTGGCCATGTGGACGTTCTCAATCTATATAAGAAAGCCTGTACTTGTTTCACATTGTATCTTAGGCTCTGGAATATCTAGTTACCTAACAAGGATACACATATACCGCGGAAGAGAAACGAATTGACATTCTGTAATTAACAGCCAGCTTTCTACCACAGTATGGAACATTCATCATTGGATTTGAGACTGGTAAATTGGCATGGCTCCCCACAACAGTCGCATTTGAGCCATTGACGGCTTCTCAGACAAGATCCCATTTAAGAAACTACTTGGTGGACCATGGAGATTATCGCCAGGGTTAGTAGTCGGTTCATCGTTATAGAGCAAGACGGAGACAAGGGGTCGAAACTAAGTCTTACGCATAATGAACGCAGTCTGAGTGTTTATATGCCATTTGTTGTATGATCAGCAACTACACTGTGAACTGCAAAGATTAAAATGAAATGGACGACAAGATGGGGAGGGATATCGAATGAAAAACATGGGCCAGACTTCTAATAACGGCTGCGTAGCGATCACACTATAGTTGGCCTGGTCAACTGGTTTAGGGTCGATAACTTTCCCAAAGTCCTCATGTCCGGGTGGTTAGGGCCAAAGGTGTGGTAGTTAACATGCCAGTCTGTCGGTGACATTGGGGAATGATCATAGAATAACCGTGCCAAGAAGCCGATAGTGTCGTCCATGTAGCCTCCTGCTTACGACATGTCTAAAGAGGCAGCTTGACAAGCAAATCGTATATTCAGCTCACTGAGACCACTTGGCGCAGTGATTTTACGGATTATCGACAATAGTTCATCCAGATTGAGACGCCCTTTGATAATTCGAACGACTCTAAGCTCATCTAGCCGTACGAGTGGTGATTATTCCTCTGTAAGTAGTTACTGGCAGAGACAACCAAGCAGATCATGGGCTTTCATCATTGAGTTAACGCATCAGCATCACTTAAGCCGGTAGTTGTGGTAGACTGCGTGTCCCAATGGCCTTGGTGATCAGGATAGTGGACAGTGGAAAGAAGAAATGATTGATTGATTAAATCAGTTACGTTGTTCCAGCCGCCACGAAGGCAGCTATGCAGCTTGCGTTCTAGTGACTGCAGGCTGCAGTCTAAGTACATGAAACAACAATAACAGGGCTTAACTGGATAGAAGAAAGACTTCAATACAACCCGAGAAGTTCGTAAGCTGTTGTGTGTGGGCTCCACACATTGCTGCAATGGTGCCTTCTTGGCGTCCTAGGATACACTTGGGGGGCGATCCCAGCTGTCTACCACTAGAAATGCTAGTAGTAGCAACTGTTCAGGGCCCTTATGAGTCCTAGATAAGTAGATCTTGTTGTCCCGAAAAAACAGTCTGGTCTCACATTATTGGTGTTTTGGTGGATGTAGAACCCAGTTGGATCCTTCCATACACTGATACGTTCTTCGTTGAAAAGTTCAAAAACTCGGCGCAGACAGTTGGTGGTAGTCCTGAAAAAGGGTGACGGACAACATGTAATAATAGCTAAGAAGATCTAGAGAGCGTAGATCCAGCTGTCCTTTGTTTGCAGCCATAGAGAAAGGAGACGAGAAAAGAATATTAGCGGTCGTACTAATAACTGATGAGGATCTGAGGAACAGCAGATCTAGCTATTCTGCTGGAGACCGTATTGAGAAATCAAGGGGGGAGAGGAGTAGAGCGAAGGGTTGGATCCATAATATATGTGGCCGTACACTGACAGCGGAGGAGACCTGAAGGACGGCAGATCCAGTTATCCTTGTGCGTTCGAGACCTTATTAAGGAGAAGAGCAAAGGTTGAGTTCATGATACTAGCGGTCGTACGTCGATAGCTGAGGGGATCGGGAGGCAGCCGACCTAGCTATCCTTCTGTTCAAATCCGCGTATCGGAGGAAGACCAGTCAATGGAAGGTGAACATCTTGTTGGTTTAACTACATCCTGATAACGCGAAGCACAGGATTACGCAGTAAGGCTATTCCAAAGAGCCCATGAGCCTGATAATATTGATGTTATTCGAATATTATGACTGGTTCTCATAAAAAAAGAGGAGAAGGATAATTACATGCAAGGAGATATCCCCAGGTAGGTGAAACGGAAAAAATAATATTCCGTGCTGATACTCAACATCTGGGGATTCCCGTACACACACATCTATTATTATTCGAGGTCGTGTCACGTAGCAGAGCTGGCTATCTGAAAGGGCGGTCGTCGGAAGATAGTTTAGGGGATCCTGGGAAGAAGGAACCCAGCTACCCTTCCGTTTCACGCGCACTGGGAAAGATGAAGGTGCAATCATTGTAGCATGCCATATATTCTGAATGATTCCAGCGCGATAAGGTGGGCAGTTCCCGTAGCTGTTCGTCATCCATCCTAGATAGGTGATGGGCCAGCGATGAAAATTTTTGGTATTGTAGCGGGCGGAGCGTATTCCACCACAACACCTCCATTTTTCATCGTTATTTTTGAACAGATCTTAGCTTCATCTCGCAAAGATTTCTTTGTGAGAATACTAATTCCCAGCACCGAGTAGAGGTGCCTGCCCATGCTGGGGGAGGAAAAAAGAAACAGATGAAAAATGATGACTAAGTGACATGCCAAGACCGGCTAGACTCGGCCCGATGCTTACACGTGATCCCGCATCAATGTTTTCTCTGCTTTTGTTCTTTAAAATTCACCCAGTCCCTGAGTTATAACGCCGCATGGGAACAGCCAGGATAATGTCCATCAAGCTAGGTGAGCTGTCAGAGCTCGTCCAGGCGCGGTATGTGGTTCATCTATCTGATGGAAAGCGTTTAGTGCTGTTCCGTTTGCCATCCATCGACCCATCCCGTCAGAAACCTCACGAATCTCTAGATGGCTGGTCATACTACGCCATGGAGGCAGAATGCCCGCATGCAGGTGGTCCAATGGCGGAGTCAAGTGTGGATATAGAGGATTCAGCCTACGTTGTATCATGTCCCTGGCATGCGTACGACTTCAATGTGGAGACCGGCGAATCCAGTGTGGGCATCAAGACATGCACCTATCCTATTTATATCAGAGATCAAATTGTGTTTCTGAACTACCCACAAGGAGGTCGTGAAGTGAGACTTGCCCGGCTTGAAGCTGTTTCCGAGAAGGTCAAGTTGAAGCACGATCAAAATTCAGATGTTCTCACAACACAGCCCTTGAGTACGACTGACCAACGCGTCTTAGACGAGCAGTCATCATTCTGTGACTGGGCGGTAGAGATACTTGGTACTGCAGATCCAGAGCGAAAAATTGAACTCACTCATCGCTTGTACACCGTGTTCAACGAGAAGGAGGTCTCTTCTTCGCCCATGGCATTAGGCAAGGGAAGAGTGAAGCCTCCTGATCAGCCTCCTCGGGACGGCTTGGTAGAGGTAAACCCATGGGAGATCCAGAATCCTGGACGTGGAGGTACAGTAAGAAGCAGAATTGCAATGCTTCATGCTCTAGCCAACATTGAACTGTGGGCGATCGACCTTGCTATTGATATTTGCGTTCGATTTGCAACATTCCAGACAGAACGAAATGTACATGAGCTACCGCGAACTTTTTTTCGAGACTGGCTGAAAGTGGCAAATGACGAGGCAAAGCATTTTTCGTTGCTCCGTACTAGGATTGAAGAGCTAGGCTATTATTTTGGTGCTCTATCTGTACACCACGGTCTGTGGGAATCAGCAACTCGAACAGCCCATGATTTAAGAGCCCGAATCAGCATTATCGCGTTGGTCCATGAGGCTCGTGGCCTTGACATCAACCCGATGACAATTGAGAAGTTCCGCAAAGCAGGCGACACTGAAAGTGTTGCGGCTTTGGAAATCATCCATCATGACGAGATCACACATGTCACAACTGGCCATCGCTGGCTGACTTGGATCTGCGACCAGGAAGGCACAGATCCTATTCAAGTTTTTCGCAGCAACGTTCAAAAGTACTTCCGAGGCGGTATTCGCGGGCCTTTTAATGAGGAAGCAAGACTGCAGGCGGGGATGGATCAGCGATGGTACAAGATTGACAATGCGGTAACAGCTTGACGGTACTCTCGAACTTAAGCAACAAAGGGCTTGTTAGCGGTGAGATTATTCGCGATGCATAACTCTGACCGTCTCCCGCCTAGACCTCTACAACTATGTGCAGATCTTGTGCACTGTGCTAGCTAGGGCTTTTATACGTATACCTTGGACGGATGGAACGAATTCAACGAAACTTTCCAGCGGTCAGGATAATACCATTCGCTACTGTTCCTATGGTATGCTACAAAGAACCGACCAGGATATTGCAATCCCTTCGATCTTGCTGTTAAAACCAGCGACGTTTATTCTCCGTGGTGCGTGATAATGGGAACATGGGTGACACTTCTTACAAGACTGGTTCCATCATCGGAAACACGTGAAATTACTCAACCTGCGTATCAACCTTCCGGATGGATGATCATTCGTGTCTAATGCTTGTCATTGTTCTACGAAGATACTCTGCAGCATGTGTTTCCCGGTCTCCAGGTCCTATCGTCTACCAAACTGCTTTCCGTTTTCGGTGGTATTATCATCCTCAAAATTGTCTTTTTAAACCTTGATAGGAATAGATGTCATGCCTGGAACGCAACTACGCCTTTGTTATATATAGTCTTTTTTTGTCAAAGGTCATCGTGTAGACTTCATGGAAGGCGTTCAAGTGCTGGTGAGTTGTCTTTCTCTACATTGGTGTCACTCCTTGCACTGGACTAATCAGCCCCATGACTCAACAGTGCAAGTAATTATCATCCAGTAACCAGCTAAGAGAGTAGACATACCCCGCTGTTCAAAGACCGAGATAAGCTAGCGCTCGGAGACATGTCCGAACGCCGATTAGATTTTCTATAAGAAATACAAATCAATACACATCCTAAATTGCAAAACAACGACTTATTGATTTGCATTGTACGGGAAAACTGTTGGTTTGTGGGAGCAATCGAGATGCCTCACTCCGACGCACTGAGCCGCAGGGCGTCACGTGACCTCGTCTAGGATAGAGGGATGTAAGACCGCGTCGGGGCGTGAGTTAGATAGCTACAATCACACACATTTTGAACCCATACAGAATTGCAGTACCTGCTAACCATTCATGTACGTACGTACATTAACATGTACACGTGCTTTATGCACCCACAAAAACACTAAATATTTATCTACAACTACCCGTGATGTGAAATCGACCAAAGCGAGAAGAGCAGAAATGAAGAAAGATTTATAGAAAATTTCGTAACTCATAGCAAGCTAAATTAGTGATTAATCTAGGGGTTTAGATCTATCACGTCGCGGACGCGGAGCTAACAGAAACCTGTAGATATATCACATTATAGCCCACATACTCTCATATTCCTACTATAATTGGTTGAATATTGAGGATCGTTGATGGTCACCCGCAAATAGACCCTCGAAACCCTCGAGATTGAAGGGTGATCGAGTTACCCGCAAACCTCGATTCTTTGATTTTAGTATGAAGATACTATAGAATTCCTAAGATTGAAGAAGGAATTATAGCCTACCTACGTATTAACAAAGAAAGGAGCTCTTTTTGGACAAGAGAATAGAAGTTTTGTCAAGTAGTCCCTAAAGCATTCAGAAAATTCGCGAATCCATTGTCTGAATTGTGACGGCCAGCAGTGAGGCTATTCGCAAAGTTCGGTTTTATTGGAACTTTTCCGTACTAGTGCTAACTTGGTTAGGTCATCCAAAGAAGTTTCTTAGAGTAGGGGTTTTTCTGATATTTTTGCACACTATCTAAAACTTCACTATCTGGCAATCTTGGTCCTTTTATATTCACATTCTCAATACAAATGACATCATTTGAAACCACAATCTGTACTCGATCGAACTTTCTAGATATAAGCTGTAAAGTTGATTTGTAATATTGTAAAGATTATAGCTTTCGGGCCGATATTTATCCGTACGGGATAGAACACCTCACTCCTTAGATAGTTTCCTAGATAACAAGCACAAGGACAAGAACGTTGAGAACGCTCCAACAAGATATTTCAATCCTCAAAGGGGAGCGTACAACTGATATTTCTACTACTGCTCATAATCCTCGGCAACCAGATCTTCCTCAAGAATCTTAACAAATATCAATCTTATGTTGATGTGTGGACCACTTAGCAAGCTCGAAAAAATTGAACTTATCTGTGATATAGGAAGAGATCATATTGAGCTAGGATATTGGGAGATCCCGGGTAGTTGGGTTGAAGACGAAGAGGGCTGGAAGCGCGATGGAGGAAGATCCGGCCGTAACGACGCGTGCAGGACGCGTTGTAGTGCCGTCAACAAGAGCTCGAGAAGCTCTGGAAGGTGCTGACAGCACCGATGCCACCGCTGCTAACAGCCAATCTGTTCACTAACATGGTATACACCTAGGCCCTCTCAGCTCTCTAGTGCCTCCTACAATAACTAATACACTATTCTGTACAATTGATATGTCTCGCGTTAGAGAAGAAGACAAATCTAAGGCGTAGATAGCCAACATCAGACAAATGATTGAAAAGGAAATACAAGGAAATGAAGAAATGGAGACCTGGCGCTGTGCAGCAGTAATTAAGGATCCAAAGAATGTAGATCGAGTCAAAATTATTTGCAGATAGGAGGACGAGATCATACAGGTCAAAGAGGCTGCCCAAAAGTTAAATATACCAGGATAGAGAGTGTTACGAGATCAGCTCTATCCAGTCAAAATTGATAACTATTCCTTAGATTGACGTTTTGGAGGAAAAAATGATTTCTATTCATATTGTCTGACCACTTGTTAGATTCAAGCCAAATTATGTAAAATTTTATTCCTAGAATATTTCTAGCTCAGCTCTCACTATATCTTTTATTTGATAGGAGTTGACTGTTAAATGAGTACGCAGTATTGCTATATATAAAATCGAGTACATTGCTGGACATAGAGCTCCGAAATGAATAAATGAATATGATTATTGACCATATTCATATTCATGACTTATGAATATGATTAAAATGAATATTATTCATATGAATATGGACCATATTCATATTCATATTCATATTCATGAATATTTCTGGGTGGACTATTTTTCCGTGCCGGCAAACAGCCGTGCCCTACATAGATACATATTAACCACCACAGAATCAGCAAATTTGATGCGAGCTTCTTCAGTTTATCTTATATTGGCCATAAGGGTACTAATCACTCTTAAGTATGGATATAGTACTAGTAGTATGAGGTCCTTTTCTTAAAATAACGAGAATCTTGGCTCAAGGAGAAGATATATATATAAAGTTCTCAAGTTCAATCATTAATTCAGTGCATGGCCTATATAATCATGGTGTGTAGTTTAGATAGAGCATTCTAGGAAACGCTTTCTTACTTTGCAAGCGGCAAGTCTACTTAAAATTCTCTAGAATGATTCCTCCACTCATTTGTCATGTATAACACGTATAACTAGCACTATTACATTTCATGTATTCAACTTTAACATAATGTTTACCTTTTTTGTTTACATTATAGCTAGGAATGGATTAGACTAAGTAGCTACGTGACGGACAAAGCTAAATATTGTTTAGTATATAAATTGGGGGAATTAGGCTCTTTGTTGGTTGCTTCGTGCAATCGAGATGCCTGGCACTGGTATGCAGCAAGGAGAGGTCACGTATGGCTTACACGTGACCTCGTCAAGCAAGGACTATATAGACCGCGTCAGGGCCTCATTAAGACAGACAGACACAACAGAACACAGAACCCAAGAATCACCTATTGAGATTGACTCAAGTGCTTCGTACGTACGCATATGCACCTTAGTGCACCCACACTCTTCCAGATTCCTAATTCTCTTTTCCAAATATCTGTCTCTGAGTATTTCACTTGATATTCCTTCTTGTTCCTTATTTATTACAGAGCTTTGTTTATACCCTCTTCTCATGGCTTTTTCTCATGATTCATCTCCTCGAATAACTCGAAAGAGACCTCGTCGCGATTATAATGCCTTGAATAATGGCATAGTTTCTGACGCTTTTCCATGGCGCGATAAAGCAGATACTCTTGACTCTTCCTCCCCTAAATCTCTACCTTCTGATATGTCTACTCTATCTAATGAGCCTGTGCCTACACCTCACCAAAACATATCTTCCGACAAACTAAGTTTAGTACCATCTAAATCAGCTTCACAAGGATTAAAGTCTCCTCAACAGAATTCAGACAATTCTTCTCAATTGGACCAAGAGAGTGAGTTCGACGAGACTCCAATAAAAAAAAGAAAGAGATCACGTACTAGCTGGACTGCCGACTATTTTAATGCTATAGGCCTTGAGACTACATGGTATCCTAAAGAAGGCTATCACAGAAATGATAGATTTCTTTTATGTAAGTGATGCAATTAGTCATCAAAGAACTCTACTGCAGAGGATGCTACGACCAATTTAGCTACACACCTTTACAAAGAATACCATATTAAACAGAACATAATTATACCTCCAGCTGGGCCTCTTAATATATTCATAGAACTAGCTAAGTCTGGACTTGATCCCATACAGGCTCTTCTTTGCTAGATAATTGAAACACAGCAGCCTTTTACAGTTATTAAACATCCTACATGGAAAGAACTCCTTAAGAGTCTAAATGCTAACTGTCCTATCAAAACTGCAGATACTCTTTGAAATTGAGTTCAGAGTAAATATTCAAGTTGGAGGAACCAGTTAAAGCAGGACTTAGCTGATACCTGCCAATTAATTTTACTTTTACTTGACATCTAGACGTTAGATAACCAGATATCATTTCTTGCTATTATTGGCTATTGGCTCACTCCAGAGTTTAAGCTTTGAGAAGATCTTCTTAAGTTTAAAGAGATTAATGGATTGCACTCTAGTGAAAATCTATCTATAATTGTCAAAAGTATACTTGAAGCGTTTTAAATTGAATATAAGCTTCTAACAATCACTGGAGATAATGCTGGAAATAATCTAATACTCTGCGATTATCTTTATGCAGACCTGTTAAAAGATTTTAACGAGGAAGATAGTCTATTCCGCATAAAATCACTTATATGGTTCTGGGGTCAGAATAGCTTCATTAGATGTCTTACATATATACTGAATCTTATCTGTAAGGATATTCTAGTATCCTTAAAGACCAGTACAGTCCATGATGCACATATTATACTTAATGAGATGCCATCACAGAAGGATCATTCACCTGAAACACTAATTTCAATGAAAGGTGCTATTGTTAAGATCTGTCTTTTGGCCTTATAGATTAGTAACAGCCCCTAGTGAAGGCAGGCATGGAAGGATATCTCTCCCTGCAAGTAAATTAATTATGATATTGACACTCGCTGGAATTCAACATACAATATGGTCTCTGAAGCTCTTTGACTTTGAAAAGAAGTCACTTAATTTATTTGTGAATATCTAGATATTCGAGAAATGCAACCAATAGATAGTGACTGGTCAACACTAAGACAAATTCAGAAAGTCCTGAAGCCATTCTGGGACCATACTAACTCTGTCTTGAAACATTGCCCAAGCATTACTAAAAGCCTTCCAATATACTGAAGTCTTGATGATATTCTTGACGATATCAAAAATAACGAAGGCAACTTTCAAGAGATTACTAAGGAGGTTCAAAATGCTGTTGAAGGAGGAATCTGGAAAATAGATAAATTCACCAAGAAGATGGATTCCAATATTATCTATTACGTGGCTGCTATTCTTGATCCACAGGTTAAGACCTCCTTCATCCGAGCTCAAATGAGCAAGTCTGATACAGATGTGATTGTTTCTGATATACATGAATATCTTAAGAAACAATATCCTGCAAGCCCTACCTCTTCCTCTAGTGCAGAGCGTCTACCAGGTATGCCAGGGACATTATAGAAAAAGCTTAAAAAAATCTAGCCTCTGCAATCTGCAGACATAATATCAGACATTGATTGGTACCTAGATTTAAGCCCTAAGATGTGGTCTCATGGTATAATAGAAGATGGGGATCCTAACTAGATATTAAAATGGTGAAAAGCAAATGCCTTTAACTACTCCCTAATGTTGAAAGCTGTACAAGACTATCTTCCTATTCCGTCTGCTGAAGTAGGCGTTGAGAGATTGTTTAGTAACGCACAAGATGTTCTGGGTATTCGGAGACACTGCTTAAATTCTGAGACGTTTAGATGGCTGATATTCCTTAAGGGACAATATGGTAAAGAACACCGGGACTCGGCATAAAAATGTTTAGGATTTAGGAAATGGGGTTTTCATTGAATTTTAGTAAGCTTGCTGTTTGTATATAGTTTTTCTGTAAGTAACTATTCAAAATTGATCTTAGGAGCGAGTTCAAGATTCAGCTGCCTCCCTCATCTTTTGTGGATATTCATGAATATTCATATATTTATGAATTTAGTGAATATGAATACGGGTCATATTCATATTCATTTAATTCATATTCATATTATTCATATTCGCAAATATTCATGAATATGAATATTATTCATATTCGTTTCGGAGCTCTAGCTGGACATGGTGTTGAACAAAAGTACTGCCGAGTATCTCTTACCGCCTTCTGAATTGGGACTAGAGCAAATAGGTTCGCGAACCTCGAATCGAATTCGAATCGACTGTAAGTTCGAATTCGTACGAATAGTCATATTCAGGATTAATTCGATTCGAATCGAATTAGGAAAAAGTTCGATTCGATTCGTGCGGAGCGGTAATCAACTTCCGTTTCTTGTGCTTCTTTGTATACTACTCACATGGATCATACTTGCTGAAGCAAGCCCAGAACCATGCTTTCTTTTTAGCTATAGATAGGAGATTTTAGGAGGTATACAAAATAATCGCAGATCTTAACATATTCTTAAATAAAGGCTGTTCGACACATGTAGAAAAGAAGCGTCGCCAGGACCGAGTCGGAGAAGCCGCGCTTCCTTATCTTTCGTTATCTTTACTGTATCACAAAACGCCCGCTATTGACCGGCCGACAGTGGATCAATGTATATCAGTTTGATCTCAGTTCAATAGACGACTTTGAAAAGTACTTGCAAGAAAACCACAAGACCAGAAGAAAACAGTTCTAGGTCGAGCACAACGAAGAAACTACTGATCCATCCGCAACAATGACCACACAGTCCGTACAGCCCATTGAATTGGCGGAGGATTCCGTGGGGCTATCGGAAAAATACGCAGGTCTCTCCATCAATGCCACGCGATTGATGAGCACTTTGGATGCCTCTTGCTCATGGGGCAAGTAAGTTTTTGAGAATTTGTCCTGGGGGATGTACTAAATCGCTGAATCACTGTCTAGCACGCCAGATGGAGGCATGAATCGCCTCGCCTTAAACGACGATGACAAGAAAGTCAGGGACTGGTTCGTCGAAGAGACGGGAAAATATGGTTGTCATCACAAAATTGACGAAATGGGCAATATATTCGCCATTCGGCCGGGCCAGAACAATAACCTAGCACCTATCGGTCTGGGGTCGCACTTGGATACTCAACCGAGGGGTGGAAGATACGACGGTATCTTGGGAGTGATATCGGCAATCGAGGTTCTGAAGGTCCTTCACCAACATGATATCACTACTTACGCACCGGTTGCCGTGGTGAATTGGACAAATGAAGAGGGAGCTCGGTTTCCACCAGCCATGCTGTGTTCCGGGGTATGGGGAGGTGCATTCACCGCCGACTGGGCTCATTCGAGAGTGGATCATGCAGGCGCCACACTGAAGGATGAACTTCAAAGGATTGGGTACCTTGGAACCGTCCCGTCTTCATGCGATGTTAACCCTCTTCTCGCCCATTTCGAACTACATATTGAACAAGGCCCAATCCTAGATCGAGCGGAGCAGCCAGCCTCTGTAGTCAAGGGGGTGCAAAGTATGCGCTGGTATAATATACAAATTACTGGACGAGAGGCCCATACCGGAACGACACCTATGGAGAGTAGAAGTGATGCTCTTCTTGGAGCTGCCAAGATGATTGTTGCTACCAACAAGATCGTTACTGAGGGTGCGATCTTTGAACGTGGCGGTCGTGCGACGATTGCAGTAATCAATTCAGCACCGCAAAGTATTAACACTATCGCCGGAAACGTCCAGCTGGGTTTGGATATTCGAGCTCCAGCAGACTCCGATGTGGAATTGATTGAATCACTTTGCAGGAAACAGTTTCAGAAAATTAGTGACGAGCATGGCCTCAAGGTGGCGATTGACAATTTTTGGGTTTCACCGGCTGTGAATTTCGATGCTACTATGGTTCAATGTGTCAGAGATTCCTGCGGTTCGGTGGGTTGCGGCACCATAGAGTTGGTGAGCGGAGCTGGACATGACAGTGTTTATACCAGCCATAAAGTGCCCACTGCCATGATCTTCGTGAGATGTCGCGATGGGATTAGTCACAATCCTGCTGAATATTCGAAGCCGGAGGAGTAAGTCTTTGTCTTTGTCGTCTTTTAAATATACTAACGTTTCTGCTGCAGTTGTGCGGTCGGTGCTCAAGTGCTTCTCGGCGCATACCTGAGATATGATGATCTTATAAGACGGTCTACTGAAGCCAAGATATGATTTATCGTCAGCGGTTAAGCTCTAGCAACGAGGAAATGCTATAAGGTGAAAGATAGCTGGATTGTCCGAACAAGATTTACGATATAGGAGATAGCAAACTGGTATACTGTAATCATAACTTGGAATTCGAGGAGGAACTAGCCCGGTAACCCGAACACTGTATATTGGAGACTTGTACTTGGGCTCTCCAGCAAGTCCTGCTCCAGCAACGGACATTTCCAGTCATTTATATCCATCATGATTATCTGATATGTTCGTCCCGTATACCCTGTACGTACCTAGGTATTCCGCTCTATATACATCTACACAGTGCCCAACAACATCTAGTGAGCCGCCAGGCCATGCTTCCTGACAATTGTCCAGTAGGGCTCTGCAATCAATTTTCGAGCCGACTTTCCGACGCCAATCCACAGGAAGCACCCACACCAAAATAACACACCGAGCACAGCGATGAGGATGAAAGTGTTCTGTAGACCGATGTTGTCTATCATTGGATTCACAGCGTAGGCAAATGCAAAACCTGGAAACTGTCAGCGAGAGGCTCTGCAAGAAGGCTAAAGAAAAAAGAAAAAAGGGGCGGTGGAAAGGGGCGCCTTACCAATAGTGTTACGAATCAAGATGATGGTCACGATGGATTCACCAGCAAGCTCCTTCTGACTGTCGATAATGTACGTGATGGCCAAACCGGAACCCATGGGCAGGGTAAGACATAAGAAAGCTACACCGATGACGACGCCGATCCAATGAATATGGTGGCTTGCACCGACACCGTACAGAAGGCAGCCCAAGGGATGGGCAACAACGGCAATAACTGCCATCCACAGACGATCCTCGGGCTCCTTGATACCTTGGCGTCGGCGAGCAAGTCTGATAGCTAGGATGTCGCTCAGCCAACCACTGCAGTAGCAGCCAACGGATACACCGATGACGCTTGCAAAGTAGGTAAGACCAATCTGGTCGGTGGTAAAGTTGTAAGGCGCTCCACCAAGGACCTCGGCCAGGGAGCCACCCAACACGTTATACCAGGCCAAGATACAACCAACAAGCAAACCGGAGAAGATATGGGTAGGGAACAGCAGCAAGCGGAACGACAGGTAGATCGAGCGTAAGAATGTATAAGGTTGTTCTGGGCTGCGAAGACCCCATAGCTTGAGTTTCTGCGCATAGGTCTTCGCGGATAACGTTCCAGATGAGGCGGGAGTGCTGGAGATGTCGACTTCGACTTTAGGGTTGTTTAATCCCTTTTCTACATCGGTCATTCCCTTTTCTGCGTCGACGGATGAAGATGGGGGTGATTCTGTGATGGGAATGAAATCTTCCTGGTTGAGGTTGGCTTTGCGAAAGAACATGGTTTCCTCGAAGACAAAGAAGATGAAGATTGCCACGCAAACACAGATGATAGCAAGAATGTACTGGATCCATCTCCAACCCAAATTGTCGGCAACGAAGCCACCGGCAATGGGAGCCAAGAATGCACCGCACCACAGAGTCCAGTTATATATGCCCATGTGGAACCCCCGATCGTGAGTGAACTGAACATCAGAAATGCAGAGTTCAATCAAAGCCTCTTGTGGCGACATGAAGATGCCTATCAAGACTCGGTTTGCGTACCATTCGCCCACACTCTTGACATAGGCCGACCAGATTGTCAGCAACGAGGCACCCAACATGCCAATGATAAGCACGGGACGACGACCCCAGTTCTGTGCTAGGTTCTGGGTGATCAGTGTACCCCAACCCATGAAGAGATACATAATGCCATTCCCAGTGCTGAGGTCAGCGACGGAGATGCCCGTGTCTTTCGAAATTAGCAGGTAGGCTGGAGAGAGACCGCTAATCAGAGCTGCAGCAAAGAAACACCAGGCCATTTGGCAGAAACTATTCAGCGTCTTGCGCTTGAACGACCAGTTGAGGGGGTCGTCTGGGTGCGAGCTGGGCTGGGGAATCAAAACGATATCTTTTTGACCCTCGCCATGGCGCACGCGCAGGTTGTGATTAACGTCCACCTGCTGAACCGTTCCGGGGATAGGGAAAGTCGCGTGTGTCATAGCGTGGACCATTCTTCCTTTGCCTAGATAGCGGAAAGGATGTTTTCTGTTCAAGGTGCAGTACGTGTAGAGGGACTTTGAACTACCTACCTAGGCAGGATGGCATATAACTTGATATAAGAGATAGGGTTGCAAAGAAAGAATAATTGGTAAAAGGCTGCGTCCGACAGCCCAAGACTCAAGATGCCCATGCTGTACAACCGTTCTTATATCACCAATTGTCCTGCCCATCCGTGCGATAGCCTGACATAGCTAAAGCCTAGATAAGAAGAAAACGCTATGGATAAGTTTATCTTCTTGCTGTCTCTGCTTGGGGTAGCTCGCGTCCAAGGGGAATAAGAACAGCGCGGCGCTCGTGGCCAATCGGATCTCCATGATTTTGAAGTTTCTTGGGCTGGCGCAATCCGATTGGATGTTCGGATATCCACGGATCCATAAATAGGGCTCTGCGGAGACCAGCCAACCACAACGCTGCATTACTGATTAGAAGTCAAGCCGGAAAGTCTCTGGTTTGATAAGCAACTCCCTAGGTAAATGAGCCGGCGTGAAATGAGGCCTTTTTTTATAGTAAAGATAAAGCGAGTTTTTGATAATTGACCTAAACGTAAGCTAAGCTTAGGTACGATATCAAAATCTTAGTTCAGCGTCGTTGCCACTCGCAATGTTGCCTCTTGATAAAGTGGAATAGAATGGTATCACATTTCGAATATCATCACATTTTACTAGGTATCAATGATATATATACATATGATTAGCTAAATACCTAGTATATGACAATAAAAGCCATTGGTTTTAATTACAAATCCCATTTTCTTCGACTGGTAAATCATAGGTAGTCTACGGGTCAGGAAAATACTTCTTATTGAAAGCATCAACGGCTTCGCGGGTTGTCTTGACAACATTTAGGCAGCCAGGCACGTCTGAGTGGCAGCATATCGAAACGCGGTAGTCATTAATGGGAAACGAACACGTTGAACCGTCAATTGCCGGCGCAGTACATGTTTCCAACTGTTGCGTGACCCGAGTGTGGACATCTTCTGTCTTCCAGCCACTGCAAGAGGACAAAAAATATAAACATAAGCAACACTGCAAAGTGAAGAAGGCCAAAAATGAAGATAAGACTCACCCTTTCTTCCGTTCTACCACTACCTTGCCATCCGCGTCGTACTTGACGTCGGCATAAAACTCAGCAATAAACTCAATCCCCAAGTCTTTGGCAGCCTGTTCCATGTATGTACCAGCCAGGCCAAACACCGGCACGCCCTTTGGAATGCCTAGGAAGACGGCCTTGGCGGTTTCGTAGTCTCTGCAGCACATCCCATACAGCATGCCGTGTGGCTTGACGTGATGCAAAGCCACTCCCTCTCGGTCCAAGAACCCCTTCAACGCGCCAACCTGGTAGACGGTTATAGCGGTGAGCTCGTCGGCACTGAGCTTCATTTCTCGTCGTCCGAAGCCTTGTAGATCGGGGAGACCGGGATGCGCGCCGATTTTGACACCGTGTTTAATGCAGTTACGGACTGTTTCCATCATGATTAGAGGATCACTATAAACCAGTCTGTTGTTAGCATGTCATCTCGTTGCATATCACGGAGATAGAGAGATCACGCACGATGCATGAAAACCACACGCGATATTGGCATGATCGATAAAGGGAAGCAAATCATCGTCTGGACCAATAGCCCAATTCCCATATCCTTCGCCCATGTCGACATTAATGAGGGCCTTGTGTCTGATCGGGCCTGCCATTTTGCTTTCGTTTCAAATTTCTCTCGGTTGTATAGATAGTAGATGGTTGTTATGCTTAGAATGGTTGTTGTGGTTGCTATTCCTTGTTCTTCTCTCTCTTCCTTTTTTTCCCCTCTCTTTCTCTTTCTTTCTCTTTTTTAAACAGGAATACAAGCATGGAGCCAATTTGGATAAAACCTTCCCCACCAATCATTGACATGTGTCTTCGTAACCCGTTATGTGAAAGTACAGCAGCTCACATCGGCCAATCGGATGCCTGAGGACACGGTCCCCATTTCCGTTCCGACGTTCTTATCAAAGTTTTCTTGGTATTCAATCCGAAACAATAGTCAACTTGGCTTTAAACTATTGTACTCGCACGAACTCCGTGTTGCCACTGTCTGGTCTCTCTAATCTTCATATGATCATCCTGTTTGATTTGCTCTTGCGTACAGAGACTTTGTACTGCATGTGCTATGTGAATGCTGTGACATTACCAGTAGAAGCCTAATCAGAATGGCTTTCAAAAAGTTACTAGATAGATATCTACTGGATATTTATTTCTTTGACACCATAACGCTGTAATCTCGTCAGGTTCAACACCTTTTTCGTTAAGTAGCTTAATACAAATATGCCGGAAACCCCGGTGCGCTCCCTACTATTCCTCCTCCATCGGCAGTATGGCCAAATAGCTGTTCATTGCCATCAGCTGTCCAAGGGGCCCGGTGGGAAGATGTGTAATTAGTAGCTATCGATTGAGGAATATGGCTATCCCACCACATCGAGAAGGCTTCGAAATTGGACCCTTCCTCATTGCCACTGAAAGCCCAAGGATCAAAATCTTGTAGACTATTATTATTGTTACTATGGGACTCCACGTGAGTCCGAATACATGATCCATCAGCTTCGCTGGGCGTGAGAAGCATAGGCTGTGACGGGGGGCCTAACACTGTGGACATCGGAGTATGCAACCCGCTTGCAGTATTTCCGAGTATGGTTGGATCTGATGGAATAAGGGTATTCGCCGGTTGTGGGCAATTCTTCGCTACCGTGGCATGCGCTTCGACGCGGCGCGAGAGTTGGTCGAGGAGATCTCCCCAGCGGGGGCTCAGATGTGTGTCGTCAACGTAAATAGACCGTAGACCTGCCACGAGTTGTTTTATAAGGGAAAGGGATACTCGTGTGTCTACCTCCTTGATCCGAGCGGCACAACACTGGGGATGAAATTAGCCAAAGCAAGATTTTAGGGAACAAAAGCTATAAGAGGCTAAATAACTTGACATACCTTGAGGAGGAATAATGCAGCACCTAGTAACCGAGAGTATGAGCGGACAGGCAAGTATCTCAAGCTGCCATCTGGTACGAAGTCATCCAAAACTGTGAGTAGAATAGTTTGTGCACACTTGACGGTCTCGTTTAAATAGCCCTCCTCTTGTTTCAAGACGTGAGTAGGAATGGGCTGCGGTTCCTTGGCTGTGTCGTCACAGTAGTAGCGTCGTTCTATGACAGCTTGCAGCGCAACGCTTAAAATGCATAACTGGACATGAGCGTATTCAATAGTCAAGATCGATCGCATTTGTTTCGTTACTTTTTATTGTTGTTAGTTCTGATGGTGCTCTCGCTTGCAACCCACTGACTCACATTTGGACTGATCGAATTCAAGGATAGTTTCCTGAAGAAGCGGTTGCAGGGTCTGAAGAAATTTTATATATTCTCCATTTCGAATGATCTCATTTGTATGTTTTTGTGACGAGAAGAGTAGCTCATTCGCATACTTCATGATGGTGGCTACCCGAGCCCAACATTTTATTGTATCATCATCTGTTGACGGAAATAAAAGAGATGGCTCGGGAGTTAAGATTCTCCATCCTATTAATGATTAGAAACCAAAAAAAAAAATAAATAAATAATAAAATAAAAATAAAAATTAAAAAAATGGAAAATAATAGTTGGTTGACTAGTATAGCACATAAGAGGATTGGACATACCTGGTCTACCGGGTTGTTGCGTGGCATATACCCAAATTAAATACCGCACTCGACAGAATCTCTGCTGATGGGAAGCCATATCTCGCATACTCTGTGGGTTGTTTTCGCTTTCAGAAACCAGCTCTTCCTCGTCAAACACCCCCATCTCGGTAGCGAGCATTGAAGCCGTCGACAGCATGGAACGGCATAGTCGATCCGATCGTGCCAGCCAGTCATGTCCCGAACCTGGCCCGCGATGTCGCTTATGTTCGGCAGCAAGACGTCGTCTCTTCGGTTCGCGAACAATAGTTGACGTGGTATCTTCGTCTGGTGGTGGAAAATGAAGTCCTTGTGGGTGCCAATCCAAGAGAAGCAATAGGGCTTCACATGTTCCAATTGTGCGAAATCCATTCGACCAAATGTTAGAACGCGTTGGGAAGGATGCATTGTCCGAGCCATTGAAGGGATCCGTTAGCGAAGCGAATTCCCCGACGAATATATCTTCACACCAGAACAGGCGAGTGATCATACCCTGAAGGTACCTCCAGAGCCGATCGTGGATGAGAAATGAACGTGATGCCGCAGCTAGCCCCGTCCACTTTTTGTATCGGGAACCAATCATCAGGATGGTGATGGTGAGAATCGGCTCCTCTTCGATTAGTGTCGGGTGTTGCGCATGGGCACGAAAACACTCTGGAGCCACTGGTGAGAAGGGCGCATGAAACTTGTAAAAGTGGTCAACCATATTGAGCGCCTCCTCTGGAGTGAACAATCCACCTCGGACAAATCTTAAACCAGACCATGCTCGTAGAGCCTCGCGAGTACCTGGACTGAAGGTGTTGGAAGCGTGCCCGGCCGATGCATTGCCGGTATCAGAGGGTGAACTTTGGGAGTGCACGGCCGTATTCAAATGCGCAGGGAAGTCCCTGCGACGCTCGGCATTGTCGCATGCTTCAGACAAGACAGTCAACGCGTCGTGATATGTACGGGGATGGCCCCTGAGCAAGACAGCGGTGGCGCGACCATTCGGCGGTAGTAAATGACTTTGTTGCTGGCGCTGTTCTCGAGATGTCGGTGTGGCATTGCTGATGATAGGGCGGGGATTCGGTGACGCTGGTGATGAATAGACGCCTGTGGGCGCCGAAGCTCTATCTACGACTATAGGCGAAGAGGAGTGTCGTTTGAGATGACGAGTGCTGGACGAGAGTCGATGCCTTGCCTTTGACTCTGCTACATCCCTAATCCTGGAGGCTGCGAACACGCATTCTCTCGACTCCCGACGACAACGTGCACATGGTGGCTTACAAGGCTGGTCCACAGCGCCTAGCTCGCAGCGCACCTTTCTCTCGCGGCAAGGCTCGCACGCCTTTATGGCAGAAGGTCAGTCTCTAGATGATCGCGATTTATAGATTGAGTGTCGATAGTAACGAACCTGATACACTCGCTTATGCTCGCGACGCTGAGTGGTTGCCATGATCCGATTGAAACCGATTGTTGACGAGTAGTGGTAGTCTCTTCATGAGTATCTATGCAGGAGTGTGCATGCGTCATGCGCCATTCGTCGTCCGATCAACACAACAGTAATTGCGAAGTCACTGGGTACAGTGTTCGGAACTGGCTGAGTGAGGGGAAGTAGTTGATTGCGAACCGAGGACGTTGTGATTGGTCGACGGCGCTTATCGAGAGAGGGCCTTCTCCGTTGGTGCGATCCGGTGATTTCCAGCCAATCGGATGCAGGATATCCACGATATCCACAAGAGGAAGGTGCAGAAGACAACTATGACCAGCTTGGAAAGGGCGATTGAGGGGATGAAGATAAGTAAAGTATTCTCTCGACTCATCTTGAAATGTTCACGACATTGTGATCACGTCACGCACACTTTGATGAGCAGATAATTTGCCATGGAGAAGCTGCAAACGCTGCTGATTGCGAACCGTGGTGAGATTGCCGTCCGAATCTCTAAAACTGCAAGGTACGCAGGCGTCTGTCCTTCAGTGGCGAGCTGTAGACTGACATGCATGATTCATAGGGAGCTTGGGGTGCGCACAATCGCAATATATACAAAAGCGGATTCGACTTCGCGACATGTGTCAGTCGCAGACGAGGCAGTCTTGCTGCCGGGCGAAGATGCCACCGCATATACCGACGGGTTAGTCTAGGTTTTCTCTTTGTCCCATCAATGGCCACTGTAGTATGGGACTGACTGTGTTAAACATATAGAGACGCTATCATAGAAATTGCTCGTTCGCGGAATGTCGACGCCATTATTCCTGGATATGGATTCCTGTCAGAAAACGCCAACTTCGCCCATGCCGTAGCCAGCGCAGGCATGGTGTTCGTAGGCCCAAAACACGATGCAATCGAGGCATTCGGATTGAAGCATCGAGCGCGCGAAATGGCTATAGAAGCAGGCGTGCCTATTGTTCCAGGCACAGGAGGGCTGCTTGCTACGGAGGATGACGCAGTCAGTGCTGCAGATGAATTGGGATACCCGGTAGGCCTTGGCTTTCTTTTATGCGAATTTTAACCAATAATCCTGGCACTATAGGTAATGCTAAAAGCCACCGGCGGAGGCGGTGGAATGGGTCTGGTTATATGCAACTCGCCCAGCGAGGTCCGAGATGCATTAGCTCAGGTCCGTTCTCGGGGAGCAGCGTTGTTCAAAAATGCCGGAGTGTTTCTAGAACGATACTACGCGAAGAGCCACCATATTGAGGTGCAGGTATTTGGCAACGGTCTTGGAAACGCTATTCACTTCGGAGAGCGTGAGTGCTCAATCCAACGTCGCCATCAAAAAGTAGTAGAAGAGTGCCCCAGTCCTTTTGTCGATAAGAATCCAGGTATGTCCGAGAATCGGTTGAATTATAGTTAGTTACTATAATGTCTGACTAATAGGGTAGATCTACGCAGGAGATTGACCTCTGCGGCTGTGGCCCTCGCGGAATCGGTCAAGTATGCATCTGCGGGCACCGTCGAATACCTTGTGGACGATGTATCTGGGGATTTCTTCTTCCTAGAGATGAACACCCGCCTGCAAGTCGAACATGGCATCACGGAACTCTGCTATGGAGTTGACCTGGTAAAACTCATGTTGGAACAAGCTGACCGAGAGCTTGCTGGGCAGGGAGGTATTGATGGAAAATATTTAAAATCTCAGCAGCCCGAGCTACCAGTAGGAGTTGCTATCGAAGTACGTGTTTACGCAGAAAACCCAGCCCGCAATTACACACCGTCCCCCGGCTTCCTGCAGTATATTCAATGGGCGGAACTGGAAGGGACTCGTATCGACACTTGGGTAGGCACTGGGGCCAGAATTTCAACTTTCTACGGTGGGCGACACTCCTAGGAACAGTCTTCATTTGGGACATTGGCTTATATTCTTTGTAGATCCCATGATTGCCAAGGTGATGGTACATGCTTCTGGACGTAATGAAGCGATTGAAAAGTTTGGTTGCGTTCTTTCGCAATCCATAATCTGTGGTCCCCCAACGAACCTCGACTTCTTACACGCCATTGTACAATCCGCCGGCTTCAAAAGTGGACACACCCTGACGAATTTCCTGGAAAATTTTGAATATAGTCCTACTGCCATTGATGTTATTTCACCGGGCGTCTACACCACACTTCAGGACTTCCCAGGTCGCCCCAACGCAGGGCAAGGAATTCCCCATGCGGGCCCAATGGTGAGTTAATTCTTCTACTCAAGACAATTCATTGCATACATCCAGACTAATATTGGACAAACAGGACCCTCTTGCATTCCAGGGTATGCCCCCCTTCAATGACATAAGATTTTAGAGAGTGGTTGCATCTAACCGAGTGGTAGTCGGAAATCTTCTGGTGGGAAATCCCCGTAATACAGAAGGGTTGGAAATTACTCTGAGAGGCCCAGAGCTACGATTTTTGGCTCCTGCAGTTGTTTCGGTGTGTGGCGCTCCGATAACATTGACTCTTGACGGTGTTGATGTCCCCATGTGGACGCGGTTATACATCAAACATGGCCAAGTCTTGTCTATCGGAAAATTGCTAGAGACTGGAGGTTGCAGAGGTGTGTTTGCCCTACAGATCAATTCGAAATATTTTTTCTAACCTGATCGAAGCATATCTTGCCGTATTTGGTGGTTTCCCTGCTATGTGAGTTTACTTCCCCTTTTTCTTTCTTTTCCAGTGTGAGGTTAACAGGATTCTAGTGCCCAGTACTTTGGCTCCAAGTCTACTACGCCCCTTCTTGGGATTGGTGGTTACCAGGGTCGAGCTCTTGCCCCCGGTGATCTCCTGACTGTACAAAAAGTTGATGACTTCAATGAGTCAGCCTCTGTTGTTTCACTCCCTCAAAGCCTACGTCCGAAATACACAAACCATTGGGACATCTACGCCATGGTGGGACCGTACGATGAGGGTTACATGGGGGCAGAGGATATAGAGATGATTTATAATACCATCTGGTATTGACATCTTGATATGATCAAATGAAGTAGAAATGAAAGCTGACTGGCAAATATAGGAAAGTTTCACACAACGCCACTCGTGGTGGTATTCGTCTGATCGGCCCTGCGCCTACGAAATGGGCTAGGAAAGATGGCGGCGAGGGCGGGCAACATCCCAGCAATGTCATCGAATATGGATATCCATTGGGTACTTTGAATTGGACGGGGGAGAGGTTAGTTCTTCGTTCACCTACCTCTTTTTTATCTTCTTCGTATTATAGGGACTATGAGCATTGACTGGCGTGTTCACCTAGTCCCTGCATCTTCCCCGTTGATGCCCCTGATCTTGGAGGGTTTCTTTCCTCGACTACAATAGTCAAAGGAAGCCTCTGGCGCCTGGGGCAAGTGAAATCGGGTGATACGATTCAATATCGGAGAATATCCTTGGAAGACGCACTTTGGATTGCAGCCCAACTCGAGAAATTCCTGGATGATGTTGCCTCCTTTGTTGTAGGAAAGCGCCAAATAGACGAAATTGAACCAGTTGATGGCCGATCTTTGTTAGAATCAACAGTCTCTGGTAATTTCGGGAAGGCCGTTATTTATGAGAAAGTTCTAGAGGGATCGAATCTTAAGATAACATTCAGACAGGTAACTTGCCATTAGATTTTCTCGGTTGTCCAGTATCTAATGAATTATCACAGGGTGGTGACGATTTTCTTCTAGTCGAGTACGGCGATGGGGGTTTCGACCTCAACAATCGTTGCCGGGTGACGAGCTTGGAAAAAGTGCTTCGAAAGTCGTGCGAAGTTGACCAGATATTTAAGAACGGTATCTACAAGACGATTGGATGCTGCAACTGTGAGTTTTGCCCCCTTTTGTTTCCCCTCCTGCTTTATTCGAATTCTTAAAAACCATATTAACATTACTCCATTACAGCACTGTTGGTCCATTATGATGGCTTGAAGCTTCCACGTAAAAAGTTGATGGATCTTTTGATATCTTCACAGAGCGAGATAGGCGATCTCAGCAGCTCCAAGGTTCCTAGCAGGCGATTCCGCCTCCCCATCTGCTTTGAGAGCCCGGCACAGCAAGAGGCGATCCAGCGCTACATGGAAACCCAACGGCCATATGCTCCATTCCTACCGGATAACATGGATTTTGTAGCCAAGATAAATGGAATTACCTATGACGAACTCGTTAGGGTCTTCCTAACTACGGAGTTCATGGTCATTTGCGTAGGGTTTTTCTGTGCTGATACCATCTGCCTTCCAATTGATCCTCGATACCGATTGACGTGTCCCAAGCAAAACCCCAGTCGAGTATACACACCCGAGGGAAGCGTGAGCTGGGGTGGTTCATGTATGAAGTAAGTCCTTCTGACCCTCCCTAGCAATGACGTTCGTCGCAGCTAACGCTTCTTAACAGTATTTATCCAGTGGATTCTCCAGGAGGCTACCAACTTACGGGTCAAACTATCCCCTGCTTTGACCAACTGGGTATAAAGCCTGGATTTGCGTCGGGCCAGCCGGGACTCTTCCGAGATTTTGATCAAGTAACCTTTTATCGCGTTGACAAGCAAGAATTCGAGCGGGACATGGCGCTTTTCCGGTCTGGACGTTATGAGTTCAAGATTGAAGAAGACGTCTTTGATATGGGCGCACACAACAAGTTACTTTTAGAGACGCGAGAGGAGGTTTCTCTCTTCAAAAGTCGGCAACTAGCGGCCCAGGCGGAAATGCTGGCCCTAGAAAAGGCCTCCATGGAGCGTTGGATGGCTGAGAAATCCAAGAATACTACTCCAGCTGATGAACTTGAAATATTGAAGCAAGGTACGTCTTTGTTTACCCTTACATGGACTATGTATTGTATGACTAACAGATAGTAGATCCCAATAATTTGACTCTCGACTCACCTCTTGATGCGAATGTATGGAAAGTCAATGTTAATGAAGGGCAACTTCTCAGCGCAAATCAGGTTGCAGTCATTCTTGAGGCAATGAAGATGGAAATATCAGTCTCCTACAAAAAGGAAGCGGCGGATACACAGCTCAAGGTCATCAAGGTCCTTGTTCAGCCTGGAGACACCGTAAAGGCTGGAGATACGTTGATGTTCGTGAGGGAGCTATGAGATGAAACGATTCTTGAAGAAATTGGTTTGCAAATGATTTTCTTGGGATGTATCAATTACAGACTTGGATTTTATTATCATACGCAATTGGCGTTGCCCTCAAACCATGTAACTATAGTTACTCTTTTACAAAGACCTCAGCAGTTGGAAAGACGTCAATTCGGCAGAATTGTTGCGCTAAGTTCAGTCCAGTACGGAGCACGGAGGAACTGTTAATCATCACGTAGTACGTACGGCAGCACCACGTTTCCTCTTTCAGGGCTCCTTCCTTCCGTTTTGACATCCGTCAACGACCTTTGTTTTTCCTTCTTCATATCTTGTATTCTCGTCGAATAGCACATAGATTAGACATAGCAATGGATTAGGCATAGCAATGGCATGGCACCTTCACACTGGCAAGGTTTGAGAGATATGATCGGACTAGCACAAATGTAAGAGTAGCTGCTAGGGTGAGAGTTCCATGATACAGCAGACGATTACAATATCATACTGAACGCGACAAAGGACCTGTATCCATATCGCATGGCTTTGATATCGTACTGAGAACGACATCAGACACACTCCCAGATGGCCAAGTTGTTCCTAAGATCTACTCGAGTCTGCCGTCGTACCTTAGGTCTCGATATTTCGGTATCCCATCAATCATCCTATAAATTTGATACTACAATTACTTCCTCTAAGCATAATATCCAACCGTTGAGACATGGAAGCACCAAGGAGTAGCCCCTATATCTAAGCGACTAGTCGGTACGCTAAACATAATTGGGATAAAGCATTTGTTGGATTAGCTAAGCTGATCCAGCCAATCAGACAGATGATATTTGTCAGCCAATAAGAGCGAGCCACACACTGATCCACCGAATAGGGGGTAAAAGATATCTTCCACCTTTACTGTACTTAGAAAAAAGAACAAGGACAACAAGGATCAAGGATTCCATACTTCTTGCATACGTAATTTGATACTTTGAGATATAGTTACCACTTGAGATTGTTACGTACAATCCAACAGCATTCTAACCACTAGATATCTAGTGGATAGCTTCAGGGCACCCTTATCCTTTTCCCCTTTTCTTCCTCATGTCTAGTTATTTAGCTTAGCTGCCGGAATAAACACCGAATTGAGCCGTCACAGATACATCATCGTAAGACGAAGCATGTTGTTAGTGTAGCGTTTAGTTGCGGGTAAAATACGTCTTCGAAGGGAACGTTCATTGGCGCTGGTTAATCCAGTTGAAAGGTATAGACTTTTTAGAAGCGAGGTCACCATGGCGGGGGGGGTCAAACTAGCTCGAGCATCGGCTCAGTGAGTGAGCTAGAGTGCTCAGCTTCAGCTCACTGAGCATGTTTCTGTTAAGATTCTCGAGGAAGATCTTGTTGCCGATGATTATGAGCAGTAGTAAAGATGTCAGTTGTACGTTCCCCTTTGGGGATAGATGGATTCTCGATGGAGCGTTCTCAACGTTCGTATTCTCTCTCTCTCTAAGAAACTATCAAAGGAGTGAGGTGTTCTATCCCGTACGGATAAATATAGGCCCGAAGGTCATATGATCTTTACAGTTTCCTAGCATACATATATAGTATGTGAAGCTCGCTGATCTGGTCACCACGCTCAGTTGCGCGCTCAGTTCTACTCAGTGAGTAAAAGCGGCGAGGGGTGAGCACTAAAACGGAATGGGAAAGCCGAAAAGGGTCAAAGGAAATCCGGTAGGTAGATTACGGCTATTGTCGGCTTGCAGAGAAGGTTCCACATCCCCTCACATCTCCCCGCTTGCTTCTCTTATCAGTTCGTATAAATACCGAGCAGCCCCTGTTTATTAGATCTATTTCAGATACTTATAAACACACGCGTCCTGCATTCACTAGATTTTGATAAGGCTGCGCTATCTGAAAATGGCGATCAAGATAGCAGACTACCTCTTCACCCGCCTTCGTCAACTGGGCGTTGACTCCGTCTTCGGTGTACCAGGCGATTATAACCTCCGTTTACTGGACTACGTGGAACCTGCAGGTCTACACTGGTCAGGCAACTGCAATGAGCTGAATGCTGCCTATGCTGCAGATGGATATGCTCGCATCAAGGGTCTTTCGGCTTTAGTTACTACCTTTGGTGTTGGAGAGCTCTCGGCGATTAATGGAATTGCCGGTGCGTTCACTGAAAAGGCGCCGATTGTTCATATTGTGGGAACACCGCCACGACCGAAACAAGAAGGGCGAGTTCTTGTGCATCACACCCTCGGAGATGGCGACTATCGGCATTTCGCAAACATGGCCGCACATGTGACAGTTGCGCAGGCGAATTTGACAGACCCACGACTCATACCTGACCAGATTGACTGGGTGCTGAAACAAGCGATGGTGCATAGCCGACCTGTCTACCTGGAGGTACCGGATGATATGCCCGATGTTTTTGTCGAAGCCAAGAACCTTGAGACTGCGATCAAGCTCGAATCTGCACACCAGAGCGAATCTGAAAAGGCTGCTCTGCAACAAGTTCTCAAAAAAATATACAACGCCAAGCAGCCATTGATCATTGTTGACGGAGACACTAGAGCCATGGGTATCACGGCCGAAGCCGAAGCATTGGTCAGAATGACAGGTTGGCCGACGTGGACCACCGCATTCGGTAGGGCTTTGATTAATGAACAGCTTCCGAATGTCTACGGCATGTACACTGGTCCATTCGGTGACGCAGTGTGGAAACAGTACCATGATAAGGCTGATTTAATTATAATCCTGGGACCTCACTATAGCGATACCAATACTTCGATATTCACAACCCTTCCCAATCCAGCTGTTTCAGTCACCTTTTCGATAAACACCATTCAAATAGGCGACATTACTTACCGAGACATTTCCAACAAGTCTCTTCAGCGACTGATCGACAGTCTAGATGGGTCACATATCCCTGGGGCTGTCGGCCCTCCTAGGCCGGTTATAACGGAGAAAGCTCTAGATCCATCTGGCTGCATTACACAAAAACACTTCTGGCAGAAGGCTAATCGTCTGTTCAAAGAAGGCGATTTGATTCTCGCAGAAACAGGTACCTCTTCATACGGGAGCCAAACTTTCTCACTTCCCAAAAACACCCGTCTTTTCAACGCGATCACCTGGTTGTCAATCGGATATATGCTTCCGGCCACGTTGGGAGCTACATTAGCACAGCGAGATCGAACGAAGGACGACAAAACACGGGCGTTTCTTTTCATTGGAGATGGAAGTTTGCAAATGTCAGTGCAGGAGATCAGCACTATGATTCGGGAAAAGTTGAATATCATCATCTTTGTTATTAACAATGGTGGGTATACTATTGAGCGTGCAATTCACGGGAGAAACCAAAAATACAACGATGTTGCGTTGTGGAGGCATACTCAAGCAACAAGTTTCTTCGGAGCGGACGAAAACCACGCCAAACACAATAACTTTGTGATTAGAAACTGGGGAGATCTAGAAGAGGTAGTGAAAAGCGAAAACGTACAAGGGGGCAGTGGTGTTAGGGTAGTCGAGGTGTTTATGGAAAGGGATGATGTGCGAGGAGCTTTATTACCACTGATGCAGGCTCGGATTGCGAATGGCGACTAGGCATGTATGATTTGACTGCAATATATATTGAACCCATGATATACAAATATGTAGTATTACCAACAATCGTTTCTCCCGGGCTACCCTAATATGCACCCTAAGCAACCCTCAACTGGCCTTAGTAGACATAATGTGGCTCAACCGCCCTAGGACAGTATGCTGGTCAAATAAAATCATAAATAAATAGAGAAATATCTCCTCATGTCAATTATCCCCCTCTTCTTTTATCGAGCCCTCGTTTGACGGTGTCGAGGATCAAAACGATAGTAACATTGTAGATGAGAATGTGACTTTGTCCTCAGTAGAGCCCATTCTTGCATAAATGACGCGCACTGAAGCTGTCTCACTTGATAAATAGCATTGATTAGCAGACAATCTAACAGTGCTAGGCCGATCCTATTCGGGCCAATAATCACCCTGCTGCCATATCCGCCTTTACATACAGTAACTACCTAACGGCATATCCTCGTTCCTCTTGAGTAAAAATAATCATGAATTTCGTGATATCATCCAGCAAATTGAATCCCATAACAACAACAATACCATGCAAGGACAATCACAGATCTAGAGTTGCCAATTATTAATCAAGTGTCACAGGGAGTTTCGCATCACCCGTCGAGAAAATGGCGTGCGAGAGCTGATAACAAAAGCAATTCTTTTCAAACTATATAAAACAATGCAATGTATCTCCATTTTACCATGACTTCCTGGATGAATGGAATAATCAGCGCTTTTTCCATTCCCTGGTTTATTCTTGATGACTCAGGAATGTGTTCATCAACGGGGAATATTACTTTGATGGCATGAAAATGCTTTTGTCAGTTATTCGGAAATAGAATATTCAATTTCAATATCTTGAGCGTCTCTGGACGAAAGAAAAGATGCCGAACATTGAATCATTAGAAACCACCCCTCTGCTTTCACCCTCGTCGACAGCTTCAGCCGATATTATCTCCCCCGGCCACCCGGACCGCTCCGTCGAACACGATACTCTTCCCGAAACCGCGACGTACGGAAGAAATATCTCCTGGTCCAGCGCATATATCCTGGTAATATCTCGCGTGATTGGTAGCGGCATTTTCGCAACACCGGGCGCAATAGTCAAATCCGTCGGCAGTATAGGGCTGGCCTTATCCCTTTGGGTGGTAGGAACGATTCTCTCGGCTTGTGGATTGGCTGTATCGCTCGAATATGGGTGTATGCTGCCTCGTTCTGGAGGCGATAAAGTATACCTGGAGTTCACATATCGCTATCCGAGATTCCTGGCATCAACTTTGGTAGCTGTGCAGGCGGTTTTGTTAGGGTTTACGGCGAGTAACTGTATCATCTTTTCCAAATACACCTATTTCGCATTCAATATCGAGCCGAGCGACCTTCAGAATAAGATTCTCGCAGTTGGATGGCTGACAAGTGTTACTATCATTCATGGCTGCTTCATGAGGACTGGCATCGCTATACAAAACGCGCTGGGATGGGTCAAGATCTTTCTTGTATTTTTCATGGCGCTTAGTGGACTCTACGTGATTCTGTTCCGTCAACCCGGCGACTTAACAGGCGTAACGGCGAGGGGGGAAGGTGACATATGGAAGGACTTGTGGGCAGATTCCGATTGGAGTTGGAATACGATCTCGACTTCATTATTCAAAGTATTTTATTCTTATGCTGGCTTGAACAACGCGAACAACGTCATGAACGAGGTCAAGAATCCAGTACGGACACTACGCAGTGTCACTCTAGCAGCACTGGTCACATCCTGCCTTTTGTACGGGTTAGCGAACGTGGCCTACTTTACAGTTGTGCCACTTGAAGAAATCAAGGAGAGTGGTGAATTGGTCGCAGCTCTTTTCTTCGAACGAGCGTTTGGACCTAGGTGGGGAAGAACATTCTTGCCTTTGATGATTGCAGTCTCAGCCGCTGCTAATGTGATGGTCGTGACATTTGCATTGGTATGCTTTATTCTCAATTGATAATGGATATCCATTTAACAGTTGGTTAGGCACGAGTCAATCAAGAAGTCGCCCGGCAGGGATTTCTACCCTTTGCAAGAACAATCTCCAGCTCCAAACCCTTCGACTCTCCATTTTGGGGATTGATTATACACTACATCCCATCTTTATTAGTCATTGTGCTTCCTTCACAAGGAGCAGTATACAACTTTATTCTAGATGTTGAAGGATATCCCGGCCAGATATTCGGTCTTGCCGTTGCAGCGGGACTTTTACTTCTTCGTCGCAGAAGACCGGATTTGAAGCGACCCTTCAAGGCATGGCTTCCTGCTGTATGGCTGCGAATAGTTACAAGCATAGCGTTGCTTGCTGCGCCATTCTTTCCGCCTCCCGACTGGAAGGGTGATGTCGACTTTTTTTACGCGACGTATGCAATTGTTGGCGTTGGCATGTAAGTTTGAGTCGAAAACTGTGACAATAAATACGAGGCTGATTTTTCTAGTATCCTGTTTGGCGTCGGGTATTGGTATATTTGGACAGTCCTACTTCCTAGGCTTGGAAACTATACACTAGAAGAGGAGACCGAAGTCCTCGACGACGGAACAAGTATCACAAAACTCGTGCACAAGTCCAAGATGTGACAAATTTTATTACATGCTGATATCAATACTGACATGCATTTGCGGATTGTTCTAGTAATCACTGAAAGATACATGGGTTTGGCGATCATTATGCTTATGGGGTTACAAGAAGCGTTTATGGGTTATATCTGTCTTTAGTTGGATCTTATGTTCTATGATAAAACAGATAGCCCTGGAGGTCTTTCTTATATATTGCTTGATGGCCTTACCTACCTACGTAGGTAGTCTGTCTTACCCTAACGACAATATCGATCAGGAACGTCTTTTGCATTCTAGGGTAGATCCTACCGCATTGCTTAGGTAGATGAATGGCGGACATTTGTTATGTTTGATCATCATCAGCCTTATAGGGAGGGAGTTTCAGAAGTACCATATATTTCCTGTTGGTGAAATTCCCATTCGGCATTTCTGCCGACACTACCGTGACCAACCTGGGAAACCCTTGAAAATAGGAGCTGGAAAATAGGCCGCTCGACCAAACGAGGGCCCGTTATAGATATCTAGTCTATGGCCAAATTTCCAGCGTCTTTTTCTATCTATAGATACTATCCAAATCCTTAATGTCAAAAATCACGGCTATTGAGACCCACGGACTTCTTTCCGTCTATAAACAATTGCGCCACCGGTAATCGAATCACCTCTTAAAAACTCCGCATTAATGCGGGGAAGATAAAAACCACGCAAAACCTCATCTTTTATCTCCTACAAACTTGAAACATCTCGGCCAATTGTGGGAGTAAGGACTCTAAATACGCAGACTGGAATCTCAGACTCTAATAGTTTGCATTTTTGATACTTGTCATAGCCGTGAAGATGAAACTTTTATACCCCACCTCTCTCAAACTCGACATTCAGAGCCTCAAAGGCTTCGCGGTCACTCTCCACCCTTACGATGTCAAGGTCCCCATACCAGAAGAACTGATCGACGCTGAAGTTATGGTTACCTGGACCAACACCTCGGAAAACCTTACAGATGCAGCTAAGCGCATGAAGAATCTTCGGTGGATTCAATCACTTGCTGCTGGTCCGAACGACGTCCTTGCGGGAGGTTTTGATACGTCCAAGGTCATTATCACGACGGGGTCTGGTCTTCATGATGGACCGGTTGCAGAACATACGCTTGGTCTGCTCCTCAGTGCCGCGCGAAGATTCCATGAAATGCGTGACTATCAAAATCGTGGCATATGGCCTGGCCATCTCGGCGGTTCGTTCCCGCGGAGCGACTTTACCACATTGCAAGATGCGCGCGTACTCATCTGGGGTTTCGGGAATATTGCAAGGACATTGGCTCCTTACTTGACTGCCCTAGGAGCTCATGTACGCGGTATCGCTCGACATGCTGGCGTACGCTCCGGCATTGAGGTATTGAGCGAAGACAAGCTTCCTGAATTACTCCCGGAAACAGATGCTCTTGTTATGATCTTACCAGGGTCCGAGTCAACACGCGATGCACTTAATGCTGAGAGACTTAAGCTGCTGCCAAAGCATGCATGGGTTGTAAATGTTGGTCGCGGTGTATCGATCGATGAAGATGCGTTGGTAGATGCTTTGGAAAAGGGGGAGATTGGAGGCGCTGCGTTGGATGTCTTTAAGACAGAGCCCCTTCCAGAATCTAGTCGATTGTGGAAGGCGCCAAATCTGATCATCTCGCCTCATGCAGCAGGTGGACGACCACAGGGTTCCACTGAGTTGATTGCAGATAATCTGCGACGGTTTCTGGGTGAGCAGCCGCTCCGGAATAGGGTATCAGAGTGACCTCTCTCTTGATCACTGCAAGCGTGTTGCATGGGCATAAGAGAGTCATCCTTAATCTCCGAATGTATATGCAGGTACATAGATGTTATAGAATTCACTGTCTTCTTTCATTGTATTGTCCGTAGTACGTATCTCCAGTACTCCAGATATGGACGTAATAGGGTTATTCTGACGGGCTTCCGGTTCTTTAATACACAGTTATGTTTGGCGCTAGGTATTGTTGACTACAGAACTTGTTAATTGCCTCGCGACATCAAAGTCGACTGTGTGTCCTACGAGGTTTGCAATATTCTCTTTGCTACCTGAGTTTGTACTGAGAGAACAGAAAGCAGAGGTAATTTTACCGGGATCATATTTAACACTCAGGATGAAAATGATCTAGTAAATGGTCCCAAACGTGACCGCTATACGCAGATAGAACGTGCCGCCTAGGTACTGTAGCCAAGCATAATGCGATGGCGTGACAAACCTTCTCCCATACTAATAATGTATTACACTCTCGACATAGCTGACGGCCAAGATGGCCAAGGTAGCCAAGTCAGCCAGACAAGCCATACTCCACTCGTATGGAAGTTTGTATCACCAAGCCAGCAGTTCATACTGATCTACGCTACGTATCCAGGTACACTACGATTAGGGCTGTAGGGCTGTAGGGCTGTAGGTGCTTGACGTGCCCCGCCGAGAGCTTGCCGTCTTCCGGGAGTCCCGGAAGTTACGACGGATCTACAGCCAGTGCTGACACATCCTTGTAAATCTGGAGTATTAATGAGCTTCCTGCTCCCGAAGGCTCTTGCCTAACTGATTGTAGCGGTTCCTGCAATATGGTGGGTACTGCTTCTGAAAGCATGAACACATCCGTAGACACCGGGTCATTGCATTGCAATGATCATGTTGGAAGTTGTGAGCGGGAGCGGAGAGGATGACAACCAGAGCTGCGTCGATTCCGGAATGACGAGAGTATATGACATTATGATTAGGTTTTTAGACATCTGTCACCAAATAACAATTTCCCTTTGTATGCTTAACTTAAAGAATTCCGAGTATTGCTCTGAGATGGTGGTCAAGTTCGTCGAGATTGAGAAAGGAGTCATGCTGACATAAATCTGTTTAGGGTTAGGCTTCCCGATCTGCCACCGCCTTTGTCTTGGCGCTGCTTATCTTATCGAACTTATCGAACGTATCGAGTATATTGAATATATCGAACATACGGAGCAAAATATTCGGTAATCGCCGACTAAGTTCCTGCATCTCTCTGTTCTGATTCCACCACGTGGGCGCGCTTATATCGCTTGCAAAATTTTCACCGTGCATGACTCTCAGATGTTTGATTTTTATGTAAAAGATGGAGAAGTAAAGAGAGCACGTGTGGTAAATAGTGCTGTGGACAGGAACTCTGGAGAGGAACAGGCTTTACAGCACGACGACACACGTGGAGCGATTCTTATTGCTGATAGGCTGCGGCGTGCCAAGAACGGGCGCTAAGCCACGGCGCTGGGCGTTCCGCTCTTGGCATGCACGTGTTGTCAATCAGCACGCGGAGTGGAAGAGCGTGCTGTTGATGGAGGGCTGCCATTGGGCCGACTGCAGCTGAGCTCTCGGACCGCACTTTACACTTTGAACATATCAAATGTATATATACATCTTGGCAGCGCGATTGGACTCGGGATGCCTGAAATCTCTGTCCAACCCAGAAACATCTCCGGGCATGTCGCTGATTCGATCTCATTGGAAATTAGCATCGGTTACAGTGAACCCATCGGACAATATTCGCATTGGGTAACTCGCACGTGGTGGTTCCATATGCATCCAGCATGGAATGGAATAGTGTCGTATGCTCACGTTGCAGGAATAGTATGAATCCTTGCTCTTGAATACAGCTTCATTCTCAATGGCACTGACACTGCCATCTCAACAGATTCAGCCAGCGTGTATGAGAAACTGGAATAGGTTGACGTACAATGCGGCAATGCCCAGGAAAATAAACTCAAAAAAGGGACGCTTGCCACCAAGCTTCCGCCAACTGAAATTGGCACCGGCAAGCTTCTCGTCCCGTTCTGGCCAAGGACGACGACCCAGATGCAATTGGTCTTGGCCAAAACGCCTCGATCACTCGAATGACACGCTACCAGGGTTCACATGCATAGTTCGTATTCCCTGACACACCTCCGGATCTCTCTATTTATATCTCCCACCCTCCCTCCTCCCTAAAAGAATTTTCTCTTTCTCTTTTCAGTCAGCCCTGCGTCTTTGCTCCTACAATTCCCAGCTGAGACCGATTCATCCTCTCTCACAATGGCTGAGCAAGGCAAATTGCACGACCCCGTCGTCGAAGCGTACTCCGCCAACTCCTCTCCCACCATCGATCCCAACGAGCGCCGTCGCCAGGCCCTCGAGCAGATTGATAATGCCGAGTTTGGCTGGCGTCATGTCCGTGCCTGTATCGTTGCTGGTGTTGGTTTCTTCACTGATGCCTACGACATCTTTGCCATCAACATGGCTTCCGCCATGTTGGGTGTCGTCTTCTGGGTCGACAGCAACAAAGGTACTTTTTTTTTTCTTTCTTTCTTTTTTCCCCTCTCTTCGATCATCCCGTGAGAAGCAACCGCTAACTGAAACAGGAAAAATCCCTAGCAACTCCGATACAGCTATCAAGGTTTCCACCTCGGGCGGTACTGTCATCGGTCAGCTCGCGTTCGGTTGGTTGGCTGATCACGTCGGCCGTAAGAAGATGTACGGTCTCGAGCTCATCATCATGATCTTCGCTACTCTCGCTCAGGCTCTCTCCTCCGATTCTCCCGGCATGTCCATTGTTGGAGTTCTCGTCTTCTGGCGTGTCATCATGGGTATCGGTATTGGTGGCGACTACCCTCTGTCCTCTATCATCACTTCCGAGTAAGTCTCCTTTCAATGAGTTGAAAGGAAGGTAATTAGCTAACGACCCCAGATTCGCTACTACCAAATGGCGCGGTGCTATGATGGGTTCCGTCTTTGCCATGCAGGGTATTGGTCAGTTGACCGGTGCCATCATTGCCCTGATCGTGACTGCCGGTTTCAAGGAGTCCCTCGAGACTGCCGCCACCGTCGCCAAGTGCACTGGCGTTTGCCAGCTCGCCGTCGACAAGATGTGGCGTGTTGTCATTGGTTTCGGTGCCGTCCCTGCCTGCATTGCTCTCTACTACCGTTTGACCATCCCTGAGACTCCTCGATACACCTTTGATATCAACCGCGACGTTCTCCAGGCCAGCCAGGACATCAATGCTTACTTGGCAGGAGCCTCTGAGGGTCATCCCGACGAGGTCCAGCGTGCTGCTGCTCTCCAAAAGGACAGCCAGCGTCTCGCTGCCCCCAAGGCTTCCTGGTCCGACTTTATCAACCACTACAGCCAGTGGAAGAACGGCAAGGTCCTTCTCGGAACAGCTGGTTCCTGGTTCTTCTTGGATGTTGCTTTCTACGGTCTTGGTCTCAACAACTCCATCATCTTGTCGAATATCGGCTGGTCCGGCGGTTCCAACGTCTACCACATTTTCTACCGGTCCGCTGTCGGTAACTTGATTCTCATCTGTGCCGGTGCCATCCCCGGTTACTGGGTTACCGTTGCGACTGTTGACACCATTGGTCGCAAGCCTATCCAACTCGGCGGTTTCATCATGCTTACCATCCTCTTCATTGTCATCGGTTTCGCTTACGAGCCATTGAAGCACTCCCACAACGGTCTCCTTGCCCTCTACGTCTTGGCTCAGTTCTTCTTCAACTTCGGTCCTAATGCCACCACCTTCATCGTGCCAGGAGAATGCTTCCCCACCCGTTACCGTTCCACCTCCCACGGTTTATCTGCCGCCTCTGGCAAGGTCGGTGCCATCATCGCTCAGTGTGTCTTTGGACCTCTTGTCCACCGTGGTGCCCCTGCTGGTTCCTCCGACACCCCCTGGCTCAAGCATGTCATGCAGATCTTTGCTCTCTTCATGCTCTGCGGTTGCTTCACCACTCTCTTGATCCCCGAGACCAAGCGCAAGACCCTTGAGGAACTCTCCGGTGAGGATCTTTACTGGGACAGCACCCCTACTCTCGGTGCTCCTGCCGAGAAGGTCGCCGAAGAGGGCCTCGCTGGTAGCCACAACGGCAACGGCGCTTCCCACTAAACTCTCTCAACTCAAAGATATCATTACATTTTAGATAAACTAATTTCTTTTCGTTCGTTACTGTTTTACATACCTTTTTATGACCGTTGCATCGCTCCGGATGAATGACGGCAATGACTGAAAGGGACAGGAATCAAGATACCCTAAATCTGGCCCTGGTGATGCGATAGTTAGTAATTAATTGAATACAAAATATTCAGTTGGTCTGTTCCATTGTAGTTTAAGTGTGTCTAGACAGAAGCAGATGACGGTGTCCTAATTTGTAATCGAGACGCCGATCGCGCCCAGCCCTAATTATGCAACTAATTGATTTCTATAGATTCAGCCAGTTATAGTTTATCGAGACTGCAAATTAGGAAGAATAGACAGAAAAAGAATTTGCCTACGTGGTGGGATTCTATGGTTTGCCGAATCCTGGGCTGGTAGAGTGCCACCCGTGGGCATTTAAAAGGAAACTCCCCTCGCCTTTAATTATTGTTTTTTCCTCTTATTCTTTTTTCCCTCTCATTCTACTTCTCAACTTTCTGTCGGGACTTCGCCTAAGACCCTACAACATTTTCGCAGGCGACAAGAGACACATCATTTCCACTCGCAATTTAGGCCTCAACTTCCATTCGAATATTCTACTTAAAAGAAATGGCGGACGTCAGCGCAACGTCAAAAACCACCGCGCAAGACGCCGCGACAGACAAAAAACAACCTCCAGCCCTAGCAACATTCCAAGCCCTCCCAAATAACGAAGATCACCACATTGACCGCGTAAATGCCTTGCGCCTAATCGCCGACAGTGTCGCGCAACAGCGCCAGGAAGCGAGTCGAGCAATAATCACGCATCCAATCACAATTGCCACTGTTTTGGCCCTGTGTGCTGTGTTTTCGCATTATATTGGTGATCTTGCTACGATTGTGATTACGACCGCTGGTTGTTTGATGGCGGGGATGTCCGGGGTTGGGTATCTTACGTATGGGTATTTGGAACTGGCCGAACGGACCGGAACGTGGTCGTTTTTACGCGCGGATGAGAATACAGATAAAGAAGACATTCTCATTGTGACCAAATATGGAGATGATATTATAGGCGCATTGGTTTTGAGATTGGTGGTTGTCGGCGGGAATAAAAAAAGTCCTAAATTCAAGGCGGTTATTCGTGCATGGACTGTTAAACAGCGATATCGCAACAAGACCTTCGGCACGGCTTTGCTGGAAGAGGCGATTGCTCTGGGCAGGAAGAATGGTTGGGAGGGCCCTGAATTTGCGCCTGACCATGCAAATTCGAAGCGTATTCTTCCGGGGATTTTTCACAAGAATTTGGATCGGAGGGAAGCGAGGGCTAAGAATTTGTTGGAGAAGCTAAAAGCAGAGAGCAAATAGATGTACGTTGGCCTGTGTATTATAATGTATTTTGATATATCATCAAACAATTAGACTTTTATGCGAGTAGCTCTTCAAAACCGTCGAGTCAAGGCTGACGATGATGACCAGATATCTCATAGTTTTTGGGTTACTTCTGAACTGAATCTGAATCATTTACAAGGTCACTGTGAATATGGGTTCGAGAATCGCACTCATGTAACTCGTTCCATTGATCAATCGCCCGCATATTAGCTTTATTGATTCGAGGGCGGGATCGTGACTCATAGTCTGTGGCGGAGTGGACGCGGCCAAAAAAGGCAGGGAAAAAGCTGGACAGCGCGGACCGAAAGGCAGGAAGACTTGCACAAAAAATGCCCAGGTTGAACTCGATTATAGTCCACATCGATGAAGCTATGCTGTTCCATGCCACGTCGAGGTGAGAGGTGGCAATGTCCAAGGTGGTAATCCGGAGGATGGAGGTGATGCAGACGCTGATGGTACATTAGAGGGAGACAAGCAAATCAAAGAAGAGGCACATACAAGATTCCCACGGCAAAGGTGCCAGAGAGCAGAAATTTTTGTTGTGGAGGAAGTTGCAGCTTACGGATTACCGGAATCGGGAGGAAAATTATGACGAGGTCGCTCGGGATGTTAAATGCGGCGTTTGCATACCAGAATGCAGTGAGGTTGATGCATGTTCCCTTCTCGCTCTTGTCGAAGGCAAAGGTCACCGGCGTACATTGGAAGATACTTGAAATTACCGTCCCAATTGTGAATATAATGACGATTGCGATCCACGCTTGACACGTCCGTTGAAACCATTGTACGACGAAAATTCTGAGGTAGAGGAGAAGTATGCTGATCTTGGTCAGTCCAATGTTGACTTTGTACAGAATCTGAGCCACAAAGTAGACCTATCAAGACCTTATCAGCCATCAATGCAGACACCGAATTGAATCTGCATACTTCCTACCTTCAAGGTCTTCACAAGCTGGGATTTATCCTGAAGCTGGTTGACGTGTTTACCAAAAGACCACTCGCAAACTGCCGGAAGAGGATCAGTCCTGCCTTCTTCTGCCCCGATTGAGTATGACATACGGAATATCATTTGGATTGACACCACTTCCGCAAACATCTATTTCATCAGTCTGGGTTAGATTGTGCTAGAATGAGTACTTACGGCAGAAGCTAGAATTGTCCAGTCATCCACACCCACCTTTCTCGCAAAGGCTTTCCGAGAGACCAATCTCGCAATGACGATGATCGGTGTGAATATGGAGAAGAAGAGAGATAGGTAGGAGAGACAGTAAGAGATATCAGGAAGGTCTCCATAGTGACTAAAAAGCGGCATGCTGCCAAATCCCTTCCTGGCGGACCGAAGATATTGCTATGTGATATAAAATTATAATGGTAGGGCCCAGTCGAATACAAAAAAGTTTCCAACTCTCATTCTCTGGTCTTCGAACAATCTACCACGGTATATATTAGGTAGGGTGAGGGAGTGAAAAGTAAATAGTGCGCCCCAGTGAGTATCTATGTGAGTCCGAATTCTACCTAAGCACTTGTCTGCGACTGGGGGTTGGCCCGTACAAGGGTAGGTAGGACAAAGAATTATCTGAACGGTCGAGCTTGCATGATTATGTATGAATTTGATAGCTAGACTACTGTTGATAGATTGGGACCGTAATATCAGGGGCAAGTATTTGACTGCTTCGAATTCCGTTAATTGACCAAGCATACGGTATACTCTTTTAAATATAAATTCAGCCATTGGATAGTTATCGAATTTGGGAGTCAAGAGATTTGCAACGTTCTAATAACCTTTTCCCGCATCCATACATGTATTACTTGTAAGCTAGATGCGATGGATCATGCCAGTGTATTTGACAATGATTTGATTTATTCATCATAGATTTTTTTTTTTTGATTTAAATTTGGGAGCAAGCAGTTTACATGTATCCCATTGGAGCTGGGCATGCATATAAATCATCTACCTGGCTTTGGTGAAAGTGTCCAAAGCTCCACGCCACCCACAAACCCCAATCTAAAAACATTTGTGTTCCATAGTTGTTTAATATAAGTTGAATGCAACACTGCCTATGGAACGATAATTCTTCGGAAGAGGGGACCTACCTTCGAAAGTCAGCGAATTGGGTGTGCAGCTAGTTCAGGGATTGTTGGTTGCTTCGTGCAATCGAGATGCCTGGCACTGGTATGCAGCAAGGAGAGGTCACGTATGGCTTACACGTGACCTCGTCAAGCAAGGACTATATAGACCGCGTCGGGGCCTCACTAAGACAGATAGACACAAGAGAACACAGAACCGAAGAATCACCTATTGAGATTGACTCAAGTGCTTCGTACGTACGTATATGCACCTTAGTGCACCCACAGGGATGGATATTTAGTACATATTCAAGGGTCTATTGCCGATACGCTGTTTGGTATGATTTGCCCCTAAAGCTCATCGTTTCTTTGTTCCGCGGTGGTTGATGTGTGACTATTGACAGGGGGGCAGGGATATTCAACCCCGGTTTTGTCTTGAAGTCGCGCTTGGTTGGATGCTACGTAGCTATCACAGACCCTAAAAACCCTAGTTGCGGCACAGAGTGAGCTACTGCAAGGATTCATACGGCCTCCCATCTAACATAGTAAGACGCACAGGCAATGTTAATGCCTCTTCCATAAATCTAGAAGCTAAAACCTGTGGCTTCTCTCGAATTTCACTTGGACTGATTTTCGAACCACAATGGGAAGGGTAGATAAGCCAGAACATTCAAGATATAAGCTCTGCATATACGGCATTGCAACTTGCCATCTCCTCAACTCGCTTTAAGTACCTAGGTGACGTTATGCGGTGGTTAGTTCGAAATCACCTACAGTAGGATCGTGCAGGTGCCGTTCTATCGTTGTTCACAATATCTACACAATGGCCCCTCTCCTTCGCTCCTGCGCCGCACAGGAAACCGGAGTAAGAAAGGTTTCCTGCAACTCTAAATTAGATGCCCTTCCTGACCTCCTTTCACCGCGTCAGTTTCCCTCTAATAAACCTAGCTCTTCGCTTCGCACCTGGGCCCTGGCTGGGCCTCCAGGTTAAGTACAAAATGTACGGAGTACCCCATTCGGTACTAGCCCGCCTTACAATGCGTTGTACTACTGTCCTCTGGTGGCATTGCATATATTACTTTATTAAAGTAATTTAATAAGCTAAGAATTAATTGATTAGGTCAAGAAATGATTCACCTCTTGCTCTCTGAATTTTCACGATTTTTCATTTGGAGCCCGCATCTCATGAATCCTTTTTTTTCTGCCCTTCAAGTCCTGATCACGGCATCTCTGGCTATTCAATGAGAATAGTTGTATGACGTGTATTTGTCTGATTTCCCGGCTCCTCGTCTGATTAATGGCAAGCCGGTCTGAGTAACCAGCCCCAAGATGTCCGCACCAGCCTCCACGCGATCGAACGATAAGTTGCCTGAGCAAGAAATCAAATCTAACAATGACATCGAAGATGCACGACCTGTAGCCGTGGATGCAGCTTTGATCAAGAAGATCATGCGCAAGATAGATCTTCATCTGATGGCGCCCCTTTGGATCATCTTTGCTTTCGGCTTCTTGGATCGCATCAACTTAGGCAATGTCGCAGTGTTAGGGATCATTCCGGAACTGAAGCTCGGTGGAAATGGCCTCAACATTGCGCTTCAAGTTTTCTTTGTCCCTTATATTCTTTTTGACATTCCTAGCAATATCGTGCTCAAGAAAGTCCGTCCGTCAACATGGATTAGCGTAATTACATTCCTCTGGGGTAAGCCAGGCCCACTCCTTTCTTTTTCATGTTCCTTCTTTCGTCTATTCAATACCACACTATGACTCTTCTAAAACAGCTGGTAACTGGGTGCAGGCGTCGCGTGTATGTGCCAGGGATTCGTGAAGAACAGAGGGGGTCTGATTGCTTGCCGATTCTTCCTCGGCGTTTTTGAGGCAGGATTTGTGCCAGGATGTGCCTACCTCATGTCAATGTACTACAGGCGTCATGATTTCCAGAAGCGGTTTTCATTATTTTGGGTCGCTGGTCTCGTTGCAGGCGCCTTTGGTGGTCTCCTTGCGTATGCTCTCTTCCACATGCACGGACTGAGCGGATACTCTGGCTGGCGGTGGATCTTCATCATTGAGGGTTTACTTTCCATTGCTGCGTCTATTCCAGCCAAGTTTCTTATCGCGGACTGGCCCGAGGACGCCAAATTCTTGACAACCGAGGAGAAGGAAGTTCTACACCAGATACAGCTGGCAGATGCCGGTGGCGGTGCTCAGATGAATCGACTTGATAGAGCTGCGTGGAAGCGAATCTTGACCGATTGGAAACTCGCTGTTGGTAGCATGGTTTACATTGGTATTACTGTGTCAGGTTACGCTACCGCTCTCTTTATCCCAAGTATCGTTGCGTCTCTGGGCTACTCTGGGATCGAGGCTCAGATTCACAGCATTCCCATCTGGGTTGTCGCTTCCGTCGTAACTCTCGCCGTTTCGATCGCGACTGATCGCTTGAAACATCGGCACGGGTTTATCATGTTCGGCGTCATCTTCGCCAGCATTGGCTACATCATTCTCCTCTGTCAGGGTCCTCTTCACGGCGGCCTGAATCCGCACGCTCGCTATATGGCCGTCTTCTTCGTGACCGCGGCTGCTACATCGTCCAGCCCCTCACTATTGTCTGGCTGGCTAATAATCTCTTCGGTCATTACAAGCGGGCCATAGGCTTGGCCATCCAGGTGGGAATTGGTAACATTGGGGGTATCATTGCGAGCAACATCTTCGTGTCCACTCAAGCACCTCGATACTTTGTCGGCTACGGCGTTTCTCTGGCAATGCTGCTGTTCAGCGGTGTTATGTCGACGATATTGGCCATTGGTCTGATTGTGGAAAACAAGAGGCGCGGGAAGGGAAAACATGATGATCGTCTACGGTTGGGCGAGAGCGTCCTGAACAACATGGGTGACGACGATCCTCGCTTCCGCTTCACTCTTTGAGGTACCTCGTGTTGTTGGTGGCGCCTGAGACACATACACATAACCTTATATGAGCTCCACCTGACTTGAAAAGTCTGACTTAAACTGTTTAGAGAACCCTATAGTACACACCTGGAATTATTCAAGCTATCTCTAATCTTCTATCCTCCAGACCTGCGCGAGACAAAGTCCTCCCAGAACTAAAAATTCTATTTTCACTACATAGTAGCTCCTTGAACACCGTTAAAGCCCGTAAAGGTGATACTTCGCTTTTCAGAAGTATACTCTGCATAGTCATGCCACTCCAATACGAGAGCCAGTGGAGGCAATGGTTCACATTTCTTTATACCCTAGCCATATGAGGTTTGACATGCATGCTGTATCCACTTTCCGTTTACCCGTTATGCACTCAGCTCGCACTGTGCAGACTTCACTAGAGTGACCTTGGAAGAGGCACTATCTATATGATGGTTACTACTGTATAACTTCCAGAAGGGTGTGGAACAGCCAGTGTTCTACTCCTCGTTCTTTCATGAACAATATAGCTACGTTCTTTTCCGGCTTCATAACTTGTCTCTAGGAAGTGAGTTTGAAACAAGGACCTTCGGACCCTTTTTCGAGCAAAGCATACTACGTCGGAGATAGCTCCACTTGATTTGCTGATCTATGTCAAGGCTGGCCTAGTTATTGGTTGCACGGAGAAAAAATTGATTAAGCTCGGTATCTCGGAGATAATCTCGGATCAGATTAGATTGATTGTGTGCGACGATCGGAAATTTCAATCAGATAAGATTATATATAACGGCTTTTCCCTCTCCGTGCATACCGTATGCTGCGGTCTAAATCATCTCCTTCATTGGATTTTAAATTATCCTTTACTATCGCCACATAGCCCAGCAAAATGAAGCAGATTCTCTTTCCTGAATCCAAGTCGATTCCTGATGTCTCAGTATCAATGGATGCAGGGCTTGACCCTCACTCTCAGCGGACGGAGAGGACAGATGCGGATCCTGATATTTATGATGAAGAGATCAAACCCTTGCAAAAGTGGTCCATGACCCTACTTCTCGTAACTTACTTCTGGTAACCAACACAAACTTCATGTCTCAATCCGTCTTTCTAGCCTTGAGGTTCTGACTTACAATACAGGATACTGGCGCTTTTACAATGGATATCCGTCCAAGAGCAGGCTTCGAACACCTTAGCCACGTATATCATCAGTATATTTGGAAATTTATCCAGCAGTCCGGCACTGTCTCAGGCAGCCTATATCGTCAGTGGTGTTATCGACATCCCTCTATCGAAGATCATTGATATCTGGGGTCTCGACATTGGATTTTTGATTATGACGTTCCTTAATACGCTAGGTTAGTCTGCCATCCGCCTCTATATAAAGGTATCAATTTCAATAGTTGTCGACAATTTGTGAACTGATAATTGTCTAGGTTTGCTCATGGTTGCTGTTTGCAAAAACATCGCCACTTACGCTGCTGCGAAGGTATTTGCTCTCTTCACATCACTCCAAATCATAACAATATTCTAACTCATTCGACTCACGCTAGATTCTATACCAAGTCGGGTTCCACGGCATTACATACGTAATCACCGTCTTTATCGCCGAGTTGACAGATAAGAAGCACCGGGGTATAGTGCTAAGTATCACGACTCTACACTCCATTGCAGGATCATTTGCAGGAGCCGCCTATGCGCAGAGATTCGAGACGGATAGTACCTTCCGCTGGGCGTTCGCTGTACTGCTCATTGTGGGCTTTGTGTTGTGCTTACCAGTTTGGTTGGTCATTCGATACCATAGGAAGAAAGCCTGGAAGCAAGTATCGTCTTCGGAACGACCACCCCCGAACCGTCGGCCGTGGTTCGATGCTGTCAAGGGATTTTGCGTTCAGATCGATAGTATGTTTATGCCCATTTAGCCCCTGTTATCAATACATGTTAATTGACTTTGAGAATCTCAAAGTGATCGGTGTGATTCTCTTCTGTTCTGGATTGACATTGTTCTTCATTCCCTGGACTTTAGCAGCCAAGCAAGAGAACGGCTGGACTTCGGCATCCATCCTAGTAATGATTGTTCTCGGTTTCTTCCTTTTGGTCGCACTTACCATCTGGGAGAGGGTCTTCACTCCAAAGTCCTTTCTTCCTTTCCACTGTCTCAGGAACCGCAATATTCTTGGAACCTGCATTCTCTCTTTTGCAATGAGTCTCAGTAATTAGTGAGTTTCCCGCGTCTTTACAGCACTGGGGTTGCAGTCTGTTCGATGACTTACAGGGTATTAGTTGTTGGGATCCATATTTCAGAGCGTATTTGCAAATTGTCCATGCGCAGAGTATCGCGAACTCTGGTTATATCGCTAATATACACTGGGATGGTATCGCAGTTGGTTCTATTCTTGCTGGACTGTACTAACCCTCCCATACCTTCACTATCCTTGAAACCTATACTGATGTTGATCCCTTACCAAGTCTCCTTCTCTATACGCCACACTATAAGCCAATGTCACTTGCAGCCTTGGTACTATCGGCTCTCGGAAGTGGTCTGATGATCAAATTCCGCCACTCATACACGAATATCGGGTATGTCGTGATGTGCCAGGTATTCATGGCCATTGGTGCCGGCGTCTTGAACATTACCGAATATATTGCCCTCATGGACTCGAAGGCAGACCAGAGTACCGCGTTCCTGTTTGCACTTTCTGTCATGTCTTCGAAAATTGGCATCGTGATTGGCCAGTCCATATCTGGTGGCATCTGGACAAATCTTCTTCCTGGAGAACTATATCGTCGATTGCCTGAAGACCTTAAACCAAAAGCAAAGCGTTTCGCAGATTCTATTTACGCAGTATTACATTACCATGTGGGATCAGTTGAACGTGAAGCAATCGATGAGGCGTATTCGGCTATTCAGAGACTGCTCACCATATCGGGGACTTCAATGCTCGCTTTCGCTTTTGTGGGTGTTTTTATCTGGCGCCGATCTTGAGATACAGTAGCGTTCAGTAATGGCAAGTTTGAAAAATCACTGTTATCCCCATCCTATAACCTTATAGCCGGGCTAGTGCTGGAGGATTAGGGTTATTAGGGGCGTGTCTTATATACATGCTTTATCTCTAGCAGGAAAGGTCTGATGCACCTCCTTCCAACGAGGGTTATGCTTGCTACCCAATTGTTTTTAGTTCGGATCCGAGGATTATTCTCTAAATATCAAGTTCTTTTCAAACCCATATACAACAACTTCTCCACCTCGTCATTAACATCCAGCACCGGAGTGTCTGCATAATCATTAGTGATTTCATCTTCCTCTTCCCATGAAACACAACAACTTACCGCCGTGTGGCATAATCTGACTTCCAATGATAGCCCCGACCCCAGTCTCTCGATCTGCAAACCAATAGAGATTTGGAAGCCCAGACCATGAAGCACTTCCAGACTTTCTACCCGTATTTTTGGCCTGGTGGCTGAGTGCAAATGTAAGCCCGTACCCTTCCGTTTTCTTTTCGTCCTCTACAGGGTTTGCGAGAGGCCGTAAGGGGTTGCTTTTGGTGATGAGAGGACTGATGGTCTGGGATGGCAAGTTGGGACGTCGGGGGCAATGGGGAATATGATCTTTGTACATCTCTTTTCGCGTATTAGCATGAGAGCTTTCTTACCACCCTTCGGTAGTTCCTACTATCCTTCAAAAATTTTGGTAAGTAGATCAAGATGTGAGCTTACCGTCAACAGTGTCCGGTTTGAGGATTGGAGTATTCGTTTTGGCGTAAATGCCATTGTTCAAGAGGGCCGCAATAATTTCTTTACTTTGTTAGTATCTATTCTAGTGGATGGGTGATCAAGAAAATGTTTGTACTGCAATAGTCGACCATCGTCCCAAAACATCCTCCTCCACCGGAACAAAACCTGTCCTCAGGCATTTCGGGATTTTTCCTCTCCGAAAGCGGGAATTGATACACATGGCCAACCACATGCAACGAGCCATCCGGCTCTCGGCGATGCATAGACACCAGTCGGGTCTTCATTTCCTCGTTGGGAAAGAAACCAATGTCCCTGATGCCCAGTGGCTGGAATATGTATTTTTGAAAGTATTCGTCGAGAGAGGCATTGCTGACACGCTCGACGAGGATCCCAGCCCAGTCGATATTAATTCCATATTCATATTTAACTCCTGGTTGGTTGACAAGAGGTAGACTGACAAGGCCCTTCCTGTCGCCACCGAATTCGATACAGTTCGAGTTCTGGGTATAATCTCGTAGACGCGCATTGTTGAAGGGATATCCGAAGCCGGCTGATCAATTATTAACCCTCAAAAAATCCAACTACAGAGAATATTGCCCAATTGATGAAGACAATTGAGGATTGGAAAACTAGGAAAAGAGTTCTTTATTACCAGTATGAGTCAATAACATCCTTAAGGTAATCCCTCGCTGTTTCTCAATGAGCCGAAATCCAGTCTGCAAATCCCCTTCCAGCACTTTAACCGCTTTCAATTCTGGTGCAATACGCCCCACCATTTCCACATCATCCAGTGCCAATTTTCCTTGTTCAACAAGCTGCATGCATGCAATTCCTGTGATCATTTTCGTGCAGGAAGCCATCCAGAATATAGTGTCGAGTGTCATAGGATTGTTTTCGGTCTTGCTTGGGGACGAGTAACTCCGCGAGCCCGACGCGTGGTTAAATATTAGATCGCCATCGCGATTGACTGCGCAGTATACGAGTCCCGCAACCGGGTCTTTGGTGGACGAGGTCGTGTTATCGAGGAGTCGACGAAGCGATGCTTGGATATCTCCAGGAAGTTGTAGAGTGGCCATTTTTCTTGTTATTTGTTCCTCGAGGTACTTTCCCTTTCTCTATATTAAGTTGGAGTATTGCCTTAATATAGTGCATCCCATTGTGTGAAACCGACTACGGATATGGAGCAAAGAGGGGAAAAATAGGGGGAAAGGTCCCGGGGTTCAACCGAAGAACATACCCTAGAATGTCCGGAATACATTCCGAACGTGGGGATGCTTGATGGCTCGGCTAATGAAACAGTAGCTACGCAGTCGGCTACTGAATTTGCACTCACACCGAGCAAATGAAGTTATGAAAATTACAATCGGGCACACACAATATCAACCAATAAGAACTTATACTGCCAATATTCACCTAAGAAGGCATATTATCAACGAACTCCAAGTAAACCTCGGGACCCGGAAGCCGCTAATTGCGGGGCACAATGTGTGTTAGGCCCGGAGTCTATCTAGCAGCCTGTACTGCGCCTAGGGCCCTACAACTAAGCTCTATATACAATTATACATTTTTGCACACCGACACGTAAGCTTTCAGCTAGAACATGAGTTCTGAGTGGATATATAGTGAGTAGTAATCGTAAAAATCGTGGCCAAAATTGACGTTAAGAGTGTTGATTTGTGAGAGGATTTTATTCAATCTAAGGGCTCAAGTAGAGTACTTGTCTAGCTAGGTTTTTAGGTCTCCATACGCAATGATTTACTTCTGCGTATATTTAATACCTTCGAATGTAATCATGTCGCTAAGAAAAATGTATAGAAACTTCCATAGTATTAAGTATAATAGCTATTTAGGTATGCACACATGATCTCTAGAGAATGCGATGTGCAAATCGGGAATGGAAGGAACTATACAGAGAAAATCAAGCTGTACCCTCAATTTTCTGGCGAGCGGTGTCCTGCGCTTCGGCAATAACATCAGCTGGAATACGGTCTGGTGTGGTATTCACAAGCATAATCATTGGTAACATAGAAGCACCAAGCAGACCGAATGTAACGCAGCTAGGGTATCGGTTAGCCATCTCAGCAGCAGCAAACTCCGAGGATAAGGAATGCTTACAATCCAATTAGCGGACTACTCTTCGTCTGGGTGTTCATACCGTAGGCCACCGCCTGGCCGACAGCTTCGATACATCTGAACACAGCGCCGTTACGGACGTTTTCTAACATTGTTAGAGTAGTTTTGAATCCTCAAATTAGAAATGAGATGCTTACCCTGCGCATCTGTTGCAAATGACGAAAGAAGCCAGTACATATAGGACTGGGACATGGGGCCTGTCGTCTGGACGAAGAAATATGGTAGGAACGCCGAGGCATACAAATGATCGCTCCAGTCAATTTTCCCCGGGTTATGTCTATTAAATTTGACCTGCATGATAATAGACCATATATAGACACCGACGTTGAGAATGGCAACCGTATAGAGACCAATCTGAGCACGGCGACGTTGACTAAGGTTCTTCATATCGAGGATAAATCCAAGAGCAAAGCATCCAATACTAGAAGGAAATCAAGTTAACGAGAGTAACAGTGGGAGGAAAGGTTGTACTAACATGCAGAAGAAAGGCGAGATGAGCGATGAGAGGGCGCGAACCCGAACAGAAAAGTATACACCGAGGTACGTGCTCCAGCTGCCACTGTAAAACGGGTTAATGCTGTACCATCTAGGATATAGTGAGTGACACTTACGAATAAAAGAAAGACCAGAAAGCCCAGATCGAGGACAGAACAATAAGACTTGAGGTGACAGTTTTCAAGATACGCTTGAACTCCTGTTTTGTAGAAAGCGCTTCGGCCATGTGAATTTTTGTGCCGTCAGACCGAACAACCTTTTCAAAGGGGCTGATCAACAGCGCAAACGGCAGCCTGCAAACTGTGATTAGCCTAATTGTCTTTTTCTATGTAATCCGAGTATACTTACGCAAGACATTCAATAATGACAAAGGCGATATAAGTATCAGGAGTGATTCCGCCCTCAGCCCCAGGATGGTGATTCTTCGACATGCTTCAAGGCAATTAGCTTAGTTCCATGCTTATTGTTTGATCACTCACTTGATTGCACCTCCAACAAGCTGTCCTAGGTTTCGAGAGACAATCCATAGGGCCAGATACTTTCCACGGGCGCCGGAGGGTGCGAGAGTCATGATGGCACCAGCCTCGGCAACATACCAGCAAGCTGTGCCAACACCGCTGATAGCACCGCTCAGGATGAGATACTGGGCGAAGATATTAGTCAAATACCGCACTTGGCATGAGAAGCCAGATACACCTACCCACTGGTTTCCGAACTTGCTATTACAGTAGTATGCGGACCCCTGAATAGGGAATGACAGAGAGCCAAGAACCAGGGCCCATTTAACACCGATCTTATTCACCAGGGGACCGCCCATCAAACAAACTGTTTTGTAAAATGCCTTGTCAGTACACAGAAACAATAGAAGTGGGATAATTCAGGGGAAACCACATACCGATAGCAATCATGGCGTATCTGATTGCGGTTGAAATGTTGGACACCTTCGGGGTCGCAAGACCACCACCACCGAGCCCTGACAGCAGGAAAAGTCAGTTGCACGTTCTAGTAAGAAATGTCTACAACGCACCAGTAATCGCGTCAGACATGGCGGGTCCGCAGAAAGCCTGAATACTCAAAAGTATCATTTGCGTCAAACTGTGCTGCCATACCCTCTTCCACAGGGGAACAGTCGCTCTGTATTCCTCCATATTAACCTCATGAGTTGCCCCAACGCTCAAAGTATCTTGCTGGTAGACAGGGAAAGAGTCATCCTGGAAATCAGGGACGGGGATCTTCTTGTCGGTATTAACGTCGGCCATTTTGAACAATCACGAAGCAATACGGCGTCTCTGGGGCACTTAGAGAATTGACCAGAAAAGGGCGAGACACTCCATGGTATTTATAATTTTGATGAATGATAGACATAGCATCAAAAGCCATTATTCAGCCGATATTCGCCTATCTAACTGTCGGAATATCAATCCCACGATTCGGCGCTTCTGCACCCCGGATGCAGAACCAACGCATATGTACGGAAGCGGGATTACTAATTTACTATATCCCTAGCGCGTACGCAGCAACCTTCTATATAGCCACTACGGCACCCCCGCTACCCCCTCCTTTCGTTCAGTCAGTCATTATAATATCAGATATTTGTGCTTATAAGCAGGCTCACCACCTAGGGCAGTTGGACCGCCCTTGCTCCCTACTCTATGCTTAGTGATACGGAGTATAGCTAAACCAACACTGATCAGTGGCCGCAGATCAGACTCCTGATTTGAGCCAAAAACCCGAACCTCTTTACCCTTCGAGACGTTCACTCGTACTTCGAATCCTCGATATATACGACCTCATATATCAACCGACAATGGCCCCAAACCCCGATCTGAATGGCTTCGAACCAGAGGGCAAGAACCGCACTCAGTTGGACACCTACGTCGATGGCAAATTAACTGAATACCGCGAAGGAAATGACGCCATCCTGTGGGCAATGTTCACACAAGACTTTGGTGAATGGACTTTAGATAACCTCAAAAAGGTATCTGTATTACGGCTTGCGAAGCTTATTGTGCTACTTAAGAGCCACAGCGTGTACGTGGACGAGACGAATGAGCACCTAGTCGCACAGAACGTATACGACGCCGCGTAGTTACAAATACCGCACCAATGGACCAAAATAGAAGTTATTGCACACCTCCGAAAGGGCAGGAGCTTTGGATCCCTAGATATCAAAACCAGATTCGCAGCTACAATCGCTGCTAATTCCCCACTACAAGGAACTACTACAACAGTCCCTGAACCTGAGACTCATGTATGTACAGACCCGGATACTCCTACGCCGCAACCCGGAACCTATACAGGATGAATAACAAGATCAAGATCTGCCCTAGACCCGGCGCTCAACGCGAACGCAGACCTAGGGACACTGTACCAGGTAACCAGATCTAGAACCCCTTTTACATCAGCACCCACGTCACGTACGACTGGAGGACCTATAACACAACAATAAGGCACCCCAGAACCGCAGGAACAAGAAATATATACTGCATTGACCGTACAGCAACTGTCGCAATATACAATTACTCAGGCAATTGCGAATGTTGGCAAGTGCTACGCTAATACACCCGAACTACAGTATAAAGGCCTCAAAGATTCATTCTAGAGAAAGGCAAGAATTTTCTATGGTTACTGCCATCAAAGTGGACTACCTGCTACCCCCAAGTCATATAGAGAAGCAATACCGCACATGCTCAAGGACCTAGCATTAGCGTACTACTAGGATAATATTGACATGTGGATCGCACAAAGCAAGGACCCAGCGCTTGAGATCAAAGCTCATTTTGAGACACCCAAACACAAGCGAACCGCCCAAAGCGAATGGTCCGCTATATCACTTGATAATATAATTTGCAGCAATCCAGGGAAATCAATATCGGAATGCCTCAATCTTATGATCACAGAGCTACAGGATCTATTTTACTGCCTACCGGACAAGCTTCAAAACCAGATGTACTGGCATATGAAGCTAATTGAAGCGACAAGCACGCACCCAGGGTGCGATTGGGCCACGTCAAAACCCGCACCTACGGTGCCAGGCCTGATCCAAGATCTCCAGTCAAGTATAAGGCAGTACGAATGACGACAACAAAACGGCGCCTATGGTATCAACTTTACAGACTGACACTACAATATGCGTCAACTGTCATGTTCACCGCACCAAGGTCGTTCACCATATAGACGAAGACACTCCCAAGGACGCAGCTACTTACGTCATCCTAGCTGCTCATCACGCCGCCAGAATGAAGCTTCAAAAACATGCTTTGTATGCAAGAAGCCTAATTGCTGGTCAACCAATCATATAGACGAGGAACAAGCCGCAGCGAGAGCCTGATACAACACCACTTTTGACAAGTTTATATTGGAGCACGAAGGCACGCCAAAGGACCATAATACCCAGCTTGAGGCGTACCTTGCAGAGGTTGACATACCAGTCCAGTACGACCTTCCAGATCGTACAAGCGATAGCCAAAAGACAGCTACAGGATACTTCACCGTAGCAAATCTAGATTACAAAGGATTCGCACCCTTGATAGCAAGTGAACTTGCTAACCGCTCTGCAGCTCATTATCTCTCATGCTTGCTAGGCAACCATCAAGAATATACAGAGAAGCCTACACTGGACAACGAGGATGAAGCCGACGTACAGACCGCACCAAGTTCACACCACCTCACTATACCTGAATACGCATTTCTTGCAGAGGATCGATATTCGTCTAACAACTTTATCGGCCTACTTATTGATACTGGTGCCGCAACATTCTCTACTGCTGGATACGCGCAATACCTCGCATATCGGAAAGTTGCCAGGGGTTGTATAATGGACACGTCAACTGCGGGATCTGTAACGATACGATTCGGTGCTGGTGAAGCACTACAATCACTAGGTTTGATTGATCTGGATACCCCAATTGGCAATGTACGATTTCACATCGTTGAGGCCATGACACTATTTCTACTCTCTATCAAGGACCTTGACCGCCTCAAGGTGTACTACGATAATACGAAGGACCTCCTCGTTCGCCATGAACTGTACCTGACTGCACCAGTCGTACGAAGGTTCGGCCACCCATTCCTTATATGGGATTACTCTCTCGCCTTATATATTACTCAATCCTTCAATGAGGATCAATGCTTCCTTACAGACAGAGAACTACGCCGACTGCACCGTCGATTTGGACACCCCTCCGTAGGACGACTACACAAAACCCTACTACGCGCAGGCTACGACACGCACCCTAAAGTAATTGAGAGGATCAACAAATTCTGCCACCATTATCAAACCCATGGAAAATCACCAGGTCAATTCCACTTTACGTTACGGGACAACATCGAATTTAATCATTCAATTATTGTGGATATAATGTATATCAATGGCAAGCCAGTGCTCCATATTGTGGACAAAGTAACGCGCTTCAATGCCACATGTTGGCTTCCAAGCATATCCGCAAAAGTGACATAGGACGCGCTATAAATGCTATAGATTGATACATACCTTAGCCCCCCAGATTTCATTGTTACCAATGCAAGAAAAAAACTTTATGAGTAAGGAATTCACGCAGCTTACCTCATCTGTTAGTACGATTATAGTCAGCGTTCCTGTTGAAGCTCATTGGTCAATTAGCACTGTTGAACGCTACCATGCTGTACTATATCGTTCATACAAGATCATTTCAGAAGAAGTGCCAGAGCTCGCACTAGAAATGGCGCTTCAAATGGCTGTCAAAGCTGTTAATGACACCGCAGGTCCAGACAGCTATGTCCCTACACTTCTTATCTTCAGAGTGTATCCCTGAATGATGGATTACAGTCCTCCCACACCTACGATAGCTCAATGTGCTGCTGCAGTCAAGAAAGCAATGACTGAAGTACGCAGGCTTCATATTATACACCAGATCAACAACGTGCTCAACACCCGCAACAGACCGTTGTCTACACTCGTGCACCAGCTCCCACTCAACTCGGACGTGCTTATATAGTGCGAAGGTGGAACAGGATACTCCAGCAAGTGGAAAGGACCGTACAAGCTCATATCAATCGACAGAGAAATGTATATGGTTAATCTCCCTAATGGACCTACAAAGTTCAGATCAACTGTTATAAAGCTATACTATAAAGACAACAATTTAGAGCAACAGGACAAAGAACAGCCACCCCCAGAGGAAGCCCCAGCTACGGAGGAAGCCCCAGCTATAGAGGAAGCTCCACCTGCGGATTCATCAATTATACTCCCACCAAAGGTTGTGATTCCACCTGTACCTAGAGTTGTAATACCACCATACAAACCAGATAATGCCAAAGCACAACTACCACGCCCCTAACATGAGCACCATCTACTGTCCTGATACCAAGACGATATCGCGTATCTATAGTAAATTACCAAACTATTTCTCTAAATAGTGGGCAATGGCCAATTCGACGAATCGCGCCGCAAAGAAGTTGCTGGACTACTGGAAAGAGGCGTATTCAAAGCTATCAATTAAGAGGACATCCCCCTAGAGGCCCGCATCTATAGCTTTAGATTTATTAACGACGTCAAGAATAAAGGTACCAACAAAGTGTACAAGAAATCACGCCTCGTTGTACAAGCGTACAACGACAAGGACAAAGAATTCGTTCTCACGCAGTCACCTACGATCCAGCGCTCTAGCCAACGATTGATTCTCTGTATCGGAATAAGCAAAGATAATGTACAATTTTAGATCTGCGACGTCATACAAGCCTATATACAGTCGACAACGCGCCTTAACCGTGATTTCTATATTTAGATCCCACCTGAATTGCGTCAATACTTCCCCAGCTGTGAATTCTTGAAGGTTGTACGATCACTATATGGAATTCCTAAAGTAGGCAACCACTGGTTCCATACATATCATAAACACCACGTGAAGCACCTTAACATGGAGACCTCCACCTATGATACATGCCTTCTTCATTGCCGCAATCCGGAGCAAGGATTTAGTATTATCGGCATACAAACTGATGACACTCTTATTGCTGCCAATAAAGCCTTTGCTGGACACGAGGAAGAGCAAATACAGCGTGTGAATATCCTTTGCAAGCCCCACGAACTGCTCACAAGTGAAAAGCCACTACAATTCAATGGTGCAATTATTACAGAGACTGCCCAGGGTATTACTCTTACCCAGGAACGCACCTATAAGAATATACGACTCGTACAAGAACAACATGCGGATATAATCAGCTCCCGTGGCAAGGTTCGCAAAAACGCATCTCCGCATGAGCAGTATGTCGCTCAGCAAGCCCTTGGTGCATATATTGCTTCTGTTTCCCAACCTGAGGCCTCATTCGATTTATCCTTCGCAGCATAAGCTGTACGACCGGATAGAGAGGATATAAAGGCACTCAATAAGCGACTCCAATGGCAGATTGACAACTCCACCCGCGGGCTACAGTTCGTCAAGATCGACCTACGGACTGCAAAACTGTACGTATTCGTTGATGCTTTGTTTGCCAACAACAAGGACTCCTCTTCACAAATTGGCCACGTTATTGTACTCGCCGACGCACAAAATAACGCGAATATCGTACATTGGTCTTCCACCAAGTGCAAGAGGATCACCCGAAGCGTACTTGCTTCGGAGATGTACGGTATGGCCAATGGATTTAATGCGGCCGCAGCAATCAAATTAACCCTCACACAATTGCTGCATCTCACGGAGCCGCTCCCGCTAGTCCTTTGCACCAATTCAAAGAGTCTCTACGAATGCCTTGTCAAGCTCGGTACGACCTGGGAAAAACATCTCATGATTGACCTCATATGCCTCCGTCAATCATACAAACGACAGGAAATCACGGAAGTGAGATGGATTAATGGCAACAGCAATCTGGCAGATGCCATGACCAAGAGTAAGCCCTGTCGCGCTTTACAAGAGCTTATTGATATAAACAAGCTCTGTATTGACGTTAATGGCTGGGTTGAGAGGCCATCACCGAACCGCAACCCCGAACCAAAGGCTGTACAGTTTGCTACACCATTGGAATCTCCAAAACAGTAGCCGCATGGCCGGAGACCCTGATTTGTACTACTCCTTCCTTTCTTTTCCTATTTCATATTACTACACTTGTTTACTGCACCAGATTGTACGTCATTCATTGATATTCCCTTTCTTTCCATTCTTTTAGAGAGTTGCCAGTGTCGGAATATCAATCCCACGATTCGGCGCTTCTGCACCCCGGATGCAGAACTAACGCATATGTACGGAAGCGGGATTACTAATTTACTATATCCCTAGCGCGTACGCAGCAACCTTCTATATAGCCACTACGGCACCCCCGCTACCCCCTCCTTTCGTTCAGTCAGTCATTATAATATCAGATATTTGTGCTTATAAGCAGGCTCACCACCTAGGGCAGTTGGACCGCCCTTGCTCCCTACTCTATGCTTAGTGATACGGAGTATAGCTAAACCAACACTAACTTCTCTCCGGATTCCTACAGTAATCTTATCTTCTGGTGGATCATTCTCCACGTTTTCCAACTGCGAGCCATGACCCCGGGTTCTTTGACTCGATGGAAGAAGGTCCAGGCGAAAAGAACAGAATGTCCCGCTAGTGTGCGAATGTTTCACAATCCACGAGTGGATTGTCGTGAGAGCATTGAGCAATAAGTGTTGTCCGAGCGGCTGGGGTTTCTTCGGGGTTTAGTAACCCAGCCCTTAGCTAACCTGTTGGAAAGATTGCAAAGCTAGTACGTATCTATCGTGGGACCGCCAAGCTTGCTCTTCTCTCCCGATTCCGGCATCCAGTAGCCTAGCCCTAACCAAGGTCAGTGGAGTACTAAAGACTTTGGCGAGCTCGGGGGGATTATCCGAGGCGATGGAAGGTCCAAGCGAGAAATTGGATGGCATGATAGTGGATACCAGCCTTGGTTATCATCTATCATGATCCGCAGCTTCATAAATTCAGGTTCTCTTGTCATTATCTTCCAGATATACCTAGCTTTATCTGCGGAACGAAAAAGTAATGGTATTCGATTATTTTCTTACGGTTGTTGCTGACTCACGGCGTCTCTCTTAACCAATTTTGACCTATTATATACGTCTTGCTCTTTTTCTTGCCTTTTCTTTCCAACTTATTTCAATTTACAGCAAATAATCACATACAGACCATAAAAATGGCCGCCTCGCGTCCAAACACCAAGATCGTCGTTGTGGGTGGTGGCGGCACAATGGGCTCCTCCACAGCACTACACCTCATCCGCTCGGGATATACGCCCTCAAACATCACCGTACTTGACGTATATCCAATTCCCTCGGCACAGTCAGCAGGCTATGATCTGAACAAGATAATGAGCGTCCGGTTACGGAATAAGCTCGATCTACAACTTTCACTAGAGGCGCTGGATATGTGGAAGAACGACGAATTGTTCAAGCCTTTCTATCATAATGTTGGCATGGTACGGCATCAAATAGTCTCTGCTATAATCTCACGCTGAGAATAATTTAGATAGACTCTTCTTCTTCCAACGAGGGTATCGCAAACCTCCGACGGAAATACCAGTCCCTTGTTGATGCGGGAGTCGGCCTTGAGAAGATGAATATTTGGTTAGAAAGTGAAGATGAGATTCTAGCAAAGGTGCCACAATTTACCAAAGAACAAATTAAGGTATTTTATACCTATCGAAATATGACTGTAGGTAGCTGACTAGTATCAGGGATGGAAAGGGATATTTTGCGCCGACGGAGGGTGGCTTGCTGCAGCTAAGGCCATTAACGCGATCGGTGAGTTTCTAAAGAAGCGTGGGGTTAAGTTCGGATTTGGCGAGTACGTGGCTAGAAATATCATAGGTTATGCCATTTTCACTAACAAGAATCTAGCGTCGGAACTTTCAAACGTCCTCTCTTCGCTGCTGATGGCACGACATGCAATGGCGTGGAGACGGTAGATGGAACTAAATACTACGCCGACACGGTGGTTCTGGCGACTGGTGCTTGGAGTCCGACGTTAGTCGATTTGGAAAATCAGTGTGTTTCAAAGGTCAGTCAATCAGGGGTGAGAAAATAAGAACCTTAGAACTAATTCTACACCAAGGCCTGGGTATTTGCACATATTCAACTCACACCCCAAGAAGCCGCTGAGTACAAAGACATACCTGTTGTATATGACGGCGAATACGGATTTTTCTTCGAGCCCAACGAGTAAGCCTCTGACCCTTCCAAGGAAGAACAGCATATGTGCTAATTGTACCTCAAGATATGGAGTAATCAAAGTCTGCGACGAATTTCCCGGCTTCTCCCACTTCAAGGAGCACCAACCCTACGGTGCTCCATCCCCCAAGCTCATCTCCGTACCTCGATCACACGCCAAATATCCAACAGATACGTACCCTGACGCCTCTGAGGCAACCATCCGCAAAGCCATCGCTAGGTTTATGCCTCGATTCAAGAATAAAGAGCTCTTTAACCGGTCTATGTGCTGGTGCACGGACACAGCTGATGCCAACTTGTTGATTTGCGAACATCCCCGGTGGAAGAATTTTATCCTCGCTACGGGTGATAGCGGGTACGTAGTCTGACATCTCATATTGTTATTCGCTCCTCCTAATTGGTCTTCTACAGTCATACCTTCAAGCTCCTACCAAGTATCGGCAAGCACATTGTTGAGTTGATTGAAGGATCTCTATCCCAGGAACTAGCACAAGAGTGGAGATGGCGACCGGGCGGCGATGCCCTCAAGTCCAGACGCAGTGCCCCGGCAAAGGACCTTTCTGAAATGCCTGGCTGGAAGCACGACGCGAAGCTATAAGCGAATCTACACATATGCATTTATCGCACAACATGGCACTATTGATAGAGACTTATTGTACATTGCGGCAATTAGCAAGCGGATAATTAGCAAGCCTTGCTGCATAGACTCTCAATTGCGAGACAGGAGTCTCGAGAGGTCTGTAATCTTTTTATGTGATCATATTAGAGCGTCTCCAATTAGAGTGTGTTTATCTTCTTTACGTCGTATACACTAACCAGGTGTTAGATATTATTGGTGAAGTGCACAGCACAGTGAGGCCCGGCTGGCCTACCAATCTGTAAGAAACACGTAATAATGCGAGGGGTTTCGATTCTTCATCATAGAGGACAATTCCGTGTTAGAAACAGCACAACTTTGCCAAGAAGAGATGGAAGCCTTCAATTGAGAAATTAGAGCATCATCTAGTTTTTATCCATTCCACGAGATTGAGGGCAAAAAACCCCCGATAAATCCAACGCCAGGCATGTTGATGGCCAGATTTTATAAAACACTAAAACCTTTAGTGTAAGGATTTTCCACGTATAAAATTACGCGTGAAGTCTATCTCATCTCCTGATATAATCATTCCCTTTTCATTGGGGGCTCGCTTGCACCATGTCTTCGCGACTTTCACTTGGGGCTGACCGTTCTGCAGGGAAACACGAAAGGCGAAAGGCGAAAGGCGAAAGGCAAAAGACGACCCACATCGTGGTGTGGCCGGCCATGTTCTGCTAGAAGAGAGCTTCTTACTGAATCATTGAAGGTCAAGACGAGGACAGAGAGCATGGAGTCTGTAACTATAAAATGCCGCACAGTCGTCCTTGATTTACGCAGAGAAGGCCCAGCATCCATCGACGCTTGTGTCTACTATGCTTGTCGTGAAACGTGGCTAGATTCCGACCACCATGGATAAAATTGCTACCAGAGTGCCAATGCCGACCAGGAACTCTTGTCAAGTACGAAATCTATCCATGCAGCTCGGTAAGTTAACAGGTTATCCAACGTCGATCCGTCCGTCGGAACGTGAAATTCGAAATGCACGACTTTCCGATCAGAATCTGGAGATTGCCATGCATAGCCTCCACCGAGATGGGCTAGTTGTTATTGAGAATGCTATACTGCACGATTGTCTCGATCGGCTGAACGAGAAAATGGTACAGGACGCTTATACTCTCCAGGCGAGGAAAAGAGATAGTCCATACAACTACAATCCTGGAAATATTCAGCAAGATGCTCCTCCAGTCAAGAAATATTTTGATACAAGGATCTTCATGAGTAATTCAACCCATAAAGGAATAATTTTCTCTTTCGCTAACGGCATATTGAGATCCTATTGCAACCCAGATCACTTCGACAGCATTGGGTCCACGACCAAAATGGACATTCTGTTCCGGAAACACTGCGATGCCACCAACCGCAGACCATCCGCCTATGTCGCAGCCAGTTCATTCGGATGCAGATTTTGCTCACCCCGATCACCCGTTCGCATACGTGATCAATGTTCCTCTGATTACTATGAGCCCTGAAAATGGTTCAACTGAAATTTGGCTAGGGACCCATACGGACACTGGACTTCATGTGCAAGAAGGAAAACATGGTGAGCGAGCAAGCGGGCGGGTTCGTATAGAAGAACTTGAAAAGCGCCGGGCAACCGGACCTCCCTGCCAGCCTGTTGTGCCAAGGGGTTCTCTCGTTGTCAGAGATTTGCGGCTCTGGCACGCTGGGATAGGGAACCAAACTGAGATACCACGAGTAATGCTGGCTATGAGTTGGTCATTCCTGGCACATACGGATATGAAGACAATGCTAATATGTGCGCAGTTCATTTTGCCCCGTGGTACCGTAACGCTATGAAGCTGGAGTTGGCGGATGATCTGAAACCAACCATTGAAAACCAAAGCGATCTCGATGTTCCGGTGAACTGGGTCAGTGAGTCGGAAGCTATGTCGCGTTACTTGAATCGTGGCTTCGGCAATGCATATGATTTCAACCAAAGTTCTTGAAACGGAAAATAAATATTACTAGGGTGCGAGGATATCTGAACCTTGATGCATATACGTAGATAGACCTTGATATTTGTCAGTTTCCAGGTCGTATACCCATACAGATGGGGACCTGAAGTGATAAATGACTGATTTTGTTTGCTTTTTATTCCTGAATAATGCAACCTATTGGTCATTCTGATACTTCCAAAAATCACCATATCCACGGATAGAATGTGGCGATATCTAAATTGATCAAACATCGTCATGTGAAATGCACTGCCAAAAATGTAGGACCTAGTAATGATGTGGATGGCCTTTCTCTTATTATTCTATCTTATCTGGAATGTCCTGCGGTATTCTTGTGATTTTGAGAGCTCAGTGATCTACCTCGCAAGGTTTCTAAGTTCCTACATATGTAGGTAATTCTAATTAAGCATTATAGGACCTGTGTCCGAAGATATATATCTTTCACTAACATATTCTTCAATGTCATATCACTCGCGACACGCTAGGGCTGGGCTCGTTTTCAGCATATTCCTTCCAAGGTTTATTCGCTGTCACAAATGAAGCTGGCCAGCGTTTCATAAAATTAGGCTGACCAAAGCACTCTGGAGGGTGTACCTAAGTTAAAAATAATGGGGTTGGGCGGTGAGACACACCTGTCTTCCGGGATGTGCAATCGCTAAACTCTACCTACTCAGTGATCAGATAGATAAACACACTGGAAGTTGCCAAGATCGTGCTCTGTGCTGCTGCTGTCGTCTCGACATTAATTACTGCTAGATTTTGGTTCGCAAAATGTTTCAATGCCGCGGCCAATCAATTTCAATCGTCCGTCCTCCTTTCCCCTTGTTTTGTGTGGTTTGACTGCTTTGCTGATTTGGCATCTCTCGCTGTTTGACGTTAGGATGGTAATTTGCTCCGATTCTGTGATTAGCCCCGCGTTTTGACTCTCTTTCATACCTCTTTTTACAGTCGCCACTGCGGATTCTCCTTGTTAAATGAATTGGATCATTAGCTGACCTGATAACACGCAGCCAGCAATGCCGGTCACACAGAATTAAATGTACACTCTACGTGAATCTAACGTTTAGTGTTGATGCTGACTTGTTTCGGTATTCGAAAAGGCGACGGAAACCGGCCAATCTGCACCAACTGCCAGCGAAAAGACCGACAGTGCCAATGGATCTGCGATGTTGGCTCACCAAGGGTCTCTGAGCGCCTAATTAGCCCTCCAGCCCTAGTTGCTGAACATCGGGAGGAGTATATATCAACTCAGGATCCCGAACAGGCCTTACAAGATCCACAAGTTGCGCAGGTATTCCGCCACTATATTCGGGATTTAGCTGGGTGGTATGATCTCAATGATGGTAATCGGCACTTCAAAGATGTGATTCCTGCTCGAGCTCGACGGAATCCCCTATTGCTCAGTGCCATTCTCGCCTTTTCAGCTGCCAACCTATCTCATACTGCTCCCAACTTCGAGTCTCACAATTTTGCCGAGTTTTATCATCTAGACTGTGTGCAGAGGCTGATATCTGTCACTAAGAACTTGGACAGTCTGTCAAATGAGGAGACACTTGCTGCTATCTGCCTACTTCGCTCCTATGAGATCATATCACGTATGTATCTTCCATGATATTGTGAACTCCTCTCTTGCATCAGTCAGTTTCTAACCAAAAAATTACTTGCTGGCTTATCCTAGAGGATTTTGGCTCCCAGAACCACCTTCAGGGTTGCTATTCTTTGGTAGTTAACCACCATATCGAACTCTCGACGGACCTTTTCAGTGCTGGATTTTGGAACTATTTGCGGGAAGATATTACGGTATCTCTGATTAAGCAGCGAGATCTAATGATCGATTTATCCACATGGAGCCTTCCTCAGACACCTTCAAATGACTCAGATTTCGCGAATTATATCACATTCCTTCTCGGCAAGGTCATTAACCGATGCCTTCGCGAGGACTTGTCCTCCATGGATCTATTCGAATGGAATGTACTGAAAAGCCAGGTACAGAAGTGGAGGGAGTCTCTTCCACCGTCGTTTGAACCGATAAGGACGCCTGGTCTGAAGAAGCAGAGTAGATTCTCGTCCGTATGGACTCTCGGGGACTGGCACGGTACGCAGCCAGGATGCCTTTTTTCTCCTTTCTACTGACAAGCCAAGCTTCAAGCCTTCATTACTATCATACGGCAATGAGCATCTTGTGGCTAGCAGAACCTACAGCTAAACCGTCCAACATACTACAGCGCGTGGAGGACTATAGAGTCCTACATCATAGATTGAAATATCATGCGACTGAGGCGTGTTCTCTTGCGTTGTCAAGTGATTCCGCTCCTGTTTGGGTCAATGCATTCGGACCGATAGCTTTTTGTAAGTCTCTATTGGAGTCGTTTGATCTATCATCTGACTGTATACCCACAGGTGGCCCATGGCTACGAGACCATGGAATGAGCGCGGAGGTAATAATCGAATTAAAAATCTGGGGAGGAAAGACAGGTTGGCCTGTCTCGAGCATCGTGGACACTTTGTCTTCACCTGACACTGCCCTCATACCGGACGTCTAGTTGGGCTGCCGGAATCCGAATGTTTATTTTATGGATCAGAACTAAGCGTAGCCAACGTGGTATACGTATATGCCTACCAGCATAACTCTTTGTTACGCCTTTGATGGACCCATGGTAAATAACTACTCAAGATTAGGCAACAGTCATATCGTATTGAAATCTACTGTGCCCATCACCTGTCAAATAAGGAAAAGATACTAAGAACAAATGTCAAACGCCACCGCTTTGCTTGTGAAAAGTAGTCAAACGAAATGAGAGGAAGAAGCTTCCCAGTGAATGAAATAAAGCCAAGAATCCGGAGACTAAAATCCATTCCCACCAAAAAAGACGGAAATCAAAATGAAGGCTTGGATATTCGAACAAGTAGCTGCTTACTTGTCACAGGAGCTGCACAATGCCCCAACCGAGTGTATCAAGACTCGTGTCTGAACTGCTAAAGCATCTATAGAGAACTTGCACAACAGGTCTTGGCTATGCACTATTCGCGCGCTTCTTTTTTGAGAACAAAGGGTAATTGAGTTCATCCCACCGTCCGGCAAAACCAATGCCGGGATGACCCCAGAAGCTCAACGCAGCCGTCGCGATAGTGATCATGGCGCCTTCCAAGACCATAAAGGTGACCTCATCGTTTGCTAGATGGCCATTAAAACCTCCACTGAGTTCTGCGACGCGAAATATGCAACGAATGTAGATGCAGATTGTTGCTAAACCTTGGCAGACCAGAAATATATGCCATTTCCTTGATGTACGGAGAGATGCAAAATCAGGATTCAGTCCAGTTGCTGCATGGCCATGATCGTCTTCATGTTCCTCATCATTGGACAAAGCAGATGAATGGCGCTTCCCGACCAGTCGAAACATATGCCCAGATTGTTTCTGCGAATTCAGTCTGTATACTCGAAATGCAAAGTCAAGACAAATGCCGAGGTAGAGCGTCAGTGATGCGACTTGGGTGGATAAACCCGCTATCATGATGTTGATACCAGCCTGCACGGTCGAATTGTCGTTGGACGTCGTGATTGCCCCGCCTGCAGCCTGTAGGAGTAAAGAGAAGATATCGCAGGTAACAAAGATGAGAGTGTAGCCTCGTTGCTTAATCCTGGTGAGCTCTATCGAATAGACTGATACTATACGAGCAAGACTGAGGTAGATGGCTGCGCTGAGGAATGCCGGTGCGATGGTGAGACTAATGATATACCTATATTTCAACAGACAACGGATCAGCATGAATTGGTACATATGCCAGCACATAGGTATGGGGCTGGACTTATGTGCCATAAAAAAATCGTTACCAGGAATACGCACATTTCAAACCATCTATCAATAAATGGATTGTCTCGCATCTTTATCCGCCCTATATACCCCAACACCTCGAGGATCAGACCGCAGACCATGCCGACCATGTATCCCCAGGTTCGAGTTCGGACGCCAAGATATATCTGTATTGGGATGAAAAGAGCGAATACGGCGACAAAGAAAGCATTTCCTCCCAGATTCGGGAGATAAGTTGTGTGAGCATACGAAAGAGGACATATCTCCAGTGTACATTGCTGGCTGCTAGTAATGTATGGCGGTGGTGCCGTGATCGTTGTAGCTGGATCCGACATTCTGTTGAATTTGTCCGGCCTTGAAAAGAACGAAAGCGACCAGAAGTTATGAATCAGACGTGGACTCTTGCAAGATAAGCAGGACACCGTGGAAACTGCATATATATAGGACCCGGATTCTGGCCCGAGCGAAAGGCAGTCATTTTTGCCAATTTTTGGGGTTTATGTCTGCCCTTTCCGATGGCAGATACGCGCGTGGTTACCATGTTCCTTGCTGACTAGGCATCACAAAGAACAATAACGCATCGAGATAGACCTGAAGTGGGCTCCTTGAGTGGCCGGCGCGTAAACCTCAGACGACACACTAGTCCCGTTTTGGATGAATACGCACTGGCCAATAATATGCTCGGGATTTGCTCACCGACTTAGGGCTTGTTGAGTCTGGTGACTGGGTGAATGTGATTGGTAGTTTCGCACATTCACTTTACATTTCATGATAACCCTAACCCGTTAGCCCTAAGTACCGAGTCTGAGTCAGATAATCCGGATTTGCAACGAGGTATAGAATCCAAAGGCCATCCTATACACAATCTTGCTAGTCACTTCTTATTTTACCATCCTTATAAACAATTTTTCAGGATTGGACTAGAGTTAACCCATCATTCCGACAATTAAGAGTCTGAGTGCCTCTTCCTATATGAGATCAACGCATTCGAATATGTCGTCCAACACTGCCATGAACGTGAAGCTTCATTCCCCTGATGACTGAAACCATTGGCAGAACGAGCTTTTTAATCAGGCAAGAGCTAAGGACGTTATCGGAATCTTGCAAGGAACTCAGGAACTCCTCAAGAAGCCTATTAATCTTCCAAATGATGACTTCTTGACGGCTCCTGCAGCTCCTATAAATCCAATACCTGCAACAGGTGCAAATCGTATAGGTGCTGCAGCCTCAGCTGGAAGACAACACCATAACAATACAGCACAAGTTGCAGCAACCCAAGGCAAGGATACTCAACCTACTCCAACTCCTGATTCACAGGAGACCGTCCAAGCAGAAACCATGAATAAGGTTACTCACACCAATAAAGATTTAGACAGAGCAACTAAGATTTTCAATGTTCGCCTTAATCTGTATAAGCAATGCTATTTTGAATAGAGCGAACAGAAGAAGGCAATCGAACAAATCTTTACCTGGATGAAGCAGACCGTGAGCCCAAGTTATCATAAAACTTGTATAGTGGTCACTGCCAACTGGAAGAAAGCTTATATCAATCTTAAAGAACAATTAAATCAAGAAAGATATATCTCCCAGAGACGTATCAAAAATGAATATGATCAACACTTAAGATCTCTGAAACCCTCCACCAGAGATCTCGAAGCTTGGGTTTACCAAATGGGAGGAATTACTGCTTGAAGCTGAAAGAAAGTCTATGGTGATCGCCAGTAATGTCCTAGACTAGTCAACGCAATTCCTTAATATAATTCACCCACTAGATGACGCATGGACTACAGCATATAAGATCACTATTGAAGGGAAAATCGAGGACAGCACTCTCACTAGAAGGGAGCTGGCAAATGCCTTCCGACGCAACTTTCGTAAAATCTAGGATTGACGACCATCTCGTGTATATACAGGATTGTTTGCGGTTCAAAGAGAAAGGACTGATGACGAGTCTGACGAGGAAGTTACCGTTATGATCGACAACTAAGCCATTCTCTAGAATGTAAGCGTAGACGTACTCGCTCACGATCTCGCTCCATTAGACCTCTTCGCAAGAAGAACTAAGGTCCAGAGCAGTATCAGACAACCAGACTAGTTTGTGAAGCATGCAAAGAGTGGCATCTTCTTCAATTCTGTTATTATCTATTTGAAAATCTTGCTCCCAAAGAGTTTATCCCAAGATGGGGTCCCCAGATGAGAGCAAAGAAATTTGCAGAGGATCACCCTGACCTGGTTAATAAGATAAAGAAGATGCACCTTGAAGAAGGTGCTCCGAACACATAAGTACAAGGTCGATCTCGCCCTCGAAGTAAGTCTCAGGAACAACAAGAGTCAGCTTCGCAAAAGACTTAAGATAATACAACTATTGAAGGAAGTCTAGAATGACTCCCTAGATCAGCAGTTGGCAGGTGTAAAGCGGCATACTTTGTTCGCATGAAAAAGAACCTCGCTGTACTGTTAATTAACAATTATCCACTAAAGCACTCAGCTTTACTGGACTCTGGATCTTCAATTCATGTTTTCAACGAGTTCAAGAGGTTCGCTAACTTTAGGAAAGCACAACATGGAGACTTCCTATAGGCAGGCAGTTACTAAGTACTAGTCCTTGGATATGGAGAAGTTGATATTGAAGTACACGGCCTAGATGGAAAACTTCAAATCTTAAGGCTTTATAATGTCACTTATTGCAAAGACTTTGTGGCAAATCTAGTTTCCTTTTATCAGCTCAGAAAGCAAGGAATCTGGTAGGATACTTGGAAGGGATATAACTGTCTCCGGAACGACTCTAACCAAGTTCTTGCTTATCTGAGGGAAAAGGAAGCTCAGTTTGTACTCGAATATATCGAACATGACCATCCTCTTGTAAAAACTGGTTTTGCAATACAATGTTATAGATTTGATTCCTAGACATCTTGAAAGGAAAGAAAAGCAGATGCTAATCGCTGGCATGCTCGTCTTGGCTATCCAGGATCTAAAGTCTTGAAGCATCTCCCTGGAGCTGCTAAAGGTATCAGATTAATCACAATATCCAAAGGACTAACTACTGTTAAATGTGAATTATATGGAATATTAAAGGCACAGAGAATAATCAGATAAGAAGAATAAACCCCTCCACATAGTCCTGGCAAACACCTTGCTATTGACTTTACAATTTTATAAAAAGTATAATATATAGAGAGAAAACACTGATGCTAATAACTGATTAATTCAGTGGTTTTATATGGGACTATTATATGACTTCGCACCAAGGAGAAAAGATTTTGGAGATATTGAAATAGTTTCTTAATTACCTAGAGAAAGCCTATGTCATTAGCCCAATTAAGATTGAGATGGACAACGAGATTGCACAGCGATCTAAGGTGAAGCATTACCTTAAATATAAGAAGCGCATTATCCTCCAACCTTCACCTGCTTATACCCAAGCGTTGAATGGAGGTGTTGAGCACTCTGGAGTCATTATTAAGATAAAAGGAAGAAGCATGAGAAAAGATGCCAAGTTACCCTTTAATCTGTGGCCAGAAATTGTGCGCGCTGCAGTCTACCTTTATAATTGTACTCCTCGGTATACTTCAAACTGGAAGACGCTATACGATCGATTTACCACTCATGCTGCCTAGAAAAATAGAATTGTTATCGAGAACCAGAAACCTTAACTTGCATACCTTAAGGTATATGGTTGCAAGGTATACGCACTTATAATAGAATATATAAAAAAGGAGAATCTGTGGGTGCATAAAGCACGTGTACACGTTAATGTACGTACGTACGTAGGATGGTTAGCAGGTACTGCAATTCTGTATGGGTTCAAATGTGTATGATTGTAGCTATCTAATTCACGCCCCGACGCGGTCTTACATCCCTCTATCCTAGACGAGGTCACGTGAGGCCCTACGGCTGTCGAGGATTAGGTAAGCTAAACCTAATCAAGGAAAGCCTACAACATTGATACAAGGAAAATTCGAGAATTGAAGTCACAAGATTGAATCTACGAATCAACTTTACAGCTCTGTGTCGAGAATCTTCTATTTGAGATTGCGTGGATGGGATTCTCAAGCATAAATAGTGTCCAACAATCCCCTCAAGATGTAGATAGAAGGGTGCGCAGAATTAAAGTCAATATCAATATTTCCACTATAAAGATATCTTTGAGTATTAAGCTTAACTGAGTTTGTGCTAGTGCACTGCAAGTTCCGATAGCGGCTCAGTGCGTCGGAGTGAGGCATCTCGATTGCTTCCACAACACATCCGCAGAGAAAAAAACGATTTTCGAGTTGATAGGCGACTTCCTTATAATTATTTATATCAAACAGTCGGAGGCTCAAAATCCTCAACCCTCTCTACCACCTAGCTCCCAGGAGTGCAGCCTTTGACGCGTCCCAACGCGCCCGGCAACACCATGGCGCGTAAAGGCCCTGGTACAGACAGCCCTCTACAGACAGCCCTTCTGGAATCCACGTCTACAGCCACAACAAGAGCTTCTGAGGGACAGAAGATCTTCAGCCCCATAGCTGTATTCCTTGATAAATACCGCAGCCAAACCACCGGCCTTGCTCCTCACCTACTGAGAGCCCTCACCGCTCTAAGCGATGACCTCACCTCGGTAGCTCAACAACATTTCAACGCTTATATCAGTGGTATCTCGATAATCTCCATTCTACCTGCCCTGTCTTCTTTCCCTTTCTCTTCCCCCATCCTAAATCCCTTACCCCCTTCACCCCCTCCCTCACGTCCCCCCTTAGGCCTTAACCAGTCAACTTATGCAACTATTACCCAATATGCCCTAGTCAAATTAACTCCCACCACTCACCTTAAAGCCTCCATCAAAAAGCCTATACCTCTGATGAAATAACCCCTTCCTGACATCCAGCTCTTCATACGCCTCCCAGCTGACCATATAGCTAGAAAAATGGAAGTCTACACTATCTACTCTAGCCTACAATCTCAACTAAACTTAAATAGTGCAGCACTAAAAGAAGTCTAAGCTACAAAGACTAGCTTTGCACTATGTTTCTCATCTCCAGAAGCCCTTCTAGCCCTTAAGGCCTAAAAAGAGACAATCTCTGCATTCTTTGTTAACTACCAGATAGAATGCAGCTCCTAATAGGTCTCGTACCAAGTTATCAACATGCCAAGGAAAATTAGCTGAATCTTGGATGGTCAATACTCTCTAATCCCTGTCAATCCTACACTACTATCCTTAGAAATTAGTAAAACTATAGGGCTTAAGCTTATATCTATTAGCGAGACTACTACAAGCGCTGCTAACCCTGATACTCTCTTCTTAAGCTGGTTTGTCAACTTCCCAGAAGGCATGAAATTATCACTGCCTATCTAGCTATGTCTTTTTAGCACTATCACCAATACTTGTCACCTCTCTAAGAAAACAATAGTTATTTAATACACACAATGCTGGAAATAGTATAATGCACAATCCTGTGCACGCCCCTCTCAATGCCAACTATATAGCTCCTCAGAATATACTAAAGAGGGCCATGTTAACCGCTACATAGCCCCAGAGCCTCATTAATGCCCTCCTAGATGCATACACTGCCATAGACTACATCCAGCTGATTTCGCAGAATGCCTTCTGCACCCTAAAGGCAATACTAAACATACTAAAGCTTAACAAATAGAGATCCGCAAATCCTGCGCTATAAACCTCGCAAAAGCTCGAACTGAAGGAGGATGTAGCTCTCAGCTCTCCATAGGCACATAAGAAACACCTATGGCATTAGATAAGATGCCATTGCAGCCTTCAATCTATGAGATTATCTCTCCTTTGCATTCAGTAACCCCCCCACCTCGCGCCCCAACTAAAGATCCTTCCATTACAGCTCGTGTAGTCTGTTTTATAACCTCTCAACTATAAAACTAGTTTACCTCTCTTCTTGAACAGGAGCTATAATCTATCACTATCCAACTTAAAAGGCGCCTCTCAAAATCCTACAGTTAAATATAGGGCACGCGCTAGACACATATGAAATAGCCCTCACATTGGTATACACTAGCGACATTAATATTATCCTAATCTAAGAACTATATATATTTAAAGACCTCAGCCGACAGATTACTAAAAAACATCTATCATATGAATGCTTCTCCCCAACTGATAGCTGGGCAATAAGTGGCCGACCACGAGTCCTCACCTATGTCTGAAAGAAGAAAGGCATCTGGATCTCCCAGCTATGCCCCTTTACAACTAACACTAAAGAAGCCTCGAATCTCCTGTTCCTTCAGATTTTTTCGCCTATAGGAAAGTCCACTCTAATAGTTAATATCTATAATGCCCTAGCAGGCTGCAGCAGAGCAGGTGAAGCCGCGAAAGCTCTCACAACCCTGCTAGAGGCATATTTCCCTCAAATAATAATACTTATAGGCGATCTCAATCTACTACACAACAGATGGCAACCCTTGCTACAACGTAGCCCTATAACTTTTGCAGAGCTGTTTATTAACTAGCTGGATCTCCAGGGTCTAGTACTCATTTCCAACATAGACTGTCCCACACATGAAAGGGGTAACGTGTTAGACCTTAGTTTCGCCTCAAGCCCTCTGGCACTCACAGGAGCCAAAGCTAGCATAGCGAGCTACTTAGATGCAACCTCAGATCATCAACCACTAATCACCACTATTCCATAGGATCAGAGATACAAGGAAACAGCCCAGAAACTGAGAATTAATACACTAGACCACACCTCCTTCCTCTCGCTCCTCGCCTCTAATCTCGCTGACACCGAGAGCTTAGCCGCAACAGAAGAAGATCTTGATGCCCTTGCTAAAAAACTGACATCTATAATTCAAGGAGTATATAGAGGCTCTGCTAAGAGAACCATAACACAAGGCATAGGACAACTATGGTGGAACGAAGACTGCAAGAAAGCTTTACACAATTACCGCTTAGGCCTCTACTCAAAGATAGACTTCCGCAGGATAACTAGATAGTCTCATAGTAACACAAATAAAGGATGTTTTTGATATAAGTAAATAGCATAAGTCTACAGGCATCTTCCGAAGCCCTCCACTAAAAGATCCGCTAAGGCCCAACAGCCTCCCAGCAGTTACTGTACACGAGAAATGAGACGTACTAGTCCGCAATCTTCTCCAGAACTTGGCAGAGGCAGGAGACATACCTCTGGACTCCCCAGCAGTGCCTTCCACTAGTCTCTACTTCCTAGATATATCAATGCTACAAGTGGAGGAGTCAGTACTTCAGGCAGGAAACACAGCCCCTGGTGCAGATGAAATCCCAACCTGCATACTCAAAGTAGCCTGGCCTCTAATCAAAGATAAGGTACTAATGCTATATCAAGGGTGCCTAAAGATTGATTATCATCCTAAATGCTTTCAACACGCAATCTTAGCAATCATTCAGAAACTAAAAAAGACTGATTGGTCTTCATCTAGTTCATACAGACTAATCACTCTCCTATTAGTACTTGGCAAAGGACTAGAGCGCTTGATAGCACGGAATATAGCATGGATCTCTTTACACCATAAAGTATTAGCAAGGCAACAATTTGAGGCTCTCCTACTAAGATCTATAACTAACCTAACCACATGCCTAACACATGATGTTGAACAAGCGCTAAATCAAGGCATGACTGCCTCACTCCTTACCCTAGATGTCAAAGATGTATTTGACGCCGTGCTTCCCGGCAGACTGATCCACAGATTATGTGAGTAGGGCTGGCCTACTAATCTTATTCTCTAGATTGCCTCCTTTGCTACTGGGCGATCAGTTCAGATCCGACTTGATGGAGAGATCGGCCCCTCAACAGACATTGCCTGCGGTCTTCCACAAGGATCCCCAGTATCTGGCATTCTTTTCATGCTCTACATAGCGCCTCTATTCCGTCTAGGAAATCCAAAGAACAGATTTAGTTACGCAGACAATGTAGCCAACCTAGCGATCTTAACTTCTCTTGCTACTAATTGCGAAGCCTTATTAGACTTACTTTAAGAAGCTCTTAATTAGGGCGCTGCAGAGGGTATTATATTTGCATTAGATAAATACAAGCTTCTTCACTTCTCCTAATATAAAGCAGACCAGGACCTAACCCATACACCTTTAGTGAAAGCTAGATCTATTACAATATCAGAAAACACTAAATGGCTATATCTACGATAGCTAGGAATCCTCTTTAACAAAAAGCTAATGTTCAAATGGCATGTTAGAGAAATAGCATCTAAAGCCCTTACTGTGGCCAACGCTCTTCACTCTCTAGGGAATACTGTTCGAGGAGTCAAACCTGATTTACTATAGTAGGCTGTATCAGCCTGTATACTCTATAAAGCATACTATGGCGCAGAAACCTGGTGGCCAGGACATACTCGCCCTGGACCTTCCCAGATTTCAAACTGAGTTGGAGAACATCTTGAGAAACTAACTAAAGTAATACTAACAGGCGCAAGAGCAGTCCTTCTAGTCTTCCACACAACCCTAAAGCCAGTCCTTTATCGAGAGTCTGGATTCTCTCCACCAAAAATCGAACTAGATCAAATAGCCCTCCTTGCAACTGTCCGCCTACGGCGTCTTGACCCTTATCACCCACTTTGAAGACGCGCAGAACAGATCGCTAGTAATGGCTAACAAACTAGCCGATTTACCCGCCGTACACTGGCCCTTCCAAACTCTGAATAGATAAACCCTCTCCAATATGCTCCCTGGCACCCTCGCGAGCCTTATAGGAATGCTCAAGCTCAAATAGGAGCTCCCATGGGACGTACTAAGGAATAGGTAGCGGCTAATTTCATGGCTTTTCAACGTACCATCCCTAGCTTAGATATTGTAATCTTTTCAGATGGATCTAGGCTAGCAGATGGATATGTAGGGGGTAGCTATATTAGACTCCAAGCATACTATTAGTTCCTCCACTCCTCACTCTCATACAGACATAGGAAAGAGGTCTTCAATGCAGAAGCAGAAGTAGCTCTAGCTGGCGCTTAAGTAGCAATAGTGTACCCAACAGCTTAATTTGCTACTAACCTATGGATCTACCTTAATAATCTAGAAGTTGCTGTACGCCTTCTATCTCCCTCTATAGGATCTTCCCAAGAAATCTTTAAATCCTTCTATACCCTTATAGCCACATGGCCACTTCGCAAAAGGCTTCCTCACACCAAAAGTAGATCTATCTAAATCCAATAGGTCCCTGGACACGCCAAAATCCCTGAGAACGAAGCAGCTGATCTCACTGCTAAAGAGGGAGCTGCCTTAATCCCTCCTGCTCCTTACAAATCCTCATACGCCTCGCTAAAGAGATACGCCAAGACTCAATCCCTATCTGCTGCTCAGTCACAATGGGAGAAGGTGGCACCACAGAGCTATTAAGATCTAGAAATAGCCACTTCCCCTAAGCGCCCTAGGGAGCTTCAACTTAACTGACTTGATCTTGACCATGTTATTACAGCCTGTACTAATCATAAAGACTTTGCAGACTACTATGAACACTTCAACCATGATGACGCTTATTTTCTCTGCTAATGTAGAGCATGAAAAGCACCTCTGCACTTCTTCTTCTGTCATATAGCTAAGAGACGAGCCCCTTAGCCTCCTAGGCCCCCTTCTGAGGTCATCTCTTTTCTCTTAGACACTGCTAAAGGAGCACAAAAGCTAGCCACATGGCTAGCAGAGACCTACTTCTTTGAGGATATCTGCCCTCGCCAACCTCTCCTTAGCACCTAGCTAAGACAGCCCTACTCTTCCTTTATATTTCTCTTCTCCTTCTTTCTTTCTCTTCTCTTCTTTCTTTCCCTCTCTGCAAAACTTACTGTTCAGTTATAATAGTGGTGGAGTGATAGGTCATGGAGTGTAGGCGGACCATTGCAGCTGGCAAATACCTAAAATCCACTCAAAGTGGACCTCCCTGTAAGACCACGGCAGCTATAGAAATGTGCCAAAGAGTCTCTTATTTATATATAAATCTGATAGGACCCGAAACCCGAGGCTTACCCCTCGGCGGCCTATGTCCCAGTAGGGATTGGTGGGAAGCGTGCGAGTCACGAACCACGGCCGTTAAATATATACACACACACACACACTCGATTGCTTCCACACGTGTTACGTGCCCCTCCTACCAGACTCTTCTTCCGTGTTACCTGTCCTGACGGAGTTGATAGGCGACTTCCTTTTAATTATTCATATCAAACAGTCAGAGGCTCAAATTCCTCACCCCTCTCTACTACTAGCTCCCAAGAGCGCGGCCGTTGACGCGTCTCAACGCACCTGGCAACACCATGGCGCGTAAAGGCTCTGGTACAGATGGCCCTCTACAGATAGCCCTCCTGGAATCTACGCTTGCAGCCACAACAAGAGCTTCTGAAGGACAGAAGATCTTCAGCCCTATAGCTGCATTCCTCGATAAATACCACAGCCAAACCGCCGGCCTTGCCCCTCACCTACTGAGAGCCCTCACCGCTCTAAGCGATGACCTCGCCTCAATAGCCTAACAACATTTCAACGCCTACATTAGCAGTATCTCAACAACCTCTATTCCCCCTGCCCTATCCTCTTCCCCTTCCCTCACCCCAAATTCCTTTCTTCCCTCACCCTCTCCCTCACGCCTCCCCTCAGGTCTTGAACAGTCAACTTATACAACTATTACCCAACATGCCCCAGCCAAATCAACTCCTACCACTCACTCTAATCTAGCAATCTCAACATTCCTTACTACTAACTACGAAGCCTTATCAGACTCACTTTAAGAAGCTCTTAACTGGGGCGCTGCAGAGGGCATTACTTTTGCACCAGATAAATATAAGCTTCTTCACTTCTCTCGACGTAAAGCAGACCAGGATCTAACCTGCACACCTTTAGTAAAAGCTGGATCTATTACAGTCTCAGAAAATACTAAATAGCTACATCTATGTTAGCTAGGAATCCTCTATGATAAAAAGCTCACATTTAAATAGTATGTTAGTGAAACAGCATCTAAAGCCCTTACTGTGGCTAATGCCCTTCGCTCTCTAGGAAATACTGTCCGAGGAGTTAAACCTCATTTACTATAGTAGGCCATATCAGCCTGCATACTCCATAAAGCATACTATAGTGCTGAAACCTGGTAGCCAGGACGTACTCGCCCTGGGCCTTCCCAGACTTTAAATCGAGTTAGAGAATATCTTGAGAAACTAACTAAAGTAATAATAATAAGCGCAAGAGCAGTCCTTCCAGTTTTCCACACAACCCCAATATCTGTCCTTTACTGAGAGTCTGGATTCTCTCCACCAGAAATTGAGCTAGATTGAATAGCCCTCCTTGCAACTGTCCGCCTACGGCGTCTGGACCCTTACCACCCACTTCGAAGACGCGCAGAACAGGTTGCCAGTAATGGCCAACAAACCAGCCAATTTGCCTACCATATACTGGCTTCCCCCAACTTTGAGCAGATAAACCCTCTCCAATACGCTCCCTGGCACCCTCGCAAGTCTCATGAGAATGCCCAAGCTCGAATAGGAGCTCCCATGGGACGCACTAAGGAACAGGCAGCGGCTAATTTTATAGTTTTTCAACGCACCATCCCTAGCTCTAATATTATAATCTTTTCAGATGGATCTAGACTGGTAGACAGACGTGCAGGGGGTAGCTATATTGGATTTCAAGTATACCATTAGTTCCTCCACTCCTCACTCTTATATAGATATGAGAAAGAGGTCTTTGACGCAGAAGCAGAAGCTGCCCTAGCTGGTACTTAAGTAGCAATAGCATACCTAACAGCTCAATTTACTACTAACTTATGGATCTGCCTTAACAACCTGGAAGTTGCCATGCGCCTCCTATCTCCCTCTACAGGATCCTCTCAAGAGGTCTTTGAATCCTTCCGCACCCTTGCAGCCGCCTGGCCACTACGCGAGAGGCTTCCACATACCAAAAATGAATCAATCCAAATCCAATGGGTCCCCGGACACACCAAAATCCCTGAGAATGAAGTGGCTGATTTTGCTGCTAAAGAGGGAGCTGCCTCTGCTTCCCTCTCTCCATCTAAATCTTCATATGCCTCGCTAAAGAGATACACTAATACTTAAGCCCTTTCCACTACTCAGATATGGTGGCAGATTGTAGCGCCACAGATATACTAAGACCTAGAAATAACCACATCTCCTAAGCGCCCTGGAGAGCTTCTGCTTAACCAACTCAATCTTGGCCGCATCATCGCGGCCCGTACTAGTTATGGAGACTTTGCAAACTATCATAAACGCTTTAATCATGATGATACTCATCTACTATGTTGGTGTGGAGCATGAAAAGCATCTCTGCACTTCTTCTTCTATTATATAGCTAAGAGATAAGCCCCTCGTTCTCCTGGGCCCCCTTCTGAGATTATCTCCTTTCTTTTAGGTACTGCAAAAGGAGCACAAAAACTAGCCACATGGCTAGCAGAAACCTGTTTCTTTGAGGACATCTGTCCTCGCCAACCTCTCCTTAGCACCTAGCTAAGTCAGCCCTACTTCCCCCTCATATCTCTCTTTTCCTTCTCTCTTTCCTTCCTTCTTTCTATCTTTCCTTCTTCCCCTCCTTCTTCTGAAACGCACTGCTTAATTGCGATGGTGGTAGAATTATGGGTCATGGTGCGTAAGCGGACCATTGCAGCTGGCAAATACCCAAAACCCACTCAAAGTGGACCTCCCTGTAAGACCACGGCAGCTATGGAAACGCGCCAAAGAGTCTCTTAATTGTACATAAATCTGATAGGACCTGAAACCCGAGGCTTACCCCTCGGCGGCCTATGTCCCAATAGGGATCGGTGGGAAGCGTGCGAGTCACGAACCACGGCCGTTTAAATATACACACACACACACACACACACACTCGATTGCTTCCACAAACCAACAGAATCATCTTTAACATTTTAATCCAAGAGCCTGGATAGGATATCTCGTTTGATACAATTCAATAAATGTGTATAGGATTTGGAACCTGACAACTGGAAGGATTATAAGGATACAAGATATAATATTCAATGAGGATAAGGTTTTTAGCAGAAATATTGAACATCTCAGAGATGACCTTCTATATATGTTAACCCAGGAACTAATATAGTTACTAACTAAACTAGACCTTAGAACAGATACAGATTTTGACGATAAATATGCTGATTTAATGGACCACATAATAAATATAGTATTTGATGGAGACACAGTGAATATTGAACCTGATAGGTTAGCAAGGTCAGCAACTGGTTTAGGATCTTAGGAATCAAGTCAGCTTGATGTCTATGATATGAGCGGCCCAACTTTGACAGCAGGAGAAGGATTGTTAGATGGGATAGACAAATATACTTATCCTACACCTCCAGAGACGCCTCCAAGCGCTCTGTTGGCGGCTAGTATAACTGTTGTCTCAGATAATGATCTCGACCTTCATTAGAGCCCTACGCTTGCAGCTAGAATGTCAACTGACGGGGAATGTACTAGTGGTACTCTCATTTAGGAAGAAACCGCTAGAAAACGCATCGATGGTACTTCTAGTAATGTAGATATGGACAGGACCAGTGGTTCGCGTGCTGATTTTAAGGAATGTACCGATGGTGCTCTTAATCTGCGTGACTCTATGGATTATCTGGATAAGACACATGGCAGGCAATTCCCTGGGGATAGGTTCAGTAAATCACTCAGGAAGAATAGGGAATGTTTTGGTGAGACTCCTATTAGAACCAATGCCACTTCCTTGACTACGCAATGAGGAGAGCTCAATCCTTGGAGGTTTACATTTTTAGTAAGCACATGACATCATCAGTACAAGGTGAACACGGTTAAGTTTGACCATGCAAGCCTCCAATGACGTCTGAGGTCAGGATGTCGACTCCAGTCAGTCCTAATCCGCGACCTGCCGCCTGCTCCCAAGAGTCATCGTGAAGTGGGAAATCACCCTCTAGGTTGGCTATTTGAAGAGGCTGAGAAAGCTCACCTTAAAAGCTATGATCCATCTGACTCTTGGACAACAGTGCCTATCGGTAAGGCAAGAGGAAAGCAGATTCTTGATTGTATGTGGGTATATGTCTACAAGCAGGATAAGAAAGGTCGTCTGGTCAAGTGCAAGCGCGACTCGTGGTAAGAGATGATCAAGAAAAAAGGGATGATTCAAGAGACACGTATGCTGCTACTCTTGCTGCGAGGTCCTTTAGAACATTTATAGCTATTGCTGCGCGCTTCGACCTAGAACTTAAGCAATATAACGCTATCAATGCCTTCGTTAACACCATACTGGATAAGGAGATATTTATGAGAATGGCTCCCAGATATCGCGAACCTAGAAAGATATACCGGCTAAATAAGGCCCTTTATGGACTACACTAATCGCCTCTTTTATGGCAAAAAGAGCTGACAAGCACACTTATCAAACTTGGATTCAAAACTATGCCTCACGAACCCTGTTGCATATTGAAATCTAGAATCATGCTATTCTTTTATGTGGATGATATTGTTGTCGCGTACAAGAGAAGCTGTCAACTAGAAGCTGACTTAATCTTAAAACAACTTCGCGCCAAATACAATCTATCTGGAGGAGAAGATTTGGAGTGATTCCTAGGTATGAGAATTATATAGGATCAAAGCAATAAAGTAATCTGGCTTAGCCAAGCCACCTATATCGACAAAATCGCTAAGTTAGCTGACACTCAACAAACTGATGATACACCAATGTCCCAAGAGGAGTTGTTTCCATACAAAGAAACAGCCACCTACAAGAGTCAATATTGATATCAGCGCAAAGTTGGCTTAATCATGTATACAGCTGTAAGCACTTGGCCTGATGTCGCTTCTGCCGTCTCACAGCTTACACAGTTCTTATTAAATTTAGGTCCTGAACACCATAATGCTGCTGACAAAGTGTTATGCTATCTCGAACGCCATCGTGCGTATGCTCTGAGGCTTGGAGGAGGTAGAGATTTCTCAGTATCAACAGATACCTCCTTCACAGATAATACACTTGACCGCAAGAGTTCTCAAGCATATATCATGACTCTTTTCGGAGGAACAATAGGTTAGTAAGCCAATAAACAGAATACAGTAATAACTTCAACTACAGAAGCCAAATTGTTAGCTCTCGCTCAGGGGGTGAAAGAAGGTAAATATGTGCTTTGATTGCTTCTAGAATTAGAGATACGTTTTAAGATACCTACTCTTCACGATTTCTGCGATAACAAACAAACGCTGGGATTGCTGGAGAAGGATACTCCGCGACTGCATACAAAGCTTTGACATGTCAACATTCACAATCACTAGGTATGACAAGAGGTGTAGAAGGGAGATATCCAAGTGCACTACATGCCTACAAAAGATATGATTGCTAATGGCCTAACCAAGGCACTTAGCAAGCAGGAACACCAAAAGTTCCTCAATCAAATTGGAGTAGAGAATGTCGATAGTTGTCTTGCTCCCGTGCAAAAGTATATGGAAAATCCGGACATCGAAGAATTGCTTTCTCTCAATGACATGCCCGACAAACTATGAAGCTATTCAGCTTTGCAAGCAGTGCTTTCTGCAGCTGAGGGGGTGTATCAGATAATCTGGGTTTGCAACGAGGTATAGAATCCAAAGGCCATCCTCAAACATATAAAACTTCACCTGGTGCACCTGAAACTCGACTTGAGACATCATGGCCGTACTCCTTGGAACAGGGAGAACTCCGAGTCTGTTAGTTGTTACACATCTTGGCAAAATATCTATATAAACCCGGCTTTGGAACCTGATGTACTGAAAAAAAAAAAAAAAAAAAAAAATAGAGAAGAGGACATATACACAATCTTGCTAGTCACTTCTTATTTTACCATCCTTATAAACAATTTTTCAGGATTGGACTAGAGTTAACCCATCATTC